TTGTTAGGTGATTAACTGAATCGGTTGCCTTCTTTTCCTTGCAAAGCATTGGCCACTGATCAGGGGAGGGTGCCGGGAGGGGAGAACAAAAAAAAAGTATTAAGATATCAGCCACACTGCGCAAACCCTGCCCCCTTTTATATTGATTGGATGGGCTTGGCCACCAAACCAACTACATTCCATTTAAAACCAGTACATCTCTGTGTTTAAATTAAGACAGAGACAATTTCTGACAGCATTCGTGGGATCCAGTAAGCAGGCAGATTTTTTTTCTGCCGATAATGGAGATGTTTGCATTTGACTCTTTACACAACCGTCTCCTGAAAATCTATCAGTCTGAGAACCTACTATTACAGTCAGGCATGAGTTCTATTGCAATGTAATGGAGCCTCTTTTCTTCCATCAAATTTCAATTGTAGAATCTCATCAAGCCTGTATGTTCCAACAGCCTTCACCCTCTGCAATTTTCAAAAACTCCCTTTTCCAATTTAGAAGTTGCTTCTTGGAGTACACAGTCCAGTCGGCTAGAACACTGGATTAGTTATTGGAGTTGATGGGAGCTGTAGTTCTGTCTCCCTCTGCCTCTCTCTCTCACACACACACGCACACACAAACACACACACATGCACACATACACACAAATCTGGAGAAAGCCATGCTTGGATTGGCTGTCCCAGGACAAGCTGCATTTAACTCATGATTGTTTAATTGAAAGAACATCAGGAAGATGTCCTGAAGAATGGAATCCATTCCACCTTTCTTAGAGATCTGCCTTTCTCACTCTTGGCAACTTTAAATGTATTTATGATGATTGTATAAATGGACTCCAGAAGATGGTAGAAGACAGGAAGGCCTGCAGGAACGTTGTCCATAGGGTTACAATGGGTCGGACACGACTTCACAACTAACAACAACAATGATGATTGCAGTGTCCCAAGGTCATATGATCACCTTTTGTGACCTTCTGACAAAAAAAATCAGTGGGGAAGCCAGACTCACTTTACAGCTGTGTTCCTAACTTAACCACAGCAATGATGCACTTAACAACTGTGGCAGGAAAGGTCGTAAAACTGGGTAAAACTCACTTAACCACTGTCTTGCTTGGCGATGTAAATTTTGGGCTCGATTGTGGCCGTAAGTCAAGGACTTCTTGTATGTTTACTCTGCTCAGCCAGAGAAAGGTCTGCAGTCTGGATGTAACATGGATCAGATTTCAACCTCCTCTCTGCTCGGAAACTACCTGAACAACTATAAAAATGATCAATGTCCTCATTGTTAAAGTCCTGCCTGTGTGGCAGCAAATACATAATGCTGAATCACATCACCTTTTCAAGGGCCTTTATTTATTCAAAACAACTGGTGAGAAAACAAATGACAATGTGGAATGTGAACACTGTATTATATAAAAGCACCTTTTAACATCCCCCTCTGCGAAATGACACATACTATATGGTTAGATGTTGAAACATTCCCCCCCCCCGAAACTTGCATTGAAACACTCTATATATTCTGTTGTCTTCTCTTCCCCATTTCTTGTAGATCAGACTGCAGATCTGTCTTCCTTAAAAGTACTCAAATTCTATTCATCACTGACTTCGTTTAGGTCAGTGATGGCAAACCTTTTAGAGACCGAGTGCCCATTTTTTTTTTGCAACAGTCAAGTAAATGGGGCAATAGTATAGTGAATGCTATGGTCCTTAAGCAAACCCATTGTCAGCAATGGGTGTCTTTGGTTGGAAACTAGAACCAACACCTGTTTCTGACAAAAAATAACATTGCAGATGCGGGCCAGTTGCTGAGCTCTCCTAATGCAAACATGTGACCACAGCTCCCCCCCCCCATCAGAACTCTGAATCCAGGTCACAAGTCTCTTTTTTTTGTGGACCATTGTAATTTTAAACAGTTATTAATTGACCAACCATAAGTCAAGGACCACCTGTAACTTGCCCAGCCTGTTTTGCTTGGGGTGTTTTTTTCTGCTTGATTAAAGTATTGTTTTCTGTTTGATTGTTTGCCTTAATAGGAGTGATGGGTCTGACTTCATGGTTTTTGTACATAAAAACCTCAAAATCTTTTTTCAGTAGATCTAAGCCCTGTTTTATAGCTGTCAGCTGCTCAAATAATGAGATCGTTTGAACTGCAAAAAGCCACTGCTTTGCCAAAAACTCCTCTGAATTTTCTCATGGAAGCAACTGTTTATAAACAGGGAGCAAACCCTGTACTCTTGCACTGAGGATGTTGTCTGGTAGGATAATGAAAGGTCTACAAGCAAACCACAGAGCTCAGAGAGCACTAAGGACTTCAACAATGAGAATTGTGTGAATTGAGGGCTACTAAATATGGGTTGCAAACATTTGGATGACCACTAGATGGCAGCAAAAGAATAAGAGTTTTCTGTACTCCTTTGAGGCCCTCTGGTGGTCATTTGGCATTTTGCAACCTAGATTGAATAGCAATAGGGCATACATGTGAGGGAATATCTGAAGTTATCATTTCTCCTCCCATGTTTCCCATAAGCTCTGTGTTGGTTATACCTATGCCGGTTGGGCATTTGGAGAGACAAAATCCAGTACATGTGGAGGATACCAGATTTGGGGAAAGTTTTTTTAGAACTTACTGTTATAAAGATAAATAATAGCCAAAAGAAATAGGTCAGTGATAAAAAAGTAGCATCTTTGTCAAAGTTGAACTGGACTGTTAGTGATAACCAGACACATATCATTTTCTTGGCAACCACACTAAAGTGGCTTACAATTGTCTTCTTTTGGGATTGTTTTCCTTGAGACTAATTTACAGTTCTGGAATGTCCAAATGCTTTTCCATTTAAACACTAATTTGGTTTAAGTTAGAGCTGTGATGGTGCAGTGGTTAGAATGCAGTATTGCATGCTATTCTGCCCACAGCGTGGAGTTCAATTCTGACCAGCTCAAGGTTGACTCAGCTTTCCATCCTTCCAAGGTCTGTAAAATGAGGACCCAGATTGTTGGGGACAATATAGTGACTCTGTAAACCACTTAGAAAGGGCTGTAAAGCAGGGATCCCCAATCCCTGGAGCTGCAGCCCACAACCAGGTGGTAGCCCATTTGGAACCGGGCTGCAGAAGCGGTGGGCAAGCGTGCATGTGCGCAGCTCCACTTGTACAAATGGAGTTGCATATGTGCACTGACCCACCACTCACGTGAAACCACCCCCTCTCCCCTCCCACTTGCCAGTCCACAAAGCTGGAAAGGTTTGGGACCGCTTCTGGGTGAAGCGGTATATAAGTGCTATGGCTAAGCGCTATTGCTGTTAACCATCCTTATCTTTTTCGAGCTTACTTAAAGGCAACTGGATACCGCCATCTGTCATGATAACAATTATCATGAAAAATACATTTGTTCAGCTAGAACTCTTCCTCATCCTGACCAAAACCCTATCCAGAACTTCTGTTTTGAAGGCAATCTGCCTTTGGGGCCATTGCAGTGAATTGTTTTAAGTATTAGAAAGGGGGGGAGGGGAAATTCTAAGCACATCACAAAATGCATTGAATCTCCAGATTCCCTAAACTCCAACATCAGCCTTGGTCTGGGTAGCTAATAGTGAGGGATGCTGGGAGCAGTAGTTTAACAATACATGAAAGTACTTAAAACAGTTTCATTTAGTGACCATTCGAAGCTACAAGGGCACTGAAAAATGTGATCTATGACCGTTTTCCACATTTACAACTGTTGTAGCCGTCCCATGGTCACGTGATCAAAAAGTTGAACATTTGGCAACTGGCATGTATTTATGATGGTTGCAGTATCCCGGGGGTCATGTGATCATCTTTTGCAACCTTCTGACAAGCTAAGTCAATGGGGAAGCCAGATTCACTTAATAATCGTGTTACTAACTTAACAATTGCAGCGGTTCACTTAACAACTGTGGCAAGAAGGGTTGCAATAAGGGACAAAAATCACATAACAAATGTTTCAGTTAGCAACAGAAATTTTGGGCTCAATTGTGGTCGTAAGTCGAAGACTACCTGTCCATCTATTCGTATGTTCTCCAGTCCTGATAAAACCTTAACCTTTGGGGATGGCGTGTTAAGATTTCATGTATTCAAAGGTATAGGAGATTAAACCTGCAGGTACATATTTATCAGCCCAGGTACAAATGCCTAAATGACTGCTTTAATATAAATAGAAACAAACCTAAGTAACAAGTAGCCAAGCACACTGAGCCTAGAGCTCAGTGTGTTATCCAGAATGTCTGGGGTTTCTCTGTTCTTCCTTCCTAGTTCCTCCTCCTGAAACCAGCTATCCGGGACAACCCTTAAAATGCAAGGTGCTAAAAGCCGAACTCTAATCACCTTGGCTTAGCAACAGATAGAGAGCCAGAAATTCCCTAGCCTTGCAAAGATTTCAGAGTGGAATGCATAAACACTTTCACCCCAAAACTACATTTGTACAAATTGTTGGTTTGTTTTTAAAGAAGGAAGTAATACAAAAAAAAACCTCATCAAGCTAACCTGCCTTATTTCTGCTGATTTCACAGCTTGGCTGGAAAAGTCTACGCACTAGAATACTTCCTCACAATCGGAGTCGGATTTTGGAGCCATGTCTATTTTGATTGATCGATTAGGCAGCGTTAAGTCAGACAGACCTCCTCCAGGATGATCTGTCCCCAGCCTAGCCCCTCAGGCCTTCCAATGGTGCATCCATCATAGCTGTTATCAACTCCATCCGCCTTGTAGCTGGTTGTCCTCTTCGTCTCTTTCCTCCCCACCTTTCTCACCATTATGGACTTCTCAAGGGAGCCGGGTCTTTGCATAATGGCATATGAATTTCATTAGGCATTAGGCAGCTGATGACAAAGAGGAGGCTGCTCTGCAGACCCTTTTGTTTGTAAGGCATCGCAAGAGTATGTTTTTTTTTTCCTGGAGCTGAAACACTGCTCAGTAGCATTATGAGAAAGGCTAAAACTATAATATTTGCTCTCTTCAAATGTGAGTATAATGCACACACTCACTGCAACTCTGATTCTGGTTTCTGGGTATATTGGGCTGCAGCTGTGCACTCTAACAAAGTTTAAAAACTGTTTAACATTTTTATACACATTTGATCATTCATTCCTCCACATCCAAAATGTCTTTTTTAAAAAACTCAACCATTCCCCCCTCTACCTGGAAAGATAGGTGTTGAATATTTTGCTGCTCTATGTGCCTGGCTCCTTTCTTCCAGCTTCACTCGGCATTCTGTTCCATTCTGAGAATATGCCATTTTCCCAGCTCCAGATGCCAGCTCACTCTGACCCTTCCATCTATCCATGAAGCACAAACCATCCATACTAAAAAGCTAAATTTTGCACACCTGAAACATATTTTTGTCCAGAAGCACGAAGAAGACGCATTTGTCCTGAGGAGCCACCATAAAAACCAGTACACCAAAAGAAGAAACCCTAGATTCAGGGGGAAAAAACCTATATCAAAATGACAGAGTAGAAAATGCATTATATGCTGGGATAAAAGATTTCTGGAGATCTGTCCTGGATCTGTTCAAAGTGTCTTTTGTGGGGACTTGCTCTGAAAAAATACGCTGTATCTGGTTCATAAGCTAACTGCACACTGAGATGGTCATACTTCAGAATTAACTTGAAAATGATGCTTTGGGGTATGAAGGAATGAGAACATAGCATTTGTCTGTGACCTTTTTAAAGTAGCTATATCTTTTTTCCAGGGTCACATGGTAGGCACAAGGGATAGCCATGCAATTCCAGGAAAACACATGGGTGCTTTAAAGTGCTGCAGGCAAATGCTATATCTGTACTTCTGTATCCTCTGAGGCAACTTTTTGGAATCAAATATGAAGTGATGCAGAGCCAAGGTATAGAGATGTATCTGCAGGAGATCACATGGACAAAAATCACTGAGAAGACGCCATTCCGGTATGAAGACTTTGGACACGCACTGAGAAAGTTCAGTTTCTTAAAGTTGGTACAGACCTGGAAGTCTACGAATTTCATCTGGAAAAAAAAAACAAAAAACAAAATACAGCTTTAACCAACTTTGGTTGTGATACATCTAATATCAAAACAACTTAAGAAACCTTTTAAAATATAGCATTACTCATCCTATTAAGCCATAAGCAGTACTACGTTAAATCTGTGGGGGTGCAAAGCGGATGCATTCCACCTCATCTTTGGGTTTTGCACAGTGAAAGTAACCCACTCTGGGAAAAGTCAAGATAAGTCCTTGATTGTCACAGTGATGGTCTTCCTGCCTTAAAGAAAATGAGTTCATGAAGTGCAGAAGCTTTATTGGGTGAATTTTATCACCATAGCAGCAGTCCAGCTCGAACGAAGGTACCTCGACATAGCACAGAGATGCTTCATGGGGGATGTGGGCTTCAAGATTCATTGCAAAGCACCCTATAAAGCTTTGACTCCTCCAGTTTTAAAAGGAGGAGGAGACTGATGGAACTTTTGGCTTACTTCCCATATTACACTATGGCAGGGGTAGGCAACCTTGGCTCTTTTATGACTTGTGGACTTCAATACCCAGAATTCCTGAGCCAGCCTGACTCAGGAATTCTGGGTATTGAAGTCCACAAGTCATAAAAGAGCCAAGGTTGCCTACCCTGCCATAGCGTAATATGGGAAGTAAGCCAAATGTTCCATCAGTCTCCTCCTCCTTTTAAAACAGAAGGAGTCAAAGCTTCATAGGTTGTGAAGCTTTGGCATAATGTTCTTTGCTTATGTTAGTGTGTAATGCACCAGCCTCCACAGAAGAAGGAGAGGTAAAATTTGCAAAAAAATGAGCACACAGCAGCCTCGAGATTTTGATCCCCTTGCAGACCCTCCTAGTGAAATTTAAATCTATTCACTATAGCTCAACAATAGATTTGTACCTGTCACAATGGTTTATTCAACAAATTATGGCTCAAAGGTTTGTTTTGGCTTGGGAATACTGACTGAATCCAGCCATCCTAGTTAATAAAACTGTCATTTCAGGTTTTGTATGATATGTGAAGCCAATCAGTTGAAGCTTAGAGAACAAAGCATGGCTTAATATATTGTGGGAACCCAGCCATTGACTCTAATGGCTAACAATATAAGGAAAGCATTGGAAATTCTCCAGACTACTTTTGCTTCTGCAGTAACTCAGTCATGGGTATTCGGAGGATTCTAATCATTTACTCTGCACATGGAAATATTATTGCTAATTATCATGGTTCCAGTTACCAAATGCCAAAAACAGGGCATGCTGGACTTCTTAAACTTGACGCTTTTCAAATTATTGATTGGTTTATTAAATTTTTATGTTGCCCATCTCCCCTATAAAATAACTCTGGGTGGCATAAAAATTATTTGATGATTACTTCCATAATCTCCATCAAGCCTTATTTGGGATTATGAAAGTGATAGTCCACCAAATTTTAGGATTGCCAGATTTGGGAAGATTATTCTACACAAGCACAAGTAACTAGTATGAAGAAGAGCTGCTTTGCAGATCAGACCAAAGAGCCCACTGAGTGATTGGCAATATCCTTTTGGGAAGCCCAATGTAAAATACAAAGATAATAGCTTTTGCCCAAAATGGCCCCTAGCAATTGGTACTTGGGGACAGACACTCCCAAACAAACAAATATCAATTTAGAAATCACAACTAAGAGATACATATTAAATTCATCTCCCCCATGAATGACTCTACTCAACTTCAGAATATTTTATTCGCCTGTTTTTTCACTTCACCAGGAATTTCACATCTGTATTAGTCCTCTATTTACAATAGTTCTTATAATTACCGTTTGAAGTTACAACAGCATTGAAAAAAGTGACTTATGACCATTTTTTACACTTACGATCGTTGCAGCATCCCCATGGCCACACGATCAAAATTCAGATGCTTGGCAACTGGCTCATATTTATGACGGTTGCAGTATCCAGGGATCATGTGATCTTTTTTTGTGTGACCTTCTGACAAGCAAAGTCAATGGGGGAGCCAGATTCACTTAATAGTCATGTTGTCATGGTTCCAAAAGATGAAACTCTTCAAAGAACTTTGAGGCATTGTTTACCTTAAAGAATCTTTAATCGAGCAGCATAGCTTTGGTACATACATAGTTGAAGCCAAAATCTGACTTCCCCTCCCTTCAGCACATAGATCAAAGCACAATTCCCTCCTACAACTGATTGTCATAAATCACATTCTCCAATTAGTCATAAATTAAATTCTCCAATTAGCTTCCGGCCCAGTTTCCTCTCCCGCCATGATATTGTATGTCTAACTCAGGGCTTTTCAACCTTTTCACCCATTGTACCACTTTTAGGATATGGCAACATCTGAGTACCACCAGTCGCCTAGCAAGGTGTCAAAAACGTGATGACAAAAAAAAAGGAAAAGAGTGATAAAGTAGAGGTAGTCCTCGACTTACAACAGTTCGCTTAGTGACTGTTCGAAGTTACAATGGCACTGAAAAAAGTGCCCCCAAGCCACAGCCGAGCAAGACACCTGCCTGCCTGCCCAGCAGCGCTCTTTCCCCTGTCCAAGGTTTTCAGTGTTGTGAGCATTTCTGTTGAGGATTGGCAGTGGGGATGGGGTGGGGGCTGTTTGGTTTTTATTCCCATCTGGTTGCAGCAGGTTTTGGTCACTTCACATGACCCTGGGACACTGTGACTGTCATAAATATGAATCAGTTGCCAAGCATCTGAATGTAAATCACAAGACCCTGGAGATGCTGCAACATTCCAGCTGATCGGCACTTCTTCTGGGCTCAGCAGAAGCATCAGGATCAGTGCTGCTTTCCAGCTGATTGGTGCTTCTTCAGGGCTCAGCAGAAGCACCAGGATCAGTGCCGAGATCCAGCTGGAGCTTGGCGCTGATCCTGGCGCTTCCACTGAGCCCTGACAGCCCCAAAGAAGCGCCGATCAGCTGGAAAGCGGCACCGATCCTGGCGCTTCCACTGAGCTCTGACAGCCCTGCAGCTCCAGCCGTCTCTCGCTCAGGCTTGTGTGGTGCTGCCACTGGTTCAGCTCATTCTCCTCCCCCACTACCACTTTTCTAGGATGGTTGCGTACCACCTGCCAGGTGCCAATGTACCATAGGTGGTACCCGTACCACTGGTTGAAAAGCCCTGGTCTAACTAACTCCCATCGCATTCCTCCCCCCCCCCCCGATCATCTAATTCTAAGAAAGAAAAAAAGCTGCTTCTCCATCTCTTGTCAAAGCAAGAACATCCAGTGTTAGCAGCATTGACATATGTTATTAAATTGGTGACTGCAGTGTGTTTTAACTTAACAACTGTGGCAGGAAAAGTTGTAAAATGGGGCAAAACTCACTTAACTGTCTCTCTTAGCATCACAGCAGATGGCAGAGGGCACCAGCGTCTTCCGAGTGATCGCAGTTGTGCACATTCCAGCGGATATGAGAGCAACGCAGGAGAGACATTTCATCTCCTTTGCACTTGAGGTTGTCCAGGAAAATGTATCCTTTGCCCTGACCGTACTGGGCTTCTCCAAAGGCTGCTAAGGCATCTCCACAGCCAAGCTGCCGGCATACCACTTTCACGTCCTTGAGATCCCACGCATCGTCACACACCGTCCCCCACTGAGACAGGTAAAACATCTCCACCCGGCCTTCACAGCGATGGCTGCCATTGATCAGCCGCAGAAAACCTAAACAGTGATTGAGGGCAGGATGAAAGACATGAAAAACACAGTGGCATAACATCTGTGGAGACTCTCAATATCCAGGTCATGGCTGCCCTAAAGGTGCTTTTTCCCAAAGGCAACTCCCCCCCCCTTTGAAAGCATTTCACTTCTCCTGAGAAGCGAAGCATTTTCAAAGGGAAAAAACCCCAAGAAAATCCAGTTATCTTTTCGAAAAAGCACCTTTGGGACACAGTGTCCTAACAATGGACAAAAGTGGAAGTTTCCTTTCAAATCTGTATTTTAAAATCTATGCATGATCAAAGTTACTTCAAAAAGGAGGTAATCCAGTGCAGCTCTACGTATGGCCATCAGAACCCAGCAACCCATATTCACATGCCGTGTTTGGATAAGTTACAACTTTTGCCATGAGTCTATGGCTTAGCATGTTGTATAGACATAACCCATTAGATCAGATGACCAGGCTGAGCCTGAGGGAGGGGTCACTACACTCACACAAGAGACCTAAGTCCAGCCCCCCATGAATTCTGTGGACTCCTTGTTGTTGTTGTTGTTAGTTGCGAAGTCGTGTCCGACCGATCGCGACCCCATGGACAATGTTCCTCCAGGTCTTCCTGTCCTCTACCATCTTCTGGAGTCCATTTAAGCTCACGCCTACTGCTTCAGTGACTCCATCCAGCCATCTCATTCTCTGTTGTCCCATTCTTCTATTGCCCTCAATCTTGCCCAGTATTAGGCCCTTCTCCAGTGAGTCCTTCCTTCTCATTAGGTGGCCAAAGTACTTGGACTCCTACCTAGGGCCAATTTGCCTTGACTATTAGTAGCTCAGATTCTTGTGTATAGGTGCAGGAAATAAATTAATAGTACTTTTGAACCCTATCCCAAATCCTGGTTTCTTGCCCGATAGTGGTTCAGCATATTGGAAGAACTCCCCAAATAGCTTAATTCAGCAACCAAATTATACTGCTTGGTTGCAGGCAGCCACTATCCCACCAGAAAACCGATTAGTAATAGTAATAGTAGTAAAGTTGGAAGGGACCTTGGAGGTCATCTAGTCCAACCCCCTGCTCGGGCAGGAAACCCTACACCATTTCGGACAAATGGCTGTCCAGTCTCTTCTTAAAAACTTCCAGTGTTGGAGCATTTACTGCTTCTGGAGGCAAGCTGTTCCACTGATTAATTGTTCTCACTGTCAGGAAGTTTCTCCTTAGTTCTAGGTTGCTTCTCTCCTTGATTAGTTTCCACCCGTTGCTTCTTGTCCTGCCTTCAGGTGCTTTGGAAAATAGCTTAATTCCCTCTTCTTTATGGCAGCCCTGAGATATTGGAATACTGCTATCATGTCCCCCCTTGTCCTTCTCTTCGTTAAACTAGACATACCCAATTCTCGCAACCGTTCCTTATATGTTTTAGCCTCCAGTCCCCTAATCATCTTTGTTGCTCTTCTCTGTACTCTTTCTAGAGTCTCAACATCTTTTTTACATCGTGGTGACCAAAACTGGATGCAGTATTCCAAGTGTGGCCTTACCAAGGCATTGAAGAGTGGTATTAATACTTCACGTGATCTTGATTCTATCCCTCTGTTAATGCAGCCTAGCACTGTGTTGGCCTTTTTGGCAGCTGCAGCACACTGCTGGCTCATATTTAAGTGATTGTCTACTAGGACTCCGAGGTCCCTCTCACAGTTACTACTATTGAGCATGGTGCCACCTATGCTGTACTTGTGCATTTGGTTTTTCTTGCCTAAATGTAGAACCTTGCTTTTTTCACCATTGAATTTCATTTTGTTAGTTAGTGCCCAGTGTTCAAGTCTGTCCAGATCCTTCTGTATCTGAAGCCTGTCTTCTGGAGTGTTGGCTATTCCTGCCAGCTTGGTGTCGTCTGCAAATTTGATGAGTTCCCCATCTATCCCTTCATCCAAATCGTTGATGAAGATGTTGAAGAGTACTGGGCCCAGAACAGAGCCCTGGGGCACCCCACTACACACTTCCCTCCATATAGATGCAGTTCCATTGAGGACCACTCGCTGAGTACGGCCGGTCAGCCAGCTACGGATCCATCTGGTGGTGGTTCTGTCTACCCCACATTTTTCTATCTTGTATTTCTATAGTTTGTATAGATTGTATTTCTATAGTTGAATAATAAGTATTACCATGTAAAAAAAATTCTTTCTTTTGCTGGTCTGGAATGTGCCACCATTCATGTCCCAAAGGTACTTTTCCAAAAAAGCAACTGGGCTTTCTTGGGTTTTTTTCCTTGAAAATGTTTCACTTCTCATCCAAGAAGCTTCTTTGGAAATGTTTTCAAGGAAAAAACTAAGAGAGTCCAGTTGTCTTTTGGAAAATAAATGGCCTAGAAGATTGAAAATCTCTATAAATGTCCCACCATTCACGTTTACTGGATGGTCTCTCACCCAATCCAGAATATTTTCTCCCCGGATCCTTTTTCTAAATAACATGTACAATTTTATACACTGTAATTCCCCCCCCCCTCAAGCTAAGAACATCACATGCTCAGAGCAACTAGAGGTCTCTACATACCATCTTTGGGGCGAGTAGTGGTTGAGGTTGTGGTAGCAAAAGTATCTTCTTGCAAGGAAACTCCCGATTCTTCTGCACCTGGGATCCATGAAAAAGGCTTTAGGAGCGCAGACTGGCAAAGAGGAACATCACAAGTGCATGTTCAACTAGTCAATCTTGAGATACGGTTCTTTGTTTTTAAGGGCATGTTTTAGCCCAGTCTTACTTAGGGCTAAAATATCTCTTCTAGACCTCCCACACTGCCACCTTGCCTGGCTTTTTTTTTTTTTGAGAAAAAACTTTTTAATTCAAAAGTAACAATAAACTGGAAGCAGACCAAGCAAATCTGTAAACTCCAGCACCACTCTGGTTTGTAAGTTAGCCTCTGGTCTCTGCCCAAGCACCCTAGTCTTTCTCCAAAAGTAAGAAAAGGGAATGACTGCAGCTGCTTTGTTCTGTAGCCCGTTGGTCCAGAAAAAAATAATCAAAGGTAAAACTGAAGCAACAGGAAATACTCTCAAGTAGACAAGCTGCTTGGAGCAATTAGCAGTTTGCTTTGGTAAATGACTGTTTTGTACCTGGCCATAGCAATCAAGAAAAAGTTTTGGAAATCAGCAAAAAAGGAGTACTCGTTATATGGTCTGAAAATTTCACCTATGTTAGAACAGGTTGCCTACCTGTGAACTGAGCATTTACATTTTCCTGAACAGCAAACGAAAGGCAGAACATGCCATATCTTTCCAGAGAGAAAGCTGAAATGGGGTTCGCAATCCACTTTGTACATACACGCACACACACAAACACACCCATTTTGCAGGCAGTTGAGCCAAGAGTAAAGTGTGCATGTATACACTCTGCAATTTCACTTCTGAAGTGGCTAATAGGAGGGGGTCAATCATAATGAATCTTGATACTTGCATCTCTCACCTCTGCAGATGACGCCAGCATCTTCGTGATGTCCGCAATTATGCTGTCCCCATCCCAGGTTAAAGCAGACGGTCAGATCAGTCTCTGTGCCAATGCAATCCACGTTGTCCAGAAGGATGGGCCCACTGCCATAGCCAAAGTAGCCCAGCACAGTAGCCCCAATGGCTGCGCCACAGCCCAGTTGGCGGCATACTACCTGAGCGTTGGGGTAATCCCAGTCATCGTCACAAACGGTCCCCCAGAGGTCCCCATAAAGGACTTCCACTCGACCTTGGCAGCTGCTGTTCCCATTCGCCAGGCGTATGCCGCCACCTGCTGGTCAGAGTGGGAGAAAGAAGAATGTTCCACTGATTAAAAGTTCTCACTGTCAGGACTTCCTTGCTTATTTCCAGCTTGGATCTCCCTCTAACAAGCTTCCACTCATTGCTTCTAATCTTGCCCTATCTTGTCTCCTATTCTTGTTCTACCTGCCTTGATTTTATTAACCCTTCCTTTCCCATAGATGCCCCAGCTGGGTTCCTTTGCTTTAATTCACTCACCAGGAGTGAACTCTTCCCCTTGGGTAGAAAAACAGCTGTATTGGAGAACTTCTATTTTTCCAGGATGAATCACATAGGGGTTTTGTTTGTTTTTTTTGCCCAGAAATGTGATAGAAAATTAAAAGGGCCATTTGTGTCTAATTCTGACCAATACTATAATATTTGCATAGCATCTGGGGCTTGTTTCTAGGTACAAAAAGTAGAAAAACTTACTTCTTTTTTCCAACAGAAGAAGGGCTGAAGTCATCGCCATCTCAGTTTCAGAGGTGGACGGGATTTTATCCTCGGTAACTGCAAAGGCATTCAATTGTGAGAGCATTCCCACCCTGATGTCTATGTGAAATGAATGTTAGGAAGGTGGGCTATTCTCTGTTGTTTAAGCCCAGTTCATAGAATCACAGAATTGGGGAAAAAAAGACGATCTAATCTCTCATCTCATGAAGAAAATCCACAACTACAGTAGCCCTCTAGCCTCTGTTTAAAAACTTACACTGAAGCGGTTCAGCCTGTGGGCAAGGCAGCTGGATCCACGATCAAATACAAGGATATTATTAAAATCCCCATTTTCTTGAGTTTAATCCCTTTCTCTGAGTTTAAATTATCGGACTCCTACCTACTGACAATGGGGATTATTGAGTTCATTATTATCTAAACAGATTAATACAATGAAATACGTATCTCCTCTTAATGGTTGCTTCTCTAGACCCGGCGCTCCCCAATTCCTTCAATCTTGCCCCCTTTGAAACTTGAGTTCCAAATCTCCTACCAGTTCACGTCATCCAGTCTAAAGCCCTTTCCACTTTTCAATATTCTTCTGAAATTTTGATGGCCAGAACTCATAATGATTTTCTAAGTATTGCCTTAGCAAAGATTAGATCACTAGGTTCTCAATAGGCCCCTAGAGTTGTGTCTCAATCTTTAGGGAAGAACATCTGAGATTTGCCACTACTTGATCAAATTCTTGAAACGCCCTCTCTGAAATGGTAATAATAATAATCCTAATGTGGACATAGCTCCAATGCAAAAACAACAACAAAAATCAGCCTTGACCCTCTAGCCTGAAAACCCAAATGCTGAAGCTACAATGCTCATACAATGTTCCCCAGAACTTGGAGGAGGCTCACAGTTTCTTCCAAATTGCCACCAAATTGCCACTGTTAATCCTTCCAAGGGCTAAAAATAAGATTAATTTAAACTATGAAGATAAAATTTAGATTTGCTTCAAGTATTGCCTAATTCTTTACCTGTTGGGTAGAGGATGTAAGGATGTTGGAGTGATGATGAGTAAAAAAAATTAAGATGGCAGCCATGGCCACATTTCCAAAGCCACCAACTTTTTAACACCATCCCTGCAGAAACCCCTGGTTCTCTTTACTTCTTGGAATGTAATCGTCGGCAGTCTGCTCAGAGGTCCAATGTGGCCTAAGAGTTAGCCTTCCTGTAATCAGCCTGTTCCCTTTTTCAGTACACCACTGGCCTAGTTTTGGTAGCCTTCCTCAAGATGGTGTCCAGATATATTGCTCTAAAGCTTCTTCCTCCCCCAGCATGGGAAGACGCAAGACCCACATTGTAAGAGTTTGATTTGGCTCACATTCCCTCCCCTCAAATTCTGAGATTTATGGAGAGTGAAATTATAGACAACATGGCCCCTCTTACCTGCGACTGTGTCGGTAAATGATTCTTTAGAGTTCTCTACCACTAATGTAGAGATTGGCACAATGGTGGTGGTTGTCCCTAGCCCTGTTGAGACACAACAATAAGAAAGGTTGGCCATGCCAAGTCAATGGGCCAGCGACAGATTTCCAACTTGTCTGCTGAAGAGTTAGTGCCATCAATCAATTTCTGGTGAACTATATTTTTCTCATTAAAAATATTAAATGAAAAGCCAATGATGGGTACTTCAATTATTTCTAATAATTCTAATAAGGAAAAAGTCAAAGAATAATCCTAAAAGGTGGTATCCTTGAACCTGGCTTCTGGAAATTTTACAACAGAATCCTATGCAAGCCGAATAAAATTATTCAAATCTTACCACATCTTAGCCTAGCATGTTGGGTGAATCCAGTTGTGTGATCACTGCCTGGCTCAATATGTCATGTGAATCCAGAAAATTGTGTTAATTGAATACACCGTTGCTAATTATGGGAAACTCTGTGGTGAGAACACATCCAGTGCCATTTCTATGCCTATTCAAGACACACAGTTTTTTGACTCACAAACCCCTGATTTGACATGATCTGAGATCTTGACAGTTCAAGGGCTGCTATTCCTTATTCCTACTTTGTCTGTGACTAATGTCTGGCATGGAAGCCTTATCTAGATCTAACTAACTTTTTTAGAAGTAGTAAAAGAACTTCCTCATCTTAGAAGGCAATAACCAAAAATGAGGGTTTTTTTTTCTATTGTTGCACTTCATCTCTAGAATTTTCTTCTTTCAAGGATACCCTGGACAAGCCCCATATTTCCATTTTCATCCTATGCTAAAACCTTTTCGTTTTTCCAGAGCAATATTCTCTGAACAGGTACCCTCCAAATGAGTTGGGATTGTCAATCCTAGAATTCCCAAACCTAATTTGTGAGTTGAAATAACAATGGCAAAGTCTCCTGCCAAGGAAAAAGCACTACCGTGTTTCCCCCAAAATAAGACCGGGTCTTTTTTTTTTTTTTGCCTCCAAAAGAGGCAAATTATTTTTGGGTGGGGGTGGGGGGGATGTCTTTTCTACTCACCTCCTACACTGACAGCCCCACTGAGCCGGCCCACTTCTTCTGCGGCCAAAGGAGCAGCTCCATTCTGCAGCTGAGAATGGAGTTCGGGCCTGCATTTCGCAGTCAGGCTTTTCTGGAAGGCCTCTGTAGCCGATAACTGAACAATGGATTCAATCCATACCTCAGTTCTTGGCTGTAGAGACCTTCCAGGAAGGCCTAACTGTGAAATGCAGGCCTGGGGATGCCGCAGAAGAAGTGGGCCAGCGAGGAAAGGCCTGCTGCATGGTAAGTGGGTGTGGGGCACGTGGGGCAGCTCCACATCCCCATCCCCACCCTAGCTTGATTTTTAGATGTATGACTCACCCCAAAACTAGGGCTTATTTTTGGGGTAGGGCTTATATTAGCCCCCCCCCCAAATCAAGCTAGGGCTTATTTTGGGGGTATTACTTTTGGGGAAACACGACATATAACTTAGAGTCTCATAGTTGCATTAGTTCCAGTTAGGAATTCTGTTTCCACACTGATTCATGTTGGGAGACTCAAAGGACATTTGAGCTTCTTTGAGCTTTCCCCTTATACCAAAGCTGCATTCACATGATACTTTAAAATACAAAGAAAAGTTCTAAAGGATACATATGCTGCCATCTTAATCTAATCTTGTGGCTCAGGACATGTTACAGGTAGTCCTTGGCTTACAACAGTTCATTTAATGACCGTTCAAAGTTACAAGGACACTGAAAAAAGTGTCTTATGACCATTTTTTACACTCACAACCATTGCAGCATCCCCAGGGCCACATGATCAAAATTCGAAGAGTTGGCAACTGACGTATATTTATGACTGTTGTAGTGTCCCGGGGTTATGCGAATCATCTTTTGCAGCCTTCTGACAAGCAAAGTCAATGAGGAAGCCAGGTTCACTTAACAACTATGTAAGTGATTCACTTAACAACTGTGGCAAGAAAGGTTATAAAATGGGGCAAAACTCACTTAAGAAAATGTTTCAGAGAATGTAGCAACAGAAATTTTGGACTAAATTTTTGGTCATAAGTTAAGGACTACTAGTACCGGGAATTATAAAAAACAGAACTGAAATCTACTTACTTTCCTATTTCAGCTTCCATTAGTGATAGCCTGGTCTCTACCCCACCCCACCCCCACTCCCCTTAAAACATTTCAATCAACATCAAGGTTAAGACCTTCTGACCTTGAACTCCCTGTTTTAATTAAAAAGAGCAGTTCCAAGCTTAAAGTATTCTGTTTCCAGGTAAGGCCATTTGTAATACATTTACAACAGTCATTCAAAGAAGAGAACAGAAACTTCCAAGTTTGCACACCCCTTCTTTTATACTGCTAAAGTTCAAAATTTCTCTGCACAAACAGAGAGACCTGGGAACTGCCTAGATGGCTGAGATGTCTTTTCCAATTTGCTCACCAGAGCAGATGACCCCAGCATCCTCATGGTGACCACAGTTATGGATGCCCCAACCGAGGCTAAAACAGGCTGAGAGTTGTGGCTCATTTCCATCGCAATTCACATTATCTAGGAGGATGCGCCCAGTGCCGTAGCCGAAGTAGGAGTTGGTCCTGTAGGCCACCGCACGACCACAGTCCATCTGCTTGCATACGACGTTGGCATCACGCAGCTCCCATTCATCATCACACACAGTGCCCCAGTTTCCTTTGTAGAATATCTCCACTCGGCCTTGGCAGGCGTTAGCCCCATTAACCAGCCGGATTCTCCCATCACCTGAAAGAGACCAGAGGATCATCCAACCATCTGCCTTGCTGTATTTATCGCTTTTGAGAGCAAGAGTTCTTGAGTTCTTCTTACAGAAAGAGGCAGAGATGCCAACTAAAAAGAAACCAAGAAGACCTGGGGGAAAAACATTATTAAGGGGCCACTATTATGCAATGTTTCACTTTTCTCCTCTGCCAAGATTGACTTTTTCCAATAAGAAAAGGGAACCAAACGAAAAATAGCCAGTACCAATGAATGGAAGAATTGATCATCTGAACTCTCTCATCCTGTGCTATAAAATTCCATGAACAAAGCAAAGAATTGCAATGGCTATTCAGTACCTGTAGTAAAAAGTTGTTATAGTTACCAGATACTACTCTATCCAAGCCTAACATAAACATCTGACATAAACGAGTACTTTTGCCCAGCTTCTATTTTCCTCCCTTTCAGATGCTGTCCACCATATGCTACATTATATTATAAGGCCCCTGAGACAAATATCCTTTCCTTCCTTTTCCAAGATGTATGCTTGCAAAAATAAATAAGCAAGCCAGCTAAAGATTTTTTATTAAATCTAGAAAGCACTTACTTTTCTTATCTTTTAATGCGACTGCGGTTGTTTTGCTGGCAGGGTCTTTTGCTGATTGTGTGGGTAGCAGTTCTACACAGACAGACAAAATTGATGCAAGAAAATCAAGAAAACCATAAAATAATTATATCAACATCATAGGCTTTGTATCCTCCCCCATCTTCTTTGTATATGTAGGCTCTGTAACTTGTATTTGTTAGCACTGATGATGTTACCTAGTTTGGTAACGAAACATCTGCAAGAAAACTACCAAGCTCAGAGAGCACCAAGGACCCCACAACTTCTATTTTAAATTACAATAGGTCAACTTGATGGATTTAACCAGCCTTCCCAAACGTATGCCCTCCAAATATATTTCAAGAATCTCTAGTCTTAGAACATCTGAAAGACACCAATTGGGGAAGATTGATGGGGAAAAAAACCTTTAAAAAAAGCTCAGCCATATGCTCCCCTTAGAAATAATATTTAATCCATAGGCAATGTTACTATTATTATTTATTCTGGTGACATCCAGATTTTTAATTGATATATCTGGTATTTCAGGAGCAGATAATGTGATGCTCATATCACATATTGCCTGGAGATACATCTCAAGGTACCATCAGGTTCTCCACCTATCCCTCCCTCTCTGAAAAAAATTATCTTACTATGGTCACTTCTCAATAATAATAATAATAGTAGTAGTAGTAGTAGTAGTAGTAGTAAAGTTGGAAGGGACCTTGGAGGTCATCTAGTCCAACCCCCTGCTCAGGCAGGTAACCTTATACCATTATACCAATAGATATTGACCACTAGATATAGAAGGATTCTGCGTTGTGAATTCCTTTCCTTGTCTGAAAAACTTACTTAGTAACCTACTTCCTCTTTCATCACTTCCTTCGTCTCCCAGTTCATCCCTTTCTCTTCTCTCTCTGACCTGTGCAGATCAGATGCTGTGCTTATAAAAGGGACTCTTAGCTATAGGCAGTACTTGAGTAATTGAGGCTGCCTTACTGCCATCTGTGTGTATACACACATACACTATGCCCTAAAGTCAGTTTTTGACTCCTGGCAACTGGATGAGCCTTTGCAGTTTACCGTACTTGGCAAGGTTTTTCAGAAATGGTTTGCCAGTGTCTCCTTCCCAAGGCTGGGAGGAAGCGACTGATCTGCCTCCTGTTACTAGCTGGATGACTTCAACCACTACACCAAACTGGCTCTCCTTAGCACCGTTTCTCTTTACATGCAATCACCCCAACAAACTGTGCCGTTTCCTCAAACGTTGCCTGCCCCATACTGTGCCAGCTGTCCTGATCAATTTAGTCAGTCCTGATTGCCTTTTGCACTACAACTGTTTCTGATCCACACAAAGCAGCTGTTTAAAAATGCTCTGAAGACAGGATTCTCTTTTGCTTCTAAAAGTGCTATTATTCAACCACTCTTTTAATCAAGGCTTCCTCACTTTTTTTATCCAATTGATGAAAGCCCAGACAGAACCAGCTGTACTTTTTTTAATGAGAACACTATAGCACAGTGATGGCGAACCTTTTAGAGATCGAGTGCCCAAACTTCAACCCAAAACCCATTTATGTATTGCTGGGTGCCGGGTGGGTGTGGCTGCCGGGTGGGTGTGGCCCACTGGGTGGGCATGGCTACAGTGGTCATGGCAGACTGGTGGGCATGGCCAGGGTGGGCATGGCCAGCTCGATGTTGCTCCTGGGGAGGGACGCCTGTGGGGGCCGGGCATGGTTGGGGAGATACAGGGATCTCTGGCGGGTGGGGCGGTGGGCAGAAGGCTGGTTCTGCGGGGTGAGGCAAGGCAGGGCGGGGGTGCCATTGTCGCAGGGGAAGACGAGGCAGGGGCCGTGGCGGTTGCTGCCTGACACCATTGGCCCCGGACAAAGGCCAGCAAGTGCATGGGTGCTGGGATGCATCCAGCCACGTGGGACCTCTGCAAGTTAGCAGGCGGCTGGTTGAAGAGGATGGTTGCCATCTCCTGGGCATGGCACACATGCCCACAGAGAGGGCTCCGGGTGCCGCCTCTGGCATGCGTGCCATAGGTTCGCCACCACTGCTATAACATGTTTAGTCTTACTTCAGAGCAGGGGTGTCAAACTGCCGGCCCACGGGCCAGATGCATCATGCCGAAACCGCGCCCACCCCATTGCCGGCAATGGGAAAAAAGTCACGATACGTTGCAACATGTCATGTGATGTTGTGAGTTTGACACCCCTGCTTTAGAGCAAAATACAGGAGATAAATAGCATCTTTTCTGACTAACAACTTTATTAAAAGGCATAAACTTTCCTGAGCTGCAGTGTAGATGTTTTAATGACATTTGATACGTGCAAAGTATGCTACCAAATTCTTCCTGATTCTTAATGAGGTGCAAGTCCTAGTTTAAATGTTCCCTTTCATGAGGTGATAAGGAAAATACTGTATTTAGAGGGCCAAACATTTCTTGAAACTGCAAAAATCATCAAGCTTTTCACTGGCGAAAGAGCACAAAGCTGATAGCGTAGGCTGTCAACTCTCTCTGCCACTTCCAGCCTTGAAAGGAACAGAGGATTATCTGTTGAAGATCTGGTTTAAAGAGATATAGATCAGATTCCTATAATACACTAAGCCAAAATGAAATCCACATTATGGCATAGTGCAATGTATGATGTTTCTGGTGATGATAAGGATATAGGCAGTCCTCAACTTAAAACTATTTGTTTAACCACTGTTTGAAGTTACTGTGACATTGAAAAAAAATGACTTATGACTAGTTCTTACAACCGTTGCAGCCATTCCCACTGTCATGTGATCAAAATTTCGATGCTTGGCAACTGGCGTGTATTTCCAATGGTTGCAATGTCCTGGGGACACATGATGTGATCCCCATTTGCAACCTTCTCACCCTGCCATCAACGCTGCTAACACTGGATGTTCCTATAAACAAAGTCAACGGAAGAAGCTGGATTTGCTTAACTGTGTGATTCACTTAACAACCATGGCAAAAAAAAAATCAGGGTGACTCACCAAAATCAACTTGCTCACCAACAAAAATTCTGGTCCTAATTCTTGTAGGTCGAGAACCACTTATATTCCCCTTCAAGGGAGTTATATTACAGCCTCTACTTGTTCTGGCTTTCAAACATGACTTGAATAATCTGTAATTTCTGGATTTATGTTTTAATTATTGTTCTATTTCTACTGGATTACACCCAGTGCAGAGGGGCTTTAGGAAGCCCCAAATAGAGGTTGGTAGGCTGTAATTGGCCTCCGACTACACATGTTGCAACTCGTTTTGCAGAACCAAATGAAGACAGAAGAGAAGGCTCAAATCTCATTCAGCTATGGAGTTTGCCTGGATAACTTTGGGCTCAGGATTATTTCTCAATCTAAAATGTTGATTCTTTCAGATAGTCTATGACAGTGGTGGCGAACCTATGGCACGCGTGCCAGAGGCGGGACTCAGAGCCCTGTCTGAGGGCATGCATGCCATGCCCCGGAGATGGCGGGGACTGGCCCCCGCCGCCCTGGCCCCACCCACCCAGTCTGCCATGACCACCGCAGCCACGCCCACCCGGCGATAAATAAGTGGGTTTTAGGTTGCAGTTTGGGCACTGGGTCTCTAAAAGGTTCGCCATCACTGGTCTATGAGATTTCAAAAAAAAAAAAAAAGGGAGAGGACTCTATACAGGTAGACCTTGACTTATGGCTATGCTGGATGATAGGCCTGGGAAGTCTATTTATGAACACAAAGAAAGTGGTTATTTTCCTTTTTAACTGTTAAGCTTTTGTTTCAGGTCATTACTACCCTGCAGAGATTAGAAAAAAAAAATACAGGTAGTCCTCAGATGACCATGATTGAGCCCAAAATTTCTTTTGCTAAGCGAGACAGTTGTTAAGTGAATTTTGCCCCATTTTATGATCTTTCTTGCCACCGCTGTTAAGTGAATCACTGCAGTTGTTATGTTAGTAACACAACTGTTAGCGGAATCTGGCTTCCCCATTGACTTTGCTTATCAGAAGGTCACAAAAGGGGATCAGATGACCCCGGGAACACTGCCACTGTCACAAATATCAACTAGTTGCTAACCATCTGAATTTTGATCACATCCCATGGGGATGGCGCGACGGTCATAAGGGTGAAAAATAGTCATAAGTCACTTCTTTCAGTGCTGTGGTAACTTGGAATGGTCATTAAACGAACTGTCGTAAGCCGAAGACTGCCTGTATTCACACCATGAACTGCTGAAGGAAAGACAGTTCAGACCTACCACAAATGCTCAATCAATAAACAAACGAATCAGGTTGGAGGGTCCACTTTGATACCACCAGTCCCTTCCCCACCACCACTGCAATCCACCAGGCCCAACCCTTTGTACCATTACACATGACGGCCACATCTTCATAGTGGTAGCAGTTGTGGATGCCCCATCCATGGCTGCTGCACTCACTGAGGGCTGCCTCTCTGCCTTTGCAGTCCACATTGTCTAGAAAAATGGGTCCTCGCCCTCTGCCAAAAGAGAGGGCGGGTGGCATGGCGATGGCATGGTTACAACCGAGTTGGCGGCACACCACGTTGGCATCCACAATGTCCCAGTCATCGTCACACACTGTGCCCCAGGTATTGTTGTAGAAGATCTCCACCCGTCCCTGGCACCGGGTGCGTCCGTTGACTAGCCGTACCTCTGGAAGAAAAGAGGGGAAAGCTACTGTCTTGAACAACTCAAGAAGACTACAGTGGGGCAGGAACAGCTGCATCATGGCTGGTGAGCAACTAATGTAGGGTCAGGCAAATCGTCTGGAGCTAATTTTACATATTGGAATTCAAAGTCCCAAAGGTACACTGGGTTGGCATAAAGAAGTAAGTGGGGCTAAGACAAAAATTTAATTTAATTTAAACAAATAATATTAATTAAAGCCTGGGAACAAAATTCTACCATGGAACTTCCCAATCTCAAAATGGGCCATTCTGAGTCTTCTGAAAGTAGCTGGACATCAAAGCAAATTTCTGGGTTGGAATATTCTGTGACAGGATATTTTGCATATCCTATTTATGAAATACAGCTGATATAATTATTCTCTGCATTCTGAAAATTTCTTCCTTTTGAGTCCATTCAACTAGTTCTACCAGGAGCAGCTCATGATTTTTGAGGCATCCACTGAAATCTTTCAGGGTGATCAATCAAGTATGTTAGGGGTTATACTGCATCCTGAGGCATTATTGCACTAAGGGGAAGTAAATCTGCTAAAATGAAAAGCTATTTAACATAGCTATGGCCCATTAAAACTGCAAATTCTTCTTGGACTCAACCCAAGGGAAAGAATTACGGTGGCTGCTAGGATTAGAGCCATCAACCCCAAACTTTGTGGATCACTGTTTCTTCCGGTGAACTATCAGAGCTTCACAGACAGGGGGTCTATGGAGATTCTCAGTCATCCAGGTCATGGTTGTCCCAAAGGTGCTTTTTTCAAAAGGCAACTGGACTTTTTTTGTTTTTCTTTGAAGACGTTTCGTTTCTCATCCAAGAAGCTTCTTCGGCTCTGACTGAATGGTGTAGAATTGAATCCTTCCACTCTCCACCATTCAATCAGAACTGAAGAAGCTTTTGGGATGAGAAGCAAAACGTCTTCAAGGAAAAACAAAAAAAAGTCCAGTTGCCTTTGAAAAAAAAAACCCTTTGGGACTACAGATGGAATATTTCAATAAGTGATAGTTTTTCTGGCTTGATCTAACCATCCAGACTGCACAACGTCTGTTATCAATTATAACCTGCTGTGTTATAATTCTGAGGCATGCTCTCTGGCTCTCATCTTGCAGCTCTGATTTCTTAGTCTCACATATAATTTTTAGTTTCAGCTTGATGGTCTTCTACATTCAACTTGTCTCTCGAAGCATTCTATCAGCTGGCCTTGGGTCTGGGCCTCTACAATTGTCCAACCTCAAGGGATCTGCCAACCGGGAGGAAAATATCCAGCATGTTCTGGAGCCCAACCACACCTTAAAGTACAAATTCTTGAAAAACATTGAGGATCATTGGCTCCTGTTTTTATGCCCAGCTGCTAGCAATGGCACTTAGACTTATATACCGTTTCATGGTGCTTTACAGCCCTTTCTAAGTGGTTTACAGAGTCAGCACATTGCACCCACAGTTCGGGTCCTCATATTACCGACCTCGGAAGGATGGAGGGCTGAGTTAACCTTGACCCAGTCAGAATCTAATCAGGCTGGGGTAGAGTTAACCAGCAATACTGCATTCTAACCACTCCACCAGTCCAGCTGTTATTGCTGGCACTACCATGATGCCTAGCAAACACCTGCTAACTTTAGGTGTACATTATGTCCATTATGATTTAGTTGGGCTCAGATACAATGAACCATCACTTTTTTGCTAAGTATCAATTCTCCCCAAGGTAATCAAGTTGAATGTTACAACAGATTGTTTTCTATCTGAAGAGCTTTCTATTCTAAGCCCAGTTTCAAGATAAAGAGCCATGAGAAGGCTATTTTAACACCTGGTTATCAGATTGAGCTTTAACTGTACAAGTCAAGCATTTACTTTGATGAAATATATTTCAGTTTGAATTACTGTAACTCTTTCCTATTTGGCATCTATATAGATAAACTAGCATTTATTCATTTGATCAAAATTCCTGAGCTTCCAACGAAACCCATACGGTGCATTCTTCAGAGTTAGAAATTGACAAAATGTAATTGAATGATTATGCAACATCAACTTATGCTGAATTTTAGCCATTGCATTGGTAGATTGGCAGAAGGTCTTAACGTGGAATTTATTGATAAAAGTTGCCTATGAAATTTAATAAGGACTCTTAAAATAGATAGAAGGGAAATAGCATGTCTTAGAGTTCTAATAAATAGCAAATGGAACATACACACAAACACACCAGCAAAACTGGGGAGTCCCAGGTTACAAATATTAAAATAGAAAGTTTGGTAGTATGCCCTTCAGGAAAGCAGGAAGAAAATCAACTGCTCAAAGAATGATGTTGTAGGAAACAAAGCTGGAAGGAGTTGATAGTAATGCTAAAGCAACACAAAGGCCAGATATGGAAGAGTCTTAAAATTCTATATGCATCTCCATATAACACAGTCTCACCTGGAATGGTCATCGGTGCAGCCCCAGTGCTGCCAGCTGCAACAATAAAAAAATAATATAAGTTCATGCAAATTCAATTATATCCCCATTTCAGGAATTAAACCTGGACATCCTTCTCCATCTGTTGACTTTCAGGTGTGCTGAGACTTACAACAAGCTGTATTACCATTTGTCTAAAAATTCTTTATCAAACCTTCCACCAACCAGGTTACAGGCTTGGAAGTCCCTTCCAACTCTAGGATTCTAATGACTCACATTCCAGAATCCCCATCCTTGTAGGATGACAGGAAATTCAGGGAACTGTTAATCTCAGCAGTGGAAAGCAACAAGATTGGGTTGGGACTTCTGGAGCTGAAATCCACACATCTACAGTATGTATGTATGTATGTATATGGGAAAAGATGAGCTCAAAGGAACCGTTCTTCATATTCAAGGGAACACGAAGAACTATTGCAGGAATTGGTTATGTCTAGTTTAATGAAAAGAAGGACTAGGGGTGACATGATAGCAGTCTTCCAATATCTCAGGGGTTGCCACAAAAGAGGGTGTCAATCTATTCTCCAAACTTTAGACAACTATTAGTCTGAAATGGTATAGGGCAGGGGTGTCAAACTCGCTACATCACATGACGTGTTGCGACATGTTGCCACTTTTCCTCCATGCCGGAGCTGGGGTGGGCGTGGTTTCAGCATGACCTATCTGGCCCAGAAGCCAGATTGACACCCCTGGTATAGGGTTTCCTGCCTGAGCAGGGGTTTGGATTAGAAGGCCTTCAAAGTCCCTTCCAACTCTGTTATTCTGCTACATCTTTTTCCAGTGATGGAGCGCCCACGATTTCTAGGGGTAAGCTGTTCCATTGGTTGATTGTCCTCACTGTCAGGAAGTTTCTCCTTAATTCCAGGTTGCTTCTCTCTTTGATCAGTTTCCAATCATTGTTTCTTGTCCTTCCCTCTAGTGCTCTTGTGAACAACCTGACCCCTTCTGCCTTGTGGCAGCCCCTCAGATACTGGAATACTGCTATCATGTCTCCCCTATTTCTTCTTTTCTTTAGACTAGCCAAACACAAGTTTTGCAGTTGTTCTTCGTATGTTTTGGTCTCCAGGCCTTGGATCTAGGCCATCCTGTCATGTTTAAAAAACAATGGATTTTACAATGATGGAATTCAGAGGTTATTTAGTGTGGAATAGGCAATTTTTTCATGGTCAAGAACTAGGTTTATTACTGCGAGCCCCCCCACCCCAAAAGCCAGAAAATGAATGAGGCTAAGTTTTGCAAAGATATATTAGGGTTTTTTCCCTTTCTAACTGTGATAATTTTACTTTGGAGCTTATATTATCTTTTTTATGTTATTTCTGATCTCAGTGTGATAGGAAATTATGCTGCCATTTATTGTAATGATGGCCAGAGAAGGTTTTGTGGGCTGCAAAAAGGGAATTTGGGCAAACATTGATCACCTCTGGCCTAGTGCCAAGACTGAGCAACATATTTTCCTCCAGGACATATATTTTATTAATTTTTTAATCCGGCCTTTATTACTTTTTTAAGTATCTCAAGGCAGCAAACATAATGATATTCATTTGCCCACAACAACACCTCTGTGAGCTGAGTTGGGCTGAGACAGAGTCACTGGCCCAAAGTCGCCCAATCAGCTTTCATTGCATTTGATGACTAAGGCAAGACTAGAACTCACAGTCTTCTGGTTGCGCTAAGGTCAAGAAAAACTGCCCGCCATTGAATATGTTTGGAGAAGAGCAGGTGCAGTCTAATTCAAGGACACATACACATTTGCTTTCTCAATTTCTAAAACTTCTTGCTATTAGGATGAGAGCAGCCTTTTCTCCTCTATTTTAGCCAGAAAAAACTGTTCTCTCCCAGTCTTCCAAATAGCTGTTTGGTGGGTGGGAAGTAATAACATCTACATGGAGAAGAACTAGAACCAAATACTGGTGTACAATTGCATTTGATTCACATTAGACTGCAATTTGGGGAGCCAAAGTCTATCATAGCTACAGAGCAGTAGGAGGGAAAGGCTGTTGCACATCATCTGACATTCATCCTCTTTCTAAGTCAGCGGTTCTCAACCTATGGGTCACAACCCCATTTGGGGTCGAACGACCATTTTACGGGGGTCGCCAAACAATGCGATCCGCCATTTTTCCCCCTCAGGGGGCGGCGCAGCGCATGTGCACCGTGCATGCGCGTCCGTGTGACGGCAGTCGCCGTCACACAAAGGTTGAGAACCGCTGTTCTAAGTCCTCATGATCTGCCATTCAGGTACATCAAGTGCCCAGTTCCATCGCCAAGCACCAAACATTTGAGTTCTACATTCACTGGGGGAAAGAATTAGGTTTACGATTCTATGCCTATGCAAGATCATGAAACAGAGATCAGATGCTTGAGATTTGCGTACACATTTGCACAGTAGCTAACTTGCCCCAGTTCCAAATTTAGACATTGCATTTGGGAATTTCACATAAAAGTGAAAATGAAAATCGGTTTTCTAATCTTGAAAGCAACAAGAAAAGCAAGGAGCTGAGAAGGTGATCAACAATTTGAATTTCATTTCTTTTGGATGATCAGGCATTATAGTATGGATTAAAGGACATGGAGGCAGGGAAGGACTTTTGCCTCTCCTCTGCTTGGAGTGTTCATCTAACTGCACTGATTTGCTTACCATGACAAAAATCAGACACAGCTCACTTAAAAAGTACCTTGCTTAGCAATGAACAGAACAGAATAAGAGAATTGGAAGGGACTTTGGAGGTCTTCCAGTCCAACCCCTTGCTCAGGCAGGAAACCCTATACTATTTCAGATAAATGGTTGTCCAATCTCTTCTTTAAAAACCTCCAGGATTGGAGCACCCACAACTTCTGGAGGCAAGTTGTTCCACTGGTTAATTGTTTTAATTCCCAGCAAATTTCTCTCTTTGATTAGTTTCCATCTGTAGCTTCCTGTCCTGCCTTCAGATGCTTTAGAGAATAACTTGACCCCCTCTTCTTTGTGGCAGCTCGAGATATTAGAACACTGCTTTCATGTCACCCCTCGTCCTTCTCTTCATTAAACTAGACATATCTAATTCTAGCAACCGTTCTTTATGTTTGCTCTTCTCTGCACTCTTTCTAGAGTCTCAACATCTTTTTTATATAGTGTCAACCAAAGCTGGATGCCATATTCTGGAAATTCTGGTCCCAATTACAAGTCAAGGATTACCTGCTTTTGTCCATTTACAATCATTTGTATGCTATCTAATTTCATAACTATAGATGGCCTAATAAGGAGCAGCGGAGGAAGAAAAGGAGGAGGGGGGATTACTCACCTGTTAGTAAAAGGAAGAAGAATGGAGCCAGTGTTGGCAGGGTCAGTAAGGCAGGTGGTACCCAGAGTCCTGGCTTCTGATCTTTCTTCCTGTAACCTGGCCAAGGTCCAAAGTTCATTTCTGCTTCTTGCAGGATTAAGTGGACGATTTTCAATGTTCTCCCAAGGGACGTCTGCCAAGCCACACCAGGAAGAGGGAAAAACAGTGCCGGGGCACCCGTCTCTCATCACGTAAAAGACATGAAACTTGGCATGGTAGAGAAATGTATGAAGGTTGTATTTTAATGCAAATTAGCTCAGTTTAATTTCCTTATACACCAGCCTTCCCCAACCTGGAGTCCCCCCCCCCCCCACGCTGCCTTTTGTCAGTTTCTGAGAATCACAGGTGGTATGGTGGTGATGTGGCATGACGTTACTGAGGGTGGGACTCAATGCCCCAATTTTGCTCAATTAAAAATAACCTATCTCTGCAATTCCAACAGTTCAAAAAAGTTATGGAGCAATCTCTGGGACCATGAAAACTGCTGGCTGGTTGCTCTAATAACGCAGTGTTTCTCAGTACTTTAAGAGGCATGAAGTTCAGCTCCCAGAATCCCCTAGCCAGCATGCTGGCTGAGGAGTTCTGGAGTTGAAATCCATGCCTCTTTAAATTGCTAAGGCTGGGAAAGACTGCTTTAATCCTAAAGCTGCCCATCTCCTCTTACCCTCTTAACCTCCATAATCCAGCCTCAAAGGGACTATTTGAGATAGAGTGAAAGAAACACATCTCTCTCCCCCTGTGGACCTACAATTTCTCTCTCACACACTCTTCTCCATTCTTGAGTCCTGCACACTGGCAGACAAATGGCATCTGGGAATGAAAAACAATCTACTCCATCGGTGTGTGTGTGTTTGAATGCTCTATTCATCCCTCATGCTGCGGACACTCCTTTGCAAATAATGTCGACTTTTGTCCTGTGGGGCCCTTACCTGCCTTTCCCTCTCCTGCTGGCCACTGAGAAAGACTGAGCGATGGCAGATGAATCGGCCTCAAGCCAGCAGCGTGAACCTGTCCTGGGCTTAAGGAAAGTGTGTGGCTTGGCCTCAGGTTATTCTTCACCTGACTCCCCCCCCCCCACTTTTCAGAACTGCAATAGGAGAAGAAGCATCTCCACCTTGCCAATTGCACGATCTGCATATTTTACCAGTTTTCAAAGGAATCTTTCAATTTGTAGATCATTACATGCTGTATAGGCATATCTTTTAAAGTACAGGTAGTCCTTGACTTGTAACCATTTGTTTACTGTTGTTTGAACTTATAATGGCACTAAACATGTGACTTACGACTGGGCCTCACACTTATGGCTGTCGCAGCATCCCCACGATTACATGATCAAAACTCAGGTGCTCGGAAACCAGCCTGTATTTGTGATAGTGGCGGTATCCCAGGGTCACATGAAAGCCATTTGTGACCTTCCCAGCCACTTCTGACAGGCAAAGTCAACAAGGGAAGCCAAGTTTATTTAACAACAGCATAAGTCACTTAACAACTGCAGTAACCACGGCAAATCTTGTCTGAGATGGTATAGGTTCTCCTGCTTGAGTAGGGGGCTGGACTAGAAGACCTCCAAGGTCCCTTCCAACTCTATTCTATAATAATAATAAAAACGGTTTAAAATTGGGTGTGACTCATTTAACAATCATCTTGCTTAGCAATGGAAATTCTGGTCCTAATTGTGGTCACAAGTCAAGGACTATCTGTATGCACATTTTGCAATTCACTTTCATGCATTTCTTGCAATGGTGTATTGATGATGGCCAATAGGCTTTCTGCAAGTTTTGATAGACATTATTCTGTTAAATGTTCTAGTAGAGAGAGGTTCCCTGAGGATGGGCTCCAGCACGTGTCCGAGAGCTCAGAGCACTAAACCTCTGGTCCCAATGACCATTTCAGATTGGAAGCTGCAGTAATATAGTAGTTGCAAATATTTTATAGAATAACAGAATTATAGAAATTGGAAAGGACCTTACAGATCATGGAAACCAAGACTCTGCAACAAGTTGGAAAACCACAGCAACCTCTACAGTGTTTGGCTGCTTTCCTCAGAATGACAAGAGCAGCAAAGTGGCCTGATAACAGAAGCTCCACCTCTTTGTGGTACCTGTCTGTATGAGACATCACAATGCCCATACAAAAGGGACGGGATTTGCATCACAATGACACAACACTGCTTTCATTGATCGGATTCCTCCTGTTCCTTTGGGGACACCAGTGATAATCAATTAAACCAGTGGTTCTTAACCTGGGCGATATTGCCCCCCAGGAGGTGATTTTGTTATTCAGGGGGGTGATGGAACAAAAAGGGGCGACACGGCGAAGGAACAAAAAGGGGGCGATATGGGGGCGATGGAGCGAGAAGTTTTGGGGACACTTTTGAGACTTTTTGGTACAGTGAATCACTGTATATCTGATGGAGGGGGGAGTGCTTTTTTTGAAACATCGCATGCAGAGTGGCTCTGTAAAACATTTTGTATTGTACTTTTATAGCGTGCATTCCAGTTTGTTATTATATTTTTTTGTGTCTTTTTAATCCTTTTTACAGTGTGCGTGACTTTATATACTTTCCTCAAATCTTAATTTAGTTTCAGAGTTTTTGTCTTGAAATTCTTAGTTCCTGCATTGTGATTTATTCTTATGCCCTTTTTATATTTCTTTTTGCATCTTAAATTTCACTTGTAATTCAGTCATTAAATGTTACTGTTTTTCTTTTCGGGCATTTCACTTTCTTGCAATTGAATTTTGTTTTCAGTGGTCACTACATTTAAGTGTCTTGAATAAATAAGATAATAATGAAATACATGTATCACAAAGTTTGGGAATAAAGTGATGGGTGGCACCAAAAATTTTTCACACAGTTGAGATGTGGGAAAAAGACTGGAAATAAATTATTTGCATCGATATGTCCTGATGACAATTTTAAAGAAAACAAAAAAAGTGTTTGGATAAATTGAAGAATTATTTCCTATGTTATGATTGAGAGGTTATGTTGGGGGGGGGGGCAATGACAACTTCCTCATTGGCTCAAGGGGGCGATTTATTCAAAAAGGTTAAGAACCACTGAATTAAACCATACTTGAGAGATAACCGTCTTTAAAGGTTCCTAAAAAATAACTAAAACAACCAGAAATTGAGAAGACACCATTTCTGTAGCTTAGTGTTTCTCAATCTTAGCAATTTTAAGAATGCTTGGACTTAGCCAAGTTCTCAGCCAAATTAAGTAGAAGAAGCACCTGCCAGAAATATACAGGCCTGAATTATATTTCAGGCATCTGATGTCTTCTCTTTTCCCCTTTCTGCCTTTCTGTTTTGGGCTACAGCAGGAAGGATAAAAAAATCTACAAATCTAACAAGGCTTCAAACTGCATTACTATATGGTTACCTCAGGGAAGATAAGAATGAAATCTTTAGAAGTCCTGAAGTTTCTGTCCTCTGTGACTGAGATTTAATACTCAGATTTCTTTATCCACCCTTTAATTTTTTTTCTGGTTTGTGACATGTCCTTTAGTTGGTAAGCCTAACATCTGATCTTTAATAGGCCATTCCAAAGGTCTTTTTTCAAGTAAAAGATAGGGTGATAAAAATGCTATTCATACATCAATGGAGACCTAAATATTTAAGAACATGTTTAATGTCTATGGAGATTCTCAGTCATCCAGGTCATAGTTGTCCCAAAGGGGCTTTTTCAAAAGGCAACTGGACTTTGATTTTTTTGTTTTTTTATTTTTTATTGAACAAGCACCTTTGAGATAAGAACATGTTTCTGTGCAGAGACTCTCTTTTCTTTGTTAAACTGAATCTGTTGCAATGAATTATTTAATCTGTAGACCCTGATTTTGGAGAACCACACAATTACAGTTTCTGGTTTATTAACAGACAGCCTAGCAAAACTGACCTCTAGTTCAAGTATGCCACCTGATAGAGGAAGTTATCTTTGGACCCTGTGTTGCTGAATAATTACAGATCCATGTGTATCTGTTTTCATCCAAGTTGGCTACATAATTAGCAGGTAAATGGCATAGCTCTAGAATTCCTGAGTGAACTTGGTCGTTCAGGTTTTTAATTCCTTGGTTTTAGACTAGATTTTAACTTGCTGTGTTTTCTTGGTTCGTGGAAGATGCTAAAGTTGTGATAGCACATCGTATGATTTGTTTTTGCCTCAGTGTGTTGCGTGAACTTTGCTAAGATGCTTTGTAATCTGCTAATAAATAATTTAGTTTGTTGTGTGAAAACCCAGTCAACTGTGTCTGATTAAGTCAATCTAGGTTTAAGTGACAGAGTATGATTCTCTGGGGAATGGTCTACTGGCTGATTTTTGACCCTTCTGCAATTTTTAAAACCCTCTAAATCATGGGATTCTTCTAAACAGCTTTATGGGATTTAGGTGAATTACTAATCCATTCCTGAGTAGATAATTTGAAATGAGCATGTGTCTGTATACATGCATATACAATAGAATAGAGCTGGAAGGGACCTTGGAGGTCTTCTAGTCCAGCCCCCTACTCAAGCAGGAGACCCTATACCATTTCAGACAAGAAATGTACTGTATAAACATATATGTACACACACACACACACATATACAGCATACATCCACACATAAGGATTTCAGAAACCATCTAGCGCAGGCATGTCAAACTTGCAACGTCACATGACGTCATGCGACATATCGCGACTTTTGCCGGCAATGGGGTGGGCGCGGTTTCAGTATGCATCCAGCCCATGAGCTGGCAGTTTGAGATGCCTGATCTAGCGGGATTTGAACCTCAATCATTTCTATTGTTTGCAGGTAATGGGGATGGTAAGAATGATAACTGTGATGTAATTAAGCATTTAAGCATAATTCGCAATTAAGCATTCAATCTTTCTGTTCCATTTTAAAATGTAGGCAGATGCTCAATTCTCCCTATCCAAAAATTGAAGAGTCCTAGCAGTTTAAAAAATAGATTTAGTCTACTCACAACTAATAAAATACAAGTATATATAAACATCTAGAGATAATCTCACCTTCAAGATTCACCTTCACTCTTGCCTCATAAGGTTTGACTCCAGATTTCTCACCATTTTCCTTACTTTTCTATGGTTAGTCAGCTTGTTAAGCCTTAAATGGTTTTAAATGTATGAAAATTCAGCACATACCCCTTTACAATTTTTGGAAACTGAGAACCAAGAATTCCAATAAACATCACCAAACTGTACCAGATATTCACCTAAAAATTGGAAAGTGAGAATTGCCTTGTTGGGATCAAGTGCAGTATATAGGACAAATTTTCCATCATGTACCTTGTTAAGATTGACCTGTTAAGTGACTCCCCAAATTATTTCACAAGTGAACAATATTTTCTTACGATGAAATGTCACTAGTATATTTTCAATACTTGTTTATTCGCAATTATTATCTTTAAAATAGTTTTCAAAAATAAAATATAGTTCAAGAATATGGAAAATTAATACTGATGCTAAATATTGCGTATCAGTTCTATTCCTTTGAATGTACAGCTCTAGCAATATCTTGTATTTAGGACAAGCAGAATGGCTACTTTTTCTTATCTTATATAAGGGAGTATTTCCACAAATGCTGTAAATATCAAAAGAAAAAGGAATTGTAAAGATCACCTACCTGTTGGCTATTCTGCTTTCCACTGTTGAAACAAAATCAGGGTTACATCCCAAAATCTATGAAGATGAAGGGAAAGGAAAAAAAGCAACTCATAAAAATATATTCTTTAAAAATTGAATGGCAATCTCTATGCCAAGAAGAGCAACCCCTTTTCCTTTGTCCTTTTTCTTTCCTTGCAAATTCTGAAGAAGCATGGAGGGAAAAGTCTCATCTATTAATTGCCGGGTTCCAGTTTGTCATTGCAGTAACCTTGTGTTGTATGTATGTATGTATGTATGTATGTATGTATGTATCTATCTATCTATCTATCTGGAGCTGGTAAAGCAGGTAATTAAGTCTTAAAATTAAATTGTATGGCAATCATTCTCTTTATGCAGGAAGACATCTTCATTCAGTTTTCAAAAAAAAAAAAAAACCCATAACCATAAGCAAAGAGGCAGTGATTGGGAAATATTTCAGCGGAGACATCTCTGAAGGTACATAATTCTCTGATGAATGAGTCAAATTTCCAGAGAGGACAAAAGAAATGCAAGAGGTGTTTTCTCAAAGCTATTGATAGAAAGTGAATACCAGATTAGAAATTCTTTGGACAAAAGTATGCTGCTGATGGTGCTGCTGTTGTTTTGGACGGAGACATCATTTTTTAAACAGGAAGAAAATCTAAATTGGGAGGAAGTTATTAATGATCATTGGGCTACATCCATCTTGGCTGGAATTTCTTGCATACCAATCTCATGCCAGTAAAAAAAAAAAAAAGAAATCTCTTATTTTCATTTGGGGGTTTATTTTGTTTCACTTAGCCTGCTTGCCTCTATGATGGGTAAAAAAGAAAGAGACTATGAAATTTGGAGCTGACAAGAATTTTAAAAAATTCTGTAATCTATTTTTCTACTACAAAATTGTTGATTAAATAGCATAATATACTCCAACCTTGACTTACAACTACAGTTGGGACCAGAATTTCTGTTGCTAAGAATTTCTTTGGTTATTAAGTGAGTTGCACCCAATTTTACAACCATTTTTGCTACAGTTGTTAAGTGAATCATATAGTTGTTAAGCAAATCTTGCTTCCCTCATTGACTTTGCTTGTCAGAAGCTGACTGGGAAAGCACCAAATCATATGGGACATTATAAGTTACCAGCACTTTAAATTGTACCTGAAAACTAATTATGAACAAGTGCAGGCCCTACAGCACAGGTGTAATGTGCTCATGCCATCCTGTGGAAATTAACATGCAGTTTGCTGTACTTTGTACCAACTGCACTAAAATCAGCTGGGTGGCTATGCTTAAAATCCTTTAAAGCAGTGGTTGGCAATCCATGGCCTGTGGGCTACATCTGATCTGCCATCTGAAATCATCCAATCCATAATCTCAAAAAGAAATATATTCATCCAGTCTGCTGTCTCCTCGGTGGTTATTCTGGCACTGGATTCACCAACCACCTCAGCGTGGGCACAACAAGTCCTCTGCCTAGCACTAAGCCATGAAATGGAGAAGGAGGACAAAATGGCAGCAGTAGCATGGCCTCCACTTCCTATGCAGAAGAAGGTTACTAACTCAACTTCCGCTTTAGAGGATCTTGCAGTCAGTGCAGTTGTGGGATACATGGCCTTTACAGTGTTGGCACCTCAATTGAAGGCAGGAGAAACCTAACTAGTGGAGAAAAAAAATCTAGGAAAAAAACCTCTAATATCTCCCTATAAAAGAGTCAACTGGGCAATAGCCAATACCTCCCTTCTAAACATGCTTCATTCATACAGTAGAGCTATTATTAAAGGGTCAGAAATGTTCTAGAAGCCATGTTCTCCATGCTTTCCTTGTTACTGTAAAATAATCATCTCTAGCAGTGGCTGCCACAATGTGATCAGTGAACTGGATTAGCATAAAATTAGGCTATTTTAGCCATTCAACTTCATGGTCTGTCCCAGTTTTACAGCAGGGTGAAAAAAAGTTAAGAATAGAGACATCCTAAATAAAAGTGTTATTGCTCAAGAAATGCTTCCTATGGCTCCTGAGTAGGCCAAGTGGCTTTTCTTAAGCTGAATGGATGCCAGGGGGAGATAATAAATTCCTGCTTAAATTTTACTTTTTTTCCTGCTCCTGAAATCCTGAATATTTGCTCTGATCTTGGAATAGTTGCTAGTTACATGACATTGCAGAACACCAAAATACATTTCCAGTTTGTGAATAAAGTCAGCCTACCCCCTTCCCTGGTCCTTGTGTTATTTTTTTCCCCTGCCAAGTGTAGTCTACGTTCAGTTTGTGATGCTCCTGTAAGCCATATTAAAAAATGAAAAATAACATGTGAAGAAGTTTCAGGAAGAAGAGAAATTGCCTTGCATCAAAGGAAATCATTGCTCCATCAAGTGGCATTGTCTGCTTTGACTGCCTACTACCAGTGGGGTACACAGAAAGAGAATTGCAAAGGCAAATGGTGAAAGCTATTTTCCTCTGGTATGTACTTCATGATGCTGCATGCATGGATAAAAGGGGTGGAACTTGTCTTGCAATGGCGCAGTGTGACTTTTAATTTTTTTGATAAAAATGGAGGATTCTGCAAATGTCTGTGATTACTGGTGTCCAGGTATCAGGTGATTATCTCTTTTTCCTGTCCTAATTTGAAAACTGAACGTGACTCTTGCAGTGTTCTGCACATCAAGTGTATTCTCCATCACTTCTCATGTTATCTTTGTTACTGAACTTTATACCCAATCTGTTTATTCCAACGCTGACTACAACAGAGAATATAACACACAATTAATGTAATTAATATAGGAAGGACTGTGAGAGCTGCTGGCCAGTGCATGCATGCACACAGCTTGACTCATGTTCTCCTGCTTGAGCAGGGGGCTGGACTAGAAGACCTCCAAGGTCCCTTCCAGATTCTATTCTATTCTATTCTATTCTATTCTATTTGAGTGGGGGGCTGGCGCATGTGCAGCTCAACTCACACAAGTAGTGGGTCGGTATGCGCACAAGCAGTGAATCAGCACATACACACGACAGCCCACCACTTCCATGTGTGAGGTACACAAGAAATGTACATGTTGTAATTTTCCATTTCTGCTAAAGGAATAGGCATATAGAGGCACTTAGCTAAGGTATTTTTAGGAAAGGAAATATAACAAGCTGGAGGAATAGAGAGAAACTATAGACACTGACTTAAAGTATACTTTTAGAATAGTGCACACTATTGTAGAATAGCATGTAGCTTATGAATAACATATTATTCAATTTATATAAGACTTATTCTTTATAAAAAAACTCTCTAGAGTTAGTATTTCAAAGTATAACTACGAACCAAAATACAGCCATGAACCGAAGCATGAACTCTGTTACACACATAGCTTCTAGATATAAGGCAGGCATTCTTATAGAAAAACAAAGGAAGCCATAAATTCTTTATAATTGCAATTATTCAGTATGGGTGACAATTCACCTTGAAGATAAGGCTCTACCCCATGTTACAAATCATGTCACAGAAAAGAGAGTGAAGATAAGACAGGAGCAAAAGGGGCATTTGATCTAATAATTGGAGGGTCTGGTAATTGTAATGGTTGCTAGGCGGTTGGAAAGCATGTGACCGGGTGGGCCTATCAACTGGGCTCCCTTTGGAAGGCTGTGGAGTGATGCACAGGACAGGGTATAAAAACCTACGCAAAAATTGATTCAAGTGAGGACTCTGGGATTTGCCATTACCAAAAGTTCCACCACTTTTGCAAAAGCTTTACTAAAACTTGTTTTGTTTTCCAACACCCTTGGAGTTGAATTTTTATTTCTCACACATGGGCCAGTTCCTCTCCCTAGGCTGCCAAGACATAAAGGTTGGAGACTACTGGTCTCCCACAGCATTCTCAGACCAAAAATAATTCATATAAAAAAAGAAATATTTACTTCTAGGGGAGAAATATAACCCTTCCAGACTTTAAAAGAATTGTAAAATAATTATTTTATGTTTCACAGATTTTTTTTACCATTATTTGTTATAGAAGCCATTTTTCCTCCTTTATAGATAGTTCTCAGCTTGTAACTACATGTTTAGTGAACATTTGAAGTTACAACAGCATTGAAAAAAGTAATTTGATTGTTTTTCACACTTACGACAGTTGCAGCCACCCCATGGCTATGTGATCAAAATTCATACTTAGTACACGGCATGTATTTATGACAGTTGCAGTGTTCTGGGGTCATGTGATTCCCTTTTGCCACTTTCTGACTGATAAGTCAATAGGGAAGCCAGATTCACTTAACCATGTAACTAACTTAACAACTGTGGCAAGAAAAGTTCTAAAATGGGGCAAAGTTCATTTAACTGTCCTGCTTGGCAATGGAAAATTTGGGTTCAGTTGTGGTCATAACTTGAGGACTACTCATATTGTAAAGTTGCAAATAGGATACATTGTATTATTTCAGTACAAATCTCAATGCTTTGTGAGATTAAAAATTAACTGTTACTTAAAAAGCTTAAAGTATTGAAAATAAAAAGAGGGATGTAAACATTTCTATCAATATTGACATTTGGGATATTAGCATTACAAGTATAACATTTAATGTTCCATCCCCAAAAAAGAAGCTATGTTTAGGCAACCCATTCAAGTTTGAACTACAAGCAATCTGGACACAGCGCTTAGTGAGCACTTTGGTGCTCGGAAACAGGCTTGGTTCATTTGGAAAGCTAAGTACAGTCAGTCATGCTTAGCACCTGGTTGGGAAGCCACTAAAATGATCGCAACGCTACAGGGTGGTCTTGGAGGAAATAAAAATCACCTCAAACTTCTTCCATAACTTCCAAGAAAACAATTCTTCCTGTACAATTCTGCGTCCATGAAATCACTAGAAGGCGACTTGGTATAAACTCCTTGTTAAGAGAGAGGGAAAAAAGCAAAGACACCACGCGAACCCCGAGTCTTCCATGCCACTGCCCAGAATGCACCGCGGCAAAAGGCTGCCCCCCCCCCCTCCCGACTTCGCGGAGAGGAATAGGAGGATCGTGGGCTTGAAAGATTACATTTCCCGTGAAGCTCCGCACCACGTCCCCAAGCATGGGCGTCGAGCAGGAAGCCGAGGATAAGGCTGACGCGTGCGCATTTCCGTCACCCGAGGAGGCGATGCGGGACTCGCTGGAGAACTGCAGCTTTTGCCTTCTGGAGTGTTTTCCGGTAGCCGTTTCAGGTGAGGCCTTGGCTGGGGGTTTTGATGGCAGATTTCTCTCCAAGGAGTTGAGGGTAGACTAGGTGTCCGAATTCTCTGCTGAAGAAGGACCTTGGAGAAGGCTTTTCAACCTTCCTTTCAGTGGAGGTGCAAGGAAGGTGGCTGTCTGGTCTCGTATGTTGCCTTACTCCCAAGAAACTCGGAGGAGGGGGGAGGGATCCCTGAGTCTTTGCCCCCTTTTCTTTCTCTCATATTTTGACAGTTACCCTGTAGTTGCTTAAACTCAGCGTTTCTCAACCTTGACAACTTGGAGACGAGTGGACTTCAGTTCCCAGAATTCCCCAGCCAGCATAATTAGACCGAAAGAGAATGAATGCCATGTTGGGGTGTTTGTCATGATTGAGGAGTAACATTTAAGTCAATATTTAACACATCTCAGAATGTGTTTAAATGTGTATACCTTTGTACACCACTGCCTTTCTCGACAAAGCATAAGATAGTAGGTTATTGGCTTCCTTTTTTTTCTTTTTGCCTCCAGGCTGAGCATCATAGGAGTAACCAGGAAGCTTAGTTTAAGAACCAAAAAACTTAACTCTGCATTTCCCTGTAGTGGAAATGTATAGCTGGATCAGATTTCCTGGTTGGTGTCAAATGGCAATCACTTTCACAGTTATATCTGGCCCAAAAGGGATGGCATGATGATGATTATATTTTTATCCTACCCATCTATCTACAGTTAACATGCATATAAAGAGGAGTCTTTTATTATGTCCTTTAGCTTAATTACTTATTTTCTTGGTTTCACTCTTGAATTTTCCTTTGTAAATCAAAGTAATAAACAATTAGTTTTATCTTTATGCACCTATTTTAGATTTGCCCCTTTTTCATATTTGTCCTTTATTTTTTTCTAAGAAAATGTGGTCACTGTGTGTGTGAGAGAGAAAGGGACAAGGCAGCAGACATAGCTAATATTCCTGCCTCCTATTTTCCCCACAACTCTATGAAGTGGGCTGGGCATGTTGTTTTGCTGTTTCTTAAGCCAAAAGGAACTACAGTAAATTTGGTAATTTGACCTCTTTTGAAATCGGATCTGTTGTATGGTCCCTCCCAGGAAGGAAGCTGAATTTGTGTAAGAAGGGGTATCTTTTCTGTTTATTAAAAGAGGGAGATGATTAAACTTTTAGTGATAATAACAAGCACATGGTACCTTGTCAAGCTAACCTAAATTATATTATTTGATCATTTTCTATAAATTATTACAAGACTATTTGATTTTATTTAAACATGCAAACCATGTGTACCCTTTCTGGTAATTAAAAGAAGTATGTGTGTCAGCTTTCCATATGTATTTATGAGATAACCTTCCTTCCTAGAGGTACTATTTTCTGCTGAAGATTATATGACTTTGCCCCAAAGTGGCTTTTCCTGATAGTTACAGGCCTCTGGACAGTCTTTCCTCCAAACCATTAGGGTGGTTAAAATCTGATGGTAATTGTTTTACCATCAGCGTTTTAATACAGGTAATGCCTGTGCTAAAAATACTAAGATGGGGGATTCTCTTCATTCTCCTGTTTATGTTCATATAAAAAAGTAAACATTTATAATGTTGTGTATGCGATGGGAAAGAAGAGATGGATACCATGCCAACATTTTCCCAGTTCTTTCTTCTCCAAGGTATGTCCTTTGTACTGTATTGTATTCTCCAGTCACATGAAAGATGGGATGGGGGGGCAATATGCATGTTTCTCTTGAAGATTTCAGGACTCTAAAAAAGGCATCATAAAAATGGTTATAATTGGATAGAACCTGTTGCCAAGATTATTCATAAAGAACAATGAATAATCAAATACTCCCTGACCTTTTATAATGTTAGGTATCCCTGTAGAAAATCCTCAGTGATTATTATTTTAATGAACTGATTTGGGCACTTAGTTTGAATCATTTGATGAACTCTAGTGAACCATTACATTGAGTCATACAGTGTGCTAAGAAATGGTTTATGTAATAATGGCTCTTAAACCAAAAGCAACTATCATTTACTACTATAGTATGTGCTTAACCAAAACTACTCAGACCATATTATGGCTTAGGACAATATGAGAAACTTGGATAAATGTTTTTTTCCCCCACAGATTTCAAAATGGCACACAGTCACCCCCTCAGCTATTGATTTGTATCCAGACCTTCATAGTTTATAAGGTTGTTGCAGCATTAATCTATAGGCATAGTAATACTGAATTACCTTGGAGCAAGTATGGCAAAAAGTCTCCTCACCTGGTTTGTAATAACCCGGCATTGCCTCTAGGCAACCAAGTGAAGAAACTATAAAATGCAGTACTTTCTTTCTGCTTTGTATTGATCTGTTTGTAAGTTAGTTATGATTTGTTTATTTATGCTTATTATGAATAGTCCAAAATAGGCTAAGAAGACACAACACACTGATACCGAGAGCAATTAATAGAACAGCTTGCTTCCTAGGATTGTGGGTGATCCATCACTGGAAGTTTTCAAGAATAAACTAGATAACCATTTTTTTTTGTAAAAGTTTTATTATTTTTTTACAATAACAGCCTTAGTGCCTAGTGTACAGAGTGTTGTCTTGGTTCATGATTTTTTTTTACAATCAATAATAATTAACAGTCAATAATAATTTTTATATTTCCATAATTAGTATATCAATTGATAATATATTTCCTTGATCCTCTGTTTTCCCAATAGTATTCTCCTTCTTCAGCATTAAAATATAATTTTTGATATTTAATATTATCTATATATAATATTTAATATTATCTATATATCTATATATATTTAATATATATATGATTAAATAAAAACATTTTCTTCTATATTTATACCAACAATAATAGCATCCATATACAGCATTTTTTTTCTTATCAACATGTTATGTTCGTAAAAGTCATTAATTCACCATATGTCTTATTTTCATAAATCTTGTTTAAACTCAATTTCTCCAAAATATTCAAACAATTCTTATCAATCATAATTTTCTCAATAATTAACATCTAAATATCCAAATTTTCCACTTAAATATATCATCCCAGTATTTTCATATTTCATATGTTATAGAAATAAATACTACTTATCTATCATAGCATCTACCTATAACATCTTTTCTAATCAATTTATATTTCACTTCTATTTGTAAAAATTAATTAAATCACTATATATCCTTTTTTCGAAATTCTTATTAAATCTAATTTCCCCACAATATTTCAGTCATTTGACTGGGGTGATATAAGGCTTCTGCCTTGAACAGGGGATTGGACTAGAACAGGCATGTCAAACTGCCGCCCTGCCAGATGCGTCACAATGAAACCGCCCCCTCCCCATTGCCTGCAATGGGGAAAAATCACGATACGTTGCGCGACATCACGCATGACTCTTCCAGCCCTATGATTTTACAATATGTTTTATTTTGTATTGACTTAGTGTATTATGTGAGTCCAGCCATGCACATTATGTATTTTTAATCAATATTTTTACAAATGCTTTTTGAATGGTACTATAGAAGAAAGCAAACAAACTGTCAAGTATTTGAACATACTTTAAGGAATACAGATTGTTTGCTCAGTTTGTTTGTTAGATATAACTGAATACAGTTCCCATTCTGGGTGTAATGGGCCAGGGAAGATTTTTATATAAACAACTGAGCTATAATTCTTTCAAATTTCTGGATGTTACATGTACGGTAGTTTTCCATTTATGACCATTCATGTAGCAGTCGTTCAAAGTTATGAAGGTGCTGGAAAAAATGACAACTAGTCCATTGGTCACGTAACCATGATTCAGATGCTTAGCAACCATTGCATATTTATGACAGTTGCAGCACCCCATAGTCATGTGGTTGCCATTTGTGACCTTCCCAGCTGGGCTTTCAACAAGTAAAGTCAGTCGGGAAGCTGGCAGAGAGGGCTGCAGATCACAGTTATGTGATGTCTTGCTTAACAACCACAGTGATTTGCTGAATAACCACGGCAAGAGTTGTAAAATTGGGGGTGGTCACATGATGCCTCGTTTAATGACCACACCACTTCACGATTTTTTCTGGTCCCTATTGTGGTTGTAAGTCAAGGGCCTATTTACATCAGTGCAGTACGAAAGGGGAGTGGGCAACCTGGACCTCTACATGTGTTGCTGAAATGCAACTTTAATCATCTTCACCTCAACCAGAATGGCTAATGGTAAAGGTTGCTGGAAGTTATATTTCAAGAACATCTAGAAAAGGGGTCTTCAATCTTGGCCCTTTTATGACTTGTGGACTTCAACTCCCAGATTGCTGGCTGAGGAATTCTGGGAGTTGAAGTCCACAAGTCATAAAAGGGCTAGGTTTGAAGACCCCCGATCTAGAAGGTCATTTTTTCCCATCATTCTTTACACCTTATACAAGCTGCTTGAGGCAGGGCTTGTCTTGCTCTAAAAGATGTCACAGATATTGCATTGCTAAATAAAGTTACGGTAGTATTTAGTACAATTATTTATAAATAACTTTGTTGCCTGCTGAGATCTTCAAAGTATTGTACAGTTGAGAACAATAACATATTTTTCCTCCCCCCAAATCAACATGTGGCATACCTGCAGGTAGTCCTCAACTTACAACCATAATTGAACCCAGAATTACAGTTGTAAATTGTGCCAGTTGTTAAATGGGTCGCCTTGTGACCACAGCTAATTTTATGACTTTTTTTTTTGCAGTAGTTGTTAAACGAACCCATTGTCTGCAATGGGTGTCTCTCCCCCCTCCCCCCCCCCGAAATCAGACGTAAACCTTGGTTTCTGGAGAAAAGAAAATCATAAATCATGATCATGTGACCCTGGGATGTTGCAGATGTCTGCAAATGTCAGCCAGTAGCTGAACACCCAAAATATAATCGCATGACCATGGGAGGGCGGCTGTTAGAACTTTGAGTCGTAAGTAGCCTGGAGGAGGTCCATCATAATTTTTACCAAACAGTTGGTAAGTGACCTTGACGATAGGATTATTGTAGCTCTTCTGATTTGCTGTCAATGTCCAGATAGTTGGACTCTTTGTTTGGTATAGAGCAGTGTTTCTCAACCTTGACCATTTTAAGGCATGTGGACTTCAACTCCCAGAATTCCACAGCCAGCAATGCTGGCTGTAGAATTCTGGGAGTTGAAGTTCACATGCCTTAAAATTGTCAAGGTTGAGAAACACTGGTATAGAGTCTGGTTCATACAACATTCTAAAACGGGCTGGATCCCTCCAGCGGGATATACCAAAACCAACTCAACTCTATTTCTGTTTGATCTAACACAGTGGTTCTCAACCTGTGGGTCGGGACCCCATTTGGGGTCAAACGACCATTTCACGGGGGTCGCCAAACCACGCTGTCCGCCATTTTTTCCCTTTTCCCTAGCTGTCCTACTCCCTCTTATTGGTGGCCACACCCACTTGGGGGTCACCACAACATGGGGAACTGTATTATGGGGTCACGGCATTAGAGAGGTTGAGAACCACTGGTCTAACATGTTGTGCAAATCCAGGTATTGGATCAAGCCATAGGACAAATCTTCTTCAAGTAATAGGAGTAGTTAGTTATTTCAATAACCCTGACAGCAAAGATATCTCTTTCCAGTTTTCTCTCATTGCTACTTAGTCACCTTTCTCCCCAGCAGTGATATGTCTGCTTAATGTTCCAGGCATACAATAATGGCCTTAAATTACAGGAACAGAGATTATGTTTGAATGACAGGAAAACTTTCTAGCTCTAAGTGCAGTTCAAACAGCGGAAACAGTATCAGATTTCTAGAGAAGTAGAAAGTATATTCAAGCAGACATTGTAGAGATAGCTCTAACACCTAGATAGATCGTTTGCATTAACATACTGTAGTTCAGAAAGTAAAGTGCTAAATAGAATTTAGAAGAGGTGATATTACATCTGACTTTTGCACTGTAGGTCAGTTGCTAACATCTGAGAAATAATGGTTGATAACTCATGATTAATGTCCTTTCCTTTTCCACCACAGGTCTATCAAGGTATTGTTGCAGAAGATGACGGATTGGATTCCAATTTAACACCACTTCCAAGTTCCTGTCCACTTTTTTTTAAGTGGAGAAAATCCATTTAAAAATGGCAACTTTGCCAAGTACATCTGCTGGGCCTCCACCGTCACTCTCAGATCCAGGAGTGGCTGTGTGGGAGTGGCAGGATGAGTTTGGCAGGTGGAGGCCATACCGAAGCAGCGTGTGCAGCTACATTGAGCAATCTTTCCAGGTTCTCATGGTGAAAGGCCGGCGGTCACTGGGAACTTGGCCTGTCAATGGCAGCATATCCTTGGGACAGGCTGATTCAACTCTGGCTCCCTACATAATCGACATAGCGAGTCTCACCCAGTTCCGGCAAGATACTGGTAAGAAGCAGCTGCATTATCTGCTAATGGATATAGTTTAATAGTGGACATCCCCGTCATGGTGTAGAGCAGGGGTAGGCAACCTTGTCTCTTTTATGTCTCGTGGACTTCAACTCCCAGAATTCCTGAGCCAGCATGACTGGCTCAGGAATTCTGGGAGTTGAAGTCCACGAGTCATAAAAGAGCCAAGGTTGCCTACCCCTGCTGTAGAGCAGTGGTGGCGAACCTATGGCACGTGTGCCAGAGGTGACACTCAGAGACCTCTCTGTGGGCACGCGCGCCGTCGCCCCAGTCCTAGGCCTTCAGCTGGGTTTTATAAAACCTTTTCACTTTAGGCCTCCGCCGCCATGTACAAAAAAAAAGGTTCAATCAATCAGTCAATTTCAACTTCTCGTGGGAAAAAAAAAGATCTTGCAAAGTTGGAATGGATTGATTGAACTTTTTAGTTCCACCCAATCTGCCGTTACCACCTCAGCCACGCCCACCCAATGGGCCACACCCACCCGGCAAGCGACGGGTGTTGGGTTGCAGTTTGGGCACTCGGTCTCTAAAAGGTTCATCATCACTGGTGTAGAGCATTGTTTCACAATGGTGACAGAGGAATTCTGGAAGTCCGTACAGTTAAAGTTGCCTGGTTGAGAATCACTGCTGCAGAGCATTCCCTTCTAAGCACCATCTGAAGTTCTGAGAAAGAGCTGTAAACCTGGATTAAATCTCATTTACTAGGTTGCCAATATTTTCTGGGCCTCAGGTATCTCCCACAAAACAATTCTAACTTTATGATAGGGGCAGACTTTGTGTTTGTTCGTTTACACAGCAGACTAAGCCATAATGTGGTTTGTTTACTTTTGACTTAGGTTAAAGTACGCACTGAGGAAATTATGGCTTGTTAAATCTTGGCTGCTGTGTGATGTGTGAACCTATTCTTGTTCTCAAGTAGCTATCTTCTGAGTATAGTATTTTAAAATAGCTGATGGCCAACAGCTATCCTCAGGATATCAAACACTGATATCAAAGTAAACCAATGATAAAAGATTCTGCATTTCTTTTAAAATATGGGACTTCTATTTTTGCAGACTCCTTCCCTTGCTCCTCCCACAAAATAGAATGAGTTCTGTGGGATTTTTTTTTAATGCAGCCCATTAATCTCTACAGCACGTCAGGTGGATTTTATAAAAATAAAACAACCATCTGCAAATCATCTGAAATACGCCCTGTGAAAAAGACAACTCTGGATTCTGCTACCAGGCTTTCTGGTCTCTTCATAGGAAGTGAGAGAAAAATGACAGGAAACCACCTTTCCTGAGACAGAAGGAAACAGCAGTTTATCTAGAAATGGAGCTTCTATTTAGAGTCTCAGTTGAGAGCAATGAAGATCATAACTCAATGAGGGAAGTGGGGGATGCTGGTGGCATCTCTCGGTTGTCCCCCTGTCTGTTCATTGCATCAGATGATGTCATTCCCATCCCCCACAGAGTAGCTGATACAGGTAGCCCTCAACTTACTTCGGTTGAAGTTAACAATAGCACTGAAAAAACTGACTTATGACCATTTTTTACACTTACGACTGTTGCAGCATCCCAGTGATCACGTGATCAAAACTCTTGGCAACTGGCATGAATTTATGACAGTTGCAGTGTTCTGGGGACATGTGATCAACTTTTGCAACCTTCTAACAAGCAAAGTCAATGGGGAAGCCAGATTCATTTAACAACCATGTTACTAGCTTAACAACTGCAGTGATTCACTTAACAGTTGTGGCAAGAACGGTTGTAAAATGGGGCAAAACTCACTTAACAATTGTCTTGTTTAGCAATGGAAATTTGGGGCTTCAATTGTGGTTGTAAGTTGAGGACTACCTGTATAAGAAAAGTGGCTATGTTCTTTATGCTGAATAATGTAATTATTTGTGACAGGTTTTGCTGCATTTCAATCAGTCATGACTTCTGGCAATTGACTGGGCAAGTCCCTGCAATTTTCTTGGCAAGATTTTAGATATGGCTTGCCACTGCTTGCTTTCTAGGTCTAGGAGAGATTGACTGGTCCAAGCTGGCTTCTTGCTTACGTTGGGACTAGAACTCACGGACTCCCAGTATCTATACTGATACTTTAACCATGTCACCAAACAGGCTTAATTTATGACAGTATTTAATGCTTAAAAATGAATATGCGTAGCACAGTTAAGACAGTTCCTGTCCTTACTCTCCAGCTATAAATAACATGATACAAAGGAAAAAGGAAGGAGGGAAAAGTAAAATGAGCATTGTTATATTATATTGTATGTTTTTAAATAACACATAGATAAGCAGTTAGCTTTTTATACAAAACAAGGTAAAACTCCTTGCTTTTCATTTTGCCTTATCAATTCAAATACAATGGAAGTTGGGCAATTTCAAACTGGTCTTTAACTTTTGAACCTGACTCACAAAGAAGGGATCATACTTAGTTGGGTTGCCATGAATGCAAATGCTCCTTGATAGAACGTCTGGTATTTCTTCTGAAAAAATAATCAGATAGCAAGTGATTCAAAAGATTTTTCTATGTCTGATCTGCTGGAGGGATTACTGCAAAAATGAATGATCAAATAATGTATCCTGGCATTCTCATTTTATTCTCCTAATCTAATGTGAATGAGAAGTATCATAACACTTAATACTCAGTTTCCTGGGCTTTGCAAAATCCTTCTCTTACTGCTTTTAATTTTGACATCTAATTTTACTTCCTGGTTTGTTGTGTTTTTTTTCCCTCTAGGGACCATGCGGGCGGTGCGCAGACATGTCTTCCAGCTTGATTCGGCACCTGGACAGGGAGTAGTTTGGGAGTGGCAGAACAATGAAGGAAGCTGGTTTCCATATGAGATGAACGTTTGTGTATATTTGGAGCAAGCTTTCTCACTCAATAGCCCTCAGGTGGATCTTGGGCCCTTTGGTTACAATTATGGAATTGATTTTGTATCACTGACCCAGACGAATAAAACCACTGGGTACCAGCGAAGAATCCGTCGGTGTGTGGACTCTCCATACCCAGTAGCCACAGCCACGGGGCCTGTTCACATTGGGCCCACATGTTCATGCCAACAGTGCTTGTTGAATAGTGGAACTGGTCCCATAACCTCACGGTTTCGGCACTCAATGGTGAATCTTCCTGGAAATTCAGCAGGAACAACTCCCAAATTCCTTACTGGTATACAGGGGGGCAATAGAAACTCAGGACTCGGTGCTTCTCTGGTGGGCTTTGTGCCTTACAATAAACCAGCCCTCTCTGGAGCAAGATCAATGCCAAGACTGAACGTGCAGAGTGCAGGGTCAGCATCACAATCTGCAGTCATTGGTGGGTCCAGCTCAGCTCCCACAGCATCCAAAGGAACCAGGTATGCTTTCCTAAGGGATTTCCATTTTTGCTGGATGTTGCTGTCCCATCCATGAATAGGATTATTTATAGACTTACTTGCAGTATTTTTATCTTGCTTCTCAGACAGTTATTGACTCCCAGAAAGGCTCATGTCAATAATAAAATTGAAGAGTCATCGTGCCATCAGGAATCAGATCCCTTATGCTCAGCTGTGGCTGTTTTATCATTGTTCGACAGTGTCCTTTCTTTAAATAGCACTTGGTTGTTCTTGAATCTTTGGCTAGTAGAAAAAGCCAGTGGTCCGAAACTGCTGGGGTTTTTTGCTGGTGGATTGGAAAAACTGCTTTACCTCTTTTTCCAATATCATTCCAGAAAATGCAATTTCCCAGTGGCTCTACATCCTGATGGGAGAAGCAAAATTGCAAATTTCTTTTGGTTTCCAGGCCCAGGAAACCGCCACTGAAGTGAGTGAGTGTCCCAATGTTTCGGATTCATTATTTCATGAGATCTATAATGTTTATAAGTGCATTATAGAGAGTTGGAGGCTTTTAGAATGATGTGGAGATGAGAGAAAGTATTCTCTTCATTACAGGCTAAACGTTATGGTCATTGTTGGTGCAGTAGTGATTGTTGATGTTGTGAGTGTAAATTAATACTGGACTTGACCAAAATAAAATAATATTTACCTGACCGAAGGTGTAATTAATTTATGGAATTTGTTGCCCAGAGTCTTTGGTATTAATGATCAACTCAGGTGATATTTTGAAATGGAATAAATAAATTCATGTCACTTAATTGCCATGTGAAGCCCTGTTTTATATATTCTAAGGACTTAAATTATTTACTTAATTTTGAATGTCTGAGCAATATCTGGCCATCCAGATTTAGAGATAGTGTTGAAACAGATAACCATTTGGTGGCATTCAAAAAGCTCAATAATACCTTTTTTCTTCAGCAGTTTTTGTTTGGGTGGGAGGGAAATTGTGGTTGACTAGTGAATACTGAATAGTAGAGAATTGATTCTAAATCCTTCCATTCTCCACCATTCAGTCAGAACTGAAGAAGCTTCTTGGATGAGAAGCAAAACATCAAGGAAAAACAAAGAAAGTCCAGCTGCCTTTTGAAAAAGCACCTTTGATACAGATATGAATATTTTGTACTCCAGAGATTTAACTTGTACTTATGCATTGGATCTGAAAGCTGGTCATCCACTGTGCATTGGGATTCAGAATTTACTAACTTTTGAGTTTTTTTTATATGTGACCTTCACTTGCAGGTTCTAAACAGAGAGCTGTTTTTGAAAGCAATGCTGACATTTCAGAACAAAGTATAAGCTTAAGCCGAGGAAAGGGCTATTTCAACACCAGGAGACAACATTAGACAGCTTCTGTTTCTATCTCCACATAACAGCATCCCATCGGAAGCATGTAATTACTTGTGTCTGGGCAAATCTAACATACACAATTAGTAGAAATCTGAGAAGGAAAGCAGCAGTAGCTCCAATACTTGGGCTCTGCTAGTTTGCTTGCCTACCTTTTCTTCTATCTATTTTTTTAAATTAGAACATTTCTCATGTCTTTTCAGCTGGTCAAAACAGCTCCCTTTTGTGTAACCTGAACGTACGAGGGATATATGTGTAGAAAGTGAAATAAACGAGATTGATTCAGAGTAAGTCATAGTGCTTATCCTAGAAGATTTGATTTTGTGTAGCTTATGGCAAGATATTAAAAAGAAGACTTTTAAGAAGACGAAACAAACATTCACACTAGATGAAGTGCTGACACTCAGTTAGAAAAATATCAAGGGATGCATAAAAACGACCAAATTGGTCAAGCCTTTCCAAAATGATAAAAATGGATTGCAACTGTAATTCAGAGCCATCATATAAAAATAGGTACTGTGCATGATGGATTTCCTGCCTGACTTCTTTTAGAATTCAAATTTAGCCAGTTGGAGTATATATAGGTACATATAGGTATGATTCAAAAAGTGATTAGGGTTGTAAGCCTACTTTTGTACCTATACAGTACTAAGAATTGTATGCAGCAGTGGAAGTGTTATAAATATCCTCTTAATGTCTGTCTCTCTAATAATAGTACTTACAAAACTTTGAACATTTGCTCCTAGTTGCGCTTGTATGAATAAGGACCATAAAACCTTTGTGGAGCTATGAAAAATATGTTTGCTGGACTACTGTTACAGAATGTACTTTATAATGAAAGGAAATACAGGTAGTCTTCAACTTAGGTCCACAATTAAGCCCAAATTTTCTGTTGTTAAGTGAGACAGTTGTTAAGTGAGTTTTGTGCCACTTTACAACTTTTCTTGCCACAGTTGCTAAGTAAATCATTGCAGTTGTTAAGTTAGCAAAATGGTTGTTAAGTGAATTCCCCGTTGATTTTGCTTGTCAGGAGGTTGCAAAAGTGATCACGTGACCTGGGGACGTGCAACCATCATAAATCAGTTGCCAAGCATCTGAATTTTGATCATGTGATCATGGGGGGATGCTGCAATAGTTGTAAGTGTGAAAACAGTGATAAGTTACTTTTTTCTGTGCCGTTGTAACTTTGAACAGCATGTTCAAACAAAATGTTGTAAGTTGAGGACTATCTACTGTTTTAATAGTAATAATACTTTATTGTTTTTCAGGCCATATTAGAATACCAAACATAAAATACAAAACAATAAGATCTTATTTTACAAAATATAATAAAAGAAAATACAAATAATAATTCTGCATCACTACTACAATTTAACCCAATCAGATGCACATATACAGTTCTCAATTGCACTATTTTGTTCAAGTAAAGGGCTTTATTGTTTGTAATTTTAAGGCATATGATATAATTTTAAGGCATATGTTATAATGATTAAAATAAGGCATATTTTAAGGCATTTTAATATAATGATTCCAGGAGATTGTTAGTCTAATGTGCTGTTCGATATGTTGATCTCTCTCTCTCTTGTACAATTGACATTCAAATAAGTTATGCACTATGTCCTCTGTCTCTGGGGCTCCACAAATACAAGTACATTCATCTTAAGCGACTTAGTTAAATCTTCCAACTGCTCAAATCTCATTCAAGCAAAGACTCCCCTAAGAGGCTTGGATATTTTTATGTTTAAATAATTGGCAATGTGGAAGATGCCTTTATAGCGGCTCATCCATCTCAATGTGTTGGCCTTACTGGGAGTAACTATATCTCTATGAACTTCTATGTCCACAATTCTTTGGACAGAAATCTTTTCGCTTGGATAGGAAACAGGGAGATCACAGCTGTTGATAAAATTTATCAATCCAAGGTCTCTAATTGAGATTTTATCTGTTCTATCAGACTCAATTTTGTGAGTCTGTCAGTTTCCATAACATTGATTTTGCACCAATAATTGAAGGCTCTGATTTTAGAGAAAGAACAAATTGTATAAATTCCCAATTCAGCTCTAACTGCAGTATCTAAGGTCCTTTTGTCCATACCCAAGAGACTTCTCAAACGTTGGTTTGTTCTAATGATGATTTGTGTTTTAAGCCTCAAACTTCAGCTCCATATAAGAGTATAAGGGCAACCTTGATTAGGTATATCTTAATAATTGAAGCTAAGGAACCTGGATAGCAATGATTTATCAATTTTAACATTGAATTTGCGTGTGCTCTTGCTCTGAGCTTTGATGATGATGGAGCCAAAATCCAGTCTCAGAAAAGGCTACTGCTAAATAGGGAAAGGTGTTAACTTGCTCTATTGCAGGCATGTCAAACTGCCAGATGCGTCACGCCGAAACCACATCCACCACATTGCCGGCAATGGGGAAAAAGTCCGATATGTCACACGGTGTCACGTGACGTGAGTTTGACATGCCTGCTCTATTGGCTCACCATCTATTAAACATCTATGGCTGTGATGTCATTTTTTAAAAAAAACATGATTTTTTTACTTTGATTTATTAATAATCTGAGAATTATTTGATAGTAGGAGCCAAATCTTCTTAACAACTCAAGTAGTTAAACAAATAAATATGATAGTAAAATCATGTTGTCAGCATTTAGCAAAATGTTGCAATTTGTGTTGAAAGCCTTTAGGATCTTTCATCAGTCCTGGTAAGTCTTTATTATATGCAGCCTGTTTTTATACTTTTGTGATTATTATTATTACTTGTCATGGCTTAATATTATTATTACTTGTAATATTATTATTACTTGTCATGGCTCCATTAACTGCAAGGTCCCCTCTCAAGCAAGTAGTTGTGTAAAGGGGTTTGATCTGTGTGAGCAGTCTGGATTCTATAGTCACTTTCTTCCATAATATTTCTGTGTTTAGTGCCTCAAATGCTGCTTTAAGATCTATACAGGTAGTTCTCGACTTAAAGCAGTTCACTTAGTGACCATTCAGAGTTACAAGGCACTGAAAAAACTGATTTATGACCGTTTTTCACAGTTACGACCTTTGTGGCATCGCCAGGATCATGTGATCAAAATTCAGATGCCTGGCAATGGTTCATACTTATGACTGTTGCTGTGTCTCAAAGTCATGTTCCAAGGAAAGTCAACAAGGAAGTCAGATTCACTTAACAACTGGGTTATTAATTTATCAACTGCAGTGATTCACTTAACAACTATGGCAAGAAAATTTGTAAAATGGAGCAAAACCCACTTAACAACTATCTCACTTAACAACAGAAATTTGGCGCTCAATTGTAGTTGTTAAGTCCTCAAGCCCAGCAATTAGAAAATGAGAAGCATAGTCTGAGTTTATTGCCACTATTAGTAACTGTTGATTCACTTTTGACAAGTGCTTTGTCTTGAACCATCTAATTACAAAATATGTCAGTAAGGGGAGATGTTGTTTGCTGCCTAAACTCAGGCTATGCTTCTCATTTTCTAATTCTGGGCTTGAGGACAAATAGGATCAGATTGAGGGCAGGTAACAAAAAGATGCCCCAATTCCTAGCTCCTGTGGGTGGAGTTGATTTGCAATAATGAATGGCAAGTTGTAAGTGAATCATTCTATTAGGGGAAGGGGTCAAGAGATTCAGTTGCAGCATAGATTTAACTGAGGGGTGTCTAACCTTGGCAACTTTTAAGACTTCTGGACTTCAGCTCTCAGAACTTCCCAGCCAACCATGCAGTCTTAAAGTTGCCAGGTGGGACACCCCTGATTTAATTGTTTCAAGCTTGCTTAAAATCAGTTGTTCCGTCTAGGTCCTAGGGCAGTGTTTCTCAACCTTTGGAATTTTGGGAGTTGAAGTCCACATGCCTTAAAATTGTCAAGGTTGAGAAACACTGTCCTAGAGAGAGAGTGGCAACATCTTCCAAAAAGTCATCTGAAAACCTGTATCTTTCCTTTAATTAAAACTAAGGTATCTTTCCTTTAATTAAAACTAAGGTATTTCTTTCCTGTGTTTATTCTATTTTGACCTTGAAGGAGTTCTCCATTTTACAGATAGTGGATGGCTGTGATCAGGAGTTTTAGTGATTGTGTCAGCCTCCCTCACTTGCTTGGCTCTTCTCCCAGAATTTAGCAAGGACTGGATATTGCTAAAAAGCAGATATTGCTGGAATGTATAGAAAAACCTCCTTAAAAAGTTCTTGAGTTTGAAATGTATTGAGGGGAAAATAAACTGCCTTGAAAGTTAGCACTATTCTTTTAGAGCTATGCTTGCTAAGAAACCAGGGGATTTCTGTAAGCTGTTGTGGTTTATGTGCAGCTTTGAGTCAGTGTTGACTCCTGGCAACTCCCTGGACAAGTCCTTGCAGAGTTGAATCTCTTGCTGTTTTATGCTTTTTAAAAGCAGATTCCGTTCCTCACGTAGGTGATCGGCTGAAAATTTCAGTTGAAAAATAGCTCGCTAGGTTTTACTTCCTTTCAGGAGGTTCATGTAGACACTGAAATGGTTAAAAAAAAAGCCAGTTGACTTGTCCATCCAAATAATGGGTGGAGACAGACAAAACCGGGAAAGTCGAATACTGATTAGCCAATCAAGAGAGTGGGTTTCCCCTCCCAAGTGGGCTAATATAGGAAGGAGGGCAACTGCCATTTTCCCCCCCCCCTGCTTTTGGTTTCTCTTTCTTTTTCTGTCTCTCGGCGCTTTACCCCAAGTTTCCGAGAAGATGGCTGAAGGCCGGTAAGAATTAACAGCAGCAACAGCAGTGAATGAATGAATGAATGAATTTGGATAGGAAGTCGGAGTCAGTATAAGAGCTGAGATTTTATGGACTGGAAACTCTTCTGATTGTGCGTGCTGGTGAGAGATAGTTCTTTTCTTTCTCCCTTTTTCCTTTCTCCAGATCTCTGGCCTTGCTTTTCATAATATAAAGGTTTAAAAGTCTTATCAGAGGTTCTTATTTTGCCAGAGGGATCTAACCTCTTCAGCATAGTCAGACTATGGAAGGTCAGAGGGAAATCGGTGGCAGAGAGGTTTTCTCAGGAGTAAAGTAACTGGTGGGACTACTGGGTCCTTTTCTCCAGGAGTTGCAGGGAGGACTCAGCAGGATTGTGGGAGGAGGATTTGGAGACCACTGGTAGCAATCAGTAGGGCCTAATCCTCTATATCCTGTTTGTAAAACCACCCCTGTAAAACCCCCAGTTTCTCATGCAGGATAATTTAGAAGTTGTGAGTGCTCAATCACCCGAGGCTTTTAAGAAGAGACTGGACTACCACTGCAGGGGATTAGACTAGAAGACCTCCCAGGTCCCTTCCAACATTATTGTTGTTGTTGTTGTTGTTGTTGTTGATCATCGCACAGTCAGCCAGATGTTCAGACTGGATTTGTCATTTTGTCTACCTATTGAGTCCTTACCCAAGGACCTGGGATAGGCAGATGTGGATGTTTGATGATGATTATGATGATTTTTATTTATTTATTTCTCTGGAATGGTAGGGTCTTTTGTTTGGGTGGAAGGTTGGACTGAGAACCTCCAGGATCCTTTCCAACTCTCTTATTCTGTTACCATCTATTATTCTGTTATCTAAATTTTGTCTGTTTCAGAATTCAGCCAGCTTTGGAACAAAATGTGTGTTGCCTCAGTAAAGAACTTGATTTTTTTTTACCACTGTGCATAAAATTCTCATTTTATTTTCTTTTGTCTCCTTAGTGTACCAAAGTTACCAGTGACCATACCCAGGCCCAGCAAAGTGAATGAAGCTCTGGCAGGTAATGGCCACCATCTTTTTTTCCCATTCCACACAATCCTACCATGTTTTACTTTGGGAAACTAGTAGTCCCAATTCAAAGTCTGACTTTTTTATAATTTACCGGTTGGTCTAGCACACCTTCTGGAATAAGAATGTTGACTATAATTTTTAAGCAATGATTAATCTGGGGTGAACTCTTCAAAATGTCTTCGTCTCAGGTGAATCTATTTCTTAAGGGTTTCTGCATTTCCAGCAGCTGCATTTACTAAACAACCCCATCCTCTGACCTTTGGATTTGCCAGGTTGCAATATAGAGGAATTAGACCATCATCTTGCATATTTTTTAATCTGCTCTTACTAGTCCTCATCTAGTCAGCAGTGGGCTTTTTCTTTATCTCTTCTGGGAGTTATCTAGGAGCTGATATTGCAGAGTTCTGCTCTACAACTGAATTATAGTATCTAGTCAGCGACTATTTTGTTAAGCTACCCTTTTGAATTTTTAGTTTGATTCATTTTTACTTGTATTAACCTGTTTTTAATTCTGCTTTTAATGTATGCTTTTATTTATGTATTTATATTATTTTACTATAATGTTGTAAACTGCCCAGAATCTCTTTGGTGATATGGGCAATGTAGAAATTTAATAAATAACTGGTTCCTGCAGATATATAAATTACACATCCAGTTGCTTATTCTAAAACAGTAAATTAGTCTTTCTCATCACAGTTTTGTTTTAGGAAGGATCTTCTTTATCTTGAAAATCTGGGGACTAAACATAGAATTTGCATAAAAACACTCTACTACAAGCTGACATTTGACATAGAAGAAAAGTGTGAGGCAAAAGGACACACAACACTGATTTATTTGCTCAGGATTTGCATTCCTGTTCTGGGGTTTTTAATTAATCTGGGATTTTCTGCAGCCAAAGCATTTTCTAATATTAGAAAATCCAGAGTCAGATATGTAAAAAAATCCTCATAAAGAAACTTTTTTTATTATATAGCAAGAATCACATGGACAAAGAAGGCGGCACTTGTGAAAAAAGGGTGTAGCCTGGCCCTTGGTGTCACATTCCTGTGCCTTGTTTTTCCTGTTTTGAGCTGCTGCATATATTTCATTTTTATGTCCTCATCAGATGATCAAGGGAGAAGCTATATGCCATAATTTCTATAAATCTCATAGTGATTATGGTTTGTTTAATGTACTTTTCACTATAGCTAGAGTCTTCCATAAACAGCTACAATCGTTACTACCGTAACTTGAAATAACCATAAACATTAAGAGCAGGAATTGTATAGCTACATATTTTTTGTCTTTTTGCTTTTATTGCTAATGATCCCCCTTTTCTCTTGCTTTGATAAAATGGTTTTCTAATGCAGAGAAGCTTTGTTTTTACTGCTCTGAGTAGTATAACCTTCTATAAATGTTTGGAAAGTAACTCCCTATTTTATAGAATTGTGGGTCTATAAGAAAGCTTGGAAATCTTTTTATCCAAGCTTCTGATCAAGAATCAGGTCAAGAATCTAAAGACCCAGACAAATGGCTGTCCAAACATTTGATAATTAATAAAGCAATATTATAGGCACTGTTTTTAGATTTAGTGTTTTGAATTTCAAAAATGGGAGATAAGTCTAAGGAGGCCACCCTGGGGTCTTTTATAGCAGGGGAAAACTCCCTGTAAAAATAGCTAAAATCAGGATTTCTGCCTGTTCTTAAGCTCTCCCCACTTAGCATATGAATATGCCCAATTCCAGTCAATCTGATGGCAATTAATGCAATTGAATTCCCCCTATGAAGACTGATTTAGAAGCAGATTAGCCCTAGCTATTGTTTTAAAATGCTAGAGATGATCTGTGATTAGGGCTTCTTTGGAAATTTAGTATGTCTTAATGAAACCAATATCTTAGGAATCTTGGCATTCATATTTTAAAGAACATGTTTATGATCTTTAGGGTTGAGGGCAATCCTTAGTGAGAGAAACGAAAATGGTGCCTGAATAAAATAACTAGTGCCTATGGGAAAGCACAGGGGTGGGTTTCCTTCTCACTAGGCCAGATAGAAAGTACTGTATAATGAAATGCTGTATACAAATTACAATTAATAGTACACAGGAGCAAACTTTGGGAGCTACAAACTTTAACCATTCCTAGTCCACTTTTTTTTTTTTTTTTAATAAAGACTGAAGCATTTAAGAAAGCTTGCCCTTAAACAGCAGTGCTTGTTCCCAGGCTGATTTTCTTTGTTGTAGCATATATGACAGATTATGTCCTGCAGAAATGGCAAAGTATGCTGCTTTTCTCAGCAATCAGGCAGGTTTTACATGTGAATGAGCTTTTGCAGCTAAGATATTACAGAGAAGCTCACTCGTATCTTGTTTCTCACAAGGGAGGGGCGGAGGGACTTCAGTCAGTTACACATCAAGGAGAATTGAAACAGGATCATGTGCTCACCATGTGCCTAGTATAGTGATGGCGAACCTTTTAGAGACCGAGTGCCCAAACTGCAACCCCAAAGTTATGTATCGTTGGGTGCCTGGTGGATGTGGCTGATTGTGTGGGCGTGGCCCATTGGGTGGATGTGGCTTCGGTGGTAACGGCAGACTGGGTGGGACTAAAAAGTTCAATCAATTCCAACTTTGCGAGAGATGTGAGAAGTTGAAATTGATTGATTTACCTTTTTTTTTTTTGCACACGTTGGCGGAGGCCTAAAGTGAAAAGTTTTTATAAAACCCAGCTGAAGGCCTAGGACTGGGGCGACAGGGCGCGTGCCCACAGAGAGGGCTCTGAGTGCCACCTGTGGCACGCGTGCCATAGGTTTACCACAACAGGCCTAGTATTCTGTCTGCAGGAGCCTTCATCTGACCAAATCCTGTATGGCAAGGATTGACAAACTTTTTTTTCTTTTTATCTCGGGCTCTACTATACAGTAACTCTGGTGCTCCTCTTCCTGTCATGAGATTTATTTAAGAGAGACTTAAGGGAGACTTGGAAGTATAGGAGTGTTCTGTTATTAACTTGTGTAGCAATTGCTTTTCATACTCATAGGTTTTTAGAATAAGAAGGAATTAGAATATTTTTATAATATAACCTCAAATTATTTTAGCCCAGTTTTCTCAGTTTCTTTCTGCATGCTGTACTACTTTTGCATGAAGGAATATTATAAAAACAAAGGTTGACCTCTGAGCACAAAACTATAAAGACCGCTGCATTCTCAAATAGCGATGCTATGTCTAGTCTACTTATTTACCCCTTTTCACCATTGTTTCCTCTTATTTTACTCGTCTCCAGCTCCACCAGCAGTCGGTATTGCTTTTACAACAAAGCACAATTTTTGAATTCTGCCAAAAAGCATATTTTCTCAGTTACCCATCACTCTCTTCTATGGTAATTTTTGATGTGTAGGCCCATTTACAGAGCAGTTGAGGTCGTTGTAGTATTGGCCCAGGCCCTTGGAAACCTTACTTAACTCTCACTCAAGATTTCTGCAGTGCTTGTAGACATTGCCCAGATGCTTTCCTAAGTATCTTCACATCCATAAAGAGAACAGAAATTTTGAAAGAAAAGTGAAATTCCTGGGAAGCATAGCTGAATTCCATGATTTTTCTGCACTTCCATATAGCCACATTAGCCTTAATGTCAGCAACTTAGAACTGTCTTAAATATCTGTGTATTTCTCATTGTACTGTAACATCCAGTAACATGCATGCATGTTACAAACAGATAGACTGGTTGACTAACCCAGGGGTAGGCAACTTTGGCTCTTTTATGACTCGTATGCTGGCTCAGGAATTCTGGGAGTTGAAGTCCACAAGTCATAAAAGAGCCCTGGACTAACTGAATGAATGAATTTGCAATGAGGCAGCACAAGGCACCAGAAGTATACATGAAGCTGCATCTCTGAAACATAAAAGGAGGTTGGTGTTTGGTTTTGCAACCTCCCTTATGTGTTTCTTTGCTACTGCATTTCTGGCTTGTTTGTGGTTAAAGGATATTCTGTGTTGAATTGGTTGCACATAGCATGTAATATGCCAAAAGTCTGCTTGTGGTTTGTTGTAATTCAATCAACGATGTTTAAACACATAGTTTATCACAGGAATAGACAACCTTTTGGTGATAGGGAGATCTGCAGAGAATTTTTGGCAGGGAAAAGGTCGCAGTGAACAGGATTTAAAGGGTCAGTTGCTGCTTTTCTGGAGGAGTTTAGATGTGATTTTGTTAGAACTATGTTATGTCACTTGGGCTTACACAGCAGTTTCTCATCTATTTCTATGCTCAAAATGACAGGGAAATGCACTAGCCATTTTTAGCATGCTATAGGAAGTCACAGAAAGTTTGAAAGTAGCATATGCCATAGGGAGGGGGGAAATGAAAATGGCTATTATATATATTTGTGGGTCCACAGTTTTTGTTCTTCCATATTGCATACTAAGCTTCCTACTATAATTATTGTATAATGATGTATACTAACCTTAAGGGCAAGAAGTTTTGGCCTTATGTGCTGTCAGTGCAGCACTACTGAAGTCAAGCAAATTTTGTTGCAGTTTCTAAAGACTGTATTTATAAACAGGTTTAATCCTAAATTGAACATAGGAGGTTTTTCTGTTTTCCTCAAGCAAAAAGAAAAGAGTTAAAAGCAGGCAGTTGCTTGTGTGGCTTCACCCCGTCCTTGTCTTTTCCAAATTTAAGAAAGAAAGAAAGAAAGAAAGAAAGAAAGAAAGAAAGAAAGAAAGAAAGAAAGAAAGAAAGAAAGAAAGAAAGAAAGAAAGAAAGAAGCTTTTCATTATGTCTGCATTCCTTTACCTCAAAACCACCCACCACCTCTGCCCCATAACGTGTTGCTTGCTTTCCTTTGGGGTTTGCTTTGCCACTTGTTTTTGAAATGAGCATTGAATCAGGTTCTCGAATCAAGAGTGACGGGTTTCTTTTTAATCTTACAAATGGTATGATGCAAATTTTCTTTCCACCCCTTTTCCCTTACCTGCCCTGTGCATGACTGTCTCATGTCCCTTGTAGGCATGATGGCCTTTCTGATGTCAGTCCCTGGATTTCCTGTGCACCTCACCCAAGCGCCTCAGCCTGCCCGAGCCCATAGAGCCTCTAAAAAACTCTGCTCAGTTAAGGGAAGGAGGAGCGTGGGCACCAAAGGTAGCTCTCACTTGCTTGGACTCCGCGGGAGTCTTCTTCAGTTGTTGCTGCTGCTGCTGCTGCTTCTGTTGCCACCTTTGCCTCCTCTTTCTCTTTCCTACCCTGCATTTTCCTCTTTCTTATTTTCTGACTTCTCCCAGAAACAGTTCGATGAAAATGCCTTTGGTTACTCTTTCTACGAAGGCCAGGCTTTCCTGCTGCCCGAGAGTTTTGACACAATTCTGCTTTATATGCTACTGCTTTGTAGCTCTTATTTTCCAGCGTCAGCACGATCATTTTAGCAGTTCAGAAGACCACCCAGGTACCCAAGTAGAGAAGCCAGCTGTGGCAATTTTTCCTACTAAATGGAGAAATGTGGTAAGGAGAAGATGTGGCGGAGTAGTAACACTACAGGTGGTCCTTGCTTAACAACCACTCATTCAGCAACCGTTGAAACTTGTTATGGCACTGAACGAGTGGTACTTACAACTAGTCTGTGGAGTTCTGATTGTTACAACAGCCTCATGGTGCTGGGTTCACCATTTGCAACCTTTCTTGCCAACTTCCAACAAGCCAAATCAATGAGAAAGCCAGCAGGAGGTTGCAAATGGCAACCACAGGACATTCTTGCTCAGGGGTGGGCAACCTTGGCTCTTTTATGACTTGTGGACTTCAACTCCCAGAATTCCTGAGCCAGCATGGCTCAGCTTGGAAACCTCTCCGTCTCTCCTCAGCATGGCTGGCTCAGGAATTCTGGGAGTTGAAGTCCACAAGTCATAAAAGAGCCAAGGTTGCCTACCCCTGTCCTTGCTTAACAATGGCAGCTGCGAGTGCTGGAATTGCCATTGATAAGCAGCACTGTTACGTGATTGTTTCGCTTAGCAATGTCAGTTCCAGTTCCTGTCATTGACCGAGGACTACCTGTATAGATAGACTACTAACGGGCATTCACATTGCATTTTATTAAATTATGTCATTTATTTGTATATCTCTTCCATACAGTTGCAGCTTGAAGCAGTTAAAGCAGAATTGTAAAAACAATGGGCAAAGATTTAAAAAAATGGGGAAAAGGAAGGATAAACTGTACATCCAATGTTTGTTCATCAAAGGCATTGATGAAGAAACATGACAACTGAAGATTTGATCAATACTGGTTATATCCGGTATTAAAATGTTTTTAGGGTTTGTAATTTTTCTTAATTAAAATCTTAAAAAGTAATTTTGCACCAGTCTTTGTAGAATCACCTTCATATGATTTATATACTTTCTTACTTACTACATGAATTAACCTGTGGATTCCTTACACAACATCCAGTGATGGCCACTCACTTGGGTGGCTTTAGGGGATTGCATAAATTCATGGAAATCAGGACTGTCAAGGGCTATCAGCTCTGAATACTTGATGCTGACCCTAAAATAGGGATATTAATGCCTCAAAATACCAGTTGCAAGAAAACAGTGGAAGAAGCTAACAAGATGGCTGCTTGTGAGTATGTCAGATGCTTTTGGTTAGCTCTTATGAGAAAGGGAGGAGGAGCACTGAAAGAGTTAGAAGAGTTGCTTGGAGAGATTAAAACTAAATAGCCATACATATATTAATGGTTAATACAAGCAGCTGTAACAAGCTGCATTGGAAAAAAAGATACTAACAGGCCCTGTGAGTCTCTGATTTTTGGAAAACACCAACTTCTGAACATAATACTGCACTATGGCAGGACTGGATTTATTGGTCAGAAGTGTAATTTGGGACCTCTACTTTAAAGCCATACTGCCATCTCTCCAAAATAATCAATTTAAAGTTGTTATACTGATGTTAATCTTAGCTCTTAGCTCTTTTCCCTGGTTGGTGGCATGACAAATGGGGAATGGGTTAGGTGTATTATCTTCTGGGCCTTATTCAAATCACCAGTTCCTAAAAAGTTTAAAACTTTAATAATTTTGTTTGAATGGGTTATATGAGATATCCAATTTAGAGACATAGAACTCTGCTTGTTTGCATAATAATTTACTTTGACACAAGGGGGGCCGCTAACTTCCCTTCCCAGCCCTTCCTTCTCAAGGCGGCCTCCTGCCTCTCCTTTCTCTCTCAAGTTCCCTTAGCTTTCTCCTCTTCTTTCCTTATACAGAAGTGTCTAGTTAAAACATTTTTCCACATAGGCACAAGGCCAGTAGCCTACTATTTTGTCATAATTATATTGGCATTTTCTGGTCTTTGAAAATAAGCTGGTGGGGGATAAGAATATGTTTGTGGAAAACTACAGTACATTGTGTTTTTTTCTATCCCCATTAATCTGTGTTTATACTTACAGCAGATCCTTATTTTTTCTTATATGCAAGCCACTATGTTGTAATTGACAAATCTGAAAACCTTCACATCAGCCAGGGGATAGCAGCACAGTGTCTGCCTCCAGGCAGCTTAAAACATATACATGCAATCGCCCCACGTGGCATCCAGAAGACCTCAAAACTGAGCAGAATTATTGTTTATATGTAAATGTCCAAACTTTCACAAGATTTCAAGTAGGAATGTAACAGTTCTGCAATCTCTTGAATTTTCATCCGTTTAACAGTTGTTGTTTTTTTTCATATGCCTACATTGGGGACTTCCTTTGAAACTTAAGCAGGCTACCAGTGGTCCCTGAATCACAGCTTGGGATCCATTTTGCACTTGAAAGAATCCCTCTAGCCTACTTATGGTTGAACTTCCCTGGGTCTGCTGCTATCACATACTGTTGTTCTTGGTTTTAGCATTCATGGCCTGATCTATGGAGCACTCCAAGAAGTGGTGCAGTTGCACTCTTCCTCCCCCCCCCCCCCGAAAACTATGCACGATTAGTTTAGGTAATCTAGAAAGCCTAGTTTCTTAGCTGTCTGTAAGGCCAGAGATAAGCATTTGTTTTAAACTATTTAATATCAGACAAGCCATAGAAAGAAAAACAGCATTTATTTTCACAATGCTCAGAACTGTGTTGCGAAATTACTTCGTTGAGATCTGTTCTAACAACTGGAAAGGCATCTAAAACATATTTTAACTTGTTAGCATTAAACTGGATGGTGGGATCATCCACTAATAATGTTTTTTTCTTAGGGAACATGGTCATATCTTTTACAGAACATTTCCCCCCTTTGTATGTGAGTTTAGTGAAAACTGAGTACAAACCTATTTATATTTTTAAAAATTATCTTACAGGGTTTTACTTTAGCTACTTTAATGTTTTAGAGATCATTATGCTGTTATAATTCTTTAATTCTTTTAAATTGCATAAACCTACAGGACAAGCACTCAGCTTGCATAATTGATGTTTTTCACTGTATATGGGGTTTTTAAGTTTTTATGATCCCAGGAATAGTCAGCCAATAAATTTAAATGAATAAAACCAGTTGATCACTTCCATCCAGTGACAGCATAAGGTTGGCTTCCTGTATTCAGTGACACAATTGCGTATAGAACATAGTGCAGAATGGTAGACCATAAGATGTACGTAGATGGACCAAAAGTTTTCTGTTTCATCCTGGGGTCTATTAGTCACTTTCTAAAGTTTATTTTAAGATCTTTTATGTTTTTCACCTCAAAACTTTGCATCTCCAAATTAGTGATGTTTCATGACTATGATGTTCTTCAGTAGATTTCAAACACACATATGCAAAATTGCTCTCCCTGATCAGTTCCTCAAGCCCAGATAACCCTTATGTGTTTGGAAGGAGGGATCTTGACTTCTCATATCACTCTGTTGTTGAGAAAACCATTGCCTATTACATGCCTTCCTTGCCTTTTGACTTGTAGACCCAGGGTAGCTGCACAAATAACTTCAACCATTTTCTGAAATGAATAGGATGTACATGTACGAAAGTGCTCTTTTGTGAATTCACAAATTCCAGGAGTTGAGGAAAAAAATACTGGGTTTCTGACTGTAGATTTTCATTAAGGAAAGAAAAGTCATGGCAAGGACATTTTCAAAGCCTCTTCACCCCAAATATTGTACATTAGATATGGACTTTAACTCTCAGAATTCCCCAGCCATCATGGAAATAAAATGGGAGTTAAATTTTGAAGTCTCCAAAGGCAAAAGCAGCTTCAAAGTTTAACTCCATTTTATTTCCAAACTATATAATACACTAGAACGATGTTTCTCCACCTCAGCAACTTTAACAGATATGGACGTCAATTTCCAGAATTCCCTAGCCTAAAGTAAAATGACATCCTCAGCCATAGTTGATCTTCTAATTCTTTTTCCTGCCCATTTGATGCCTTTGCCTCTGCAGCAGTAGGAATAGCCATATTCCTTACTTGTGTACCATTAAAATACTGGCTGCTTTCAAATTAGCCATTCAAGAATGACTGTGCTGGATTAATTTTCTGGAAAAATCTCTTTCTTCTTCTTTGCCTGCCATCTTAACTTGCCTATGCCTCCTGCTGCTCCCCTTCACCTCTTTTCCCTCCTACTGCCTTAGTGCAGAATGATATTCCCCTCTGGGATCTTTCTCTCTGTTTTTCTTCAGATAGCAAGACCAGGCCGGTAGAGGTTGTGAAGAAGTATTTGGAAGAGCTGAAGACACCTCCAGTTGATGAGGTATGTGGAAGAGATGCACATGAGCAGTTTATTTATCTACATTTCACATTTCTAAACCACTCATCTCCCTTAAAGAGCATTGCTGAGTGGGTCATAGAAACCTTCCTTAAAGCCAACCTTTGGCAATTTAACACTTCCCCAGGTGTTGATTGTAATTCTCATCATCCTCAACCAATACAACACTGACCCTACTGGTTGACAACAATGGTGGTGTTATATTGTTCAAGCTTGTGTTCCCCTTCATTTGTGTATGGGGCAATCACCATGATTCTATCTTATCATTGGGCTTTGCTAGTTATCATTGATGAAATTGGATCTTCTGGGACCATATATGCCAGTGTGAACAATCTATAGCAGCTTTATAAACAGCACTCTAAGCAGTTTATAGAGTTAGCATCTTGCCTCCAACAATCTGGGTCCTCATTTTACTGACCTCAGAAGGATTGACGGTTGAGTAAACCTTGAGCTGGTCAAGATCGAACTCCTGGTAATAGACAGACTAGGCATGGAATACTGCATTCTAACCATTGCGCCACCACCTCCTTGTAACCCTCTACAACATTGTTGAAATGTTCCAGCCACATTGTAATACGACAGAAAAAGAGAAATTAATCATATTAATAGTTCAGATTTTGAATTAAATGTTAATCAAATTCAGTTTTCACTAGAACATTCTACATTAGTTTTCTGTGGCTTAACATGGAAGGTTACTCTTTTGAAACAGAAGGCAGCTTTGACAACTTATATACACTCCTAAAATTCAGGATGTTTTGTACTGAATTCTCTATGAGTCTGATACCATTTTCTGTTTCAGCTGATAGGGATCCTTTTCAGTTTGGGGCAAAGGATATTTCCCAATGCTAGCAGGGGTCATACATTATGCTAAGCTATAATGTGCTTTGTTTCATTTGGGCTGAGTCTAGTGACTGGCTTGCTCAGTAAATGATTACAACAAATCACATTTAGTACTTTGTGTAACCCAGATAATATATGGTGATTCCTGTTGGATTTTCTTCATGCTGAATTGTGACCTGTCTTTAATCAATGCGTGATGCTGCCTTTGAATACATTACATAAAGGTTAATTCTCACCCCCTAGCCAGTTACGCATAACTGCATTTGGGAAGATGGTGTTGCTGCAAAAGGTTCATCTGTAAATTTGATCTCTTGTGGGACACATGGGAAGCTTCACCTATCATAGGAGATGGCCATACTAAAATACCCTTGGTTGATCTCAAAGAGATCATCGTAATTGAGCCTCATTGGTTTTGTTTTTTGTTTTGTTTTTTCTTTTTATTAAATTTTATTTAATATATAAAATACAAAGATAAATACAAATGGGAGATTAAGGGAAGGAAAAGAAGCGGGGGGAAAGAAGGTGTGAGGTACAAGGGAAAAAAGGCCTCGTTGGTTTTTGGATGCAAGACCACTTAGCTATGCCTATGATATCGGGAGTAGAGTTGGACCTAGGGCAAGGGTAAGCAACCTTGGCTCTTTTATGAGTTGTGGACTTCAACTCCCAGAATTCCTGAGCCAGGAATTTTTTGTTTGTTTGTTTTTAAACAGTCCTCCAATATGTCACTCCTTAAGTGACAACTGGGCCAGCCAATTCCTGCTTTTGCAAGAAAACTTTACAGTTCTTTCAGCAAAATTTTTCCAACAATGTTATTTGTCCACATAGAAAGAGCAGGGAAGCATCCTTCCCTTAGAACAGTGTTTCCCAAACTTGACAATTTTAAGGCATGTGGACTTCAACTCCCAGAATTCCACAGCCAGCAACGCTGGCTGTGGAATTCTGGGAGTTGAAGTCCTCATGCCTTAAAATTGTCAAGTTTGGGAAACACTGCCTTAGAATTTGAGATTCTTTTGCTTACGCATGTACAGGTTGGATTAGAAGACTTCCAAAGTCCCTCCCAACCCTATTCTATGTTCTAAAATGCTAGGAGAGAAGAAGCAGCTGGAGAAAATTTAAAGGAGGAAAATAGTCCATGGGGAAGAGATTAAATGTTTCTTCTCTCCTAGAGCAAAATGACATCTGATTTTCTACAAGATCCTTATCTGGAAGGGGATGATTGGTTGTTATAATGTTGTTTTCAATCCCCTGAAGCAAAAATATAAAAGAACTGTTTATTTTGTAGGACTGCATTATCTGTATGGAAAAATTGGGTGCTCCTTCAGGATACGGTGATATCAGTGAGAGCAAGATGATCCAACCTGGAAGTGTGGGGAGACTGACCAAATGTGCCCATACCTTTCACGTACTTTGTGTGCTGGCCATGTACACCAGTGGCAACAAGGTACAACAAGTGAGGAGGGGATTGGCTGTTGCTTGTCTTGCTTTGGAACACTAGGTGTGGATGCCACATTAGCCAACCTCACTTAATGATAAACTTAACAGTGTTGGCTGTCTTCCTGTAGGGTTATTGAGCAGTGGAATCCAGAAACACTCATGTGATGAATAGAAGTTTAATTTTGGTGGCCATTAAGCAACCAGGACTAACATCTTCTGCCAGCGCTCCTGCAGGCATTAGACAATTTTTCTGAAATGGTGTAGGGTTCCTGCCTGAGCAGGGGGTTGGACTTGATGACCTCCAAGGTCCCTTCCAACATTATTATTATTATTATTATTATTATTATTATTATTATTATTATTATTATTATTATTATATAATTCTCCAATTTTTTTTGTAATACTTCATGTTGTGGCTTTGGGGCTAAAGCATTTCAGCAGACTCAGAATCTACAACTAATAGATTCCATGGCAATGAAAAAGAAATTTAAATAATGGCTTTATGATTTAAAAAAAGTGCAATAAAGCCACTTCATTAAAAGACTGTCACAGAGTTCCAACAGATTACTATAGTGGACAAAATGAAAAGCAAAAGATTTAAAGATAGTATCAGGTACACCTGATACGGAAGAAAGCATTCTGTGAGCAGCATCCATCAACCAGAAAAGTGTATGTCATGTAAGCCTCTCTTTTAAAGTAGAAGGAACTATAGTAGGGGCCCTGAATAGATGGGCAAGCTAGAATGGGAATGGATGCTTATATTTTATATAAGAATAGATGCAAGGATGCTCACATGGGGTGTTTGCTACCCCTTGTCTATGAAATGGGCTCATCAAGACAAAAGTTCTTTTGCTCTATAGATTAAGAAGTAAGAAGGTAGCTTATTAGAAACAGCCATAGGTTGCCAAGGGCATCCAACATTTTGCAGACGTCCAGTTAGTGGGAAGCTTTATGCAATCCTGAACTTAAAAAGGGGGAGAGATTTCCAGAAATCTGTATTTTTCACAGCCCTTATTTATACTCATTATAACATTTTTATAATATTCTATCAGGATGGCAGCTTACAGTGTCCCTCTTGTAAGGCCATCTATGGTGAGAAGACAGGCACACAACCCAGTGGCAAGATGGATATTTACAAACGCTCAGAGTCTCTTCCAGGGCACGAGAACTGTGGGTCAATACAGATTGCATACTATATCAACAGAGGCATTCAGGTGAGTATGTTGTATGTACTAAACCTATCCTGAGGAGAGGGGCCTGATGGTAAAGCAAAGTTAGAAAGGCCAAGATGGTGCTGTAGGTGTAGGCCTTGGAGAGCCACTTCATTTCAAAGTGGAAGATACTTGGCTAGGTGGGAATGAGAAAGAATGAACAGATGGATTCCTTTCTTAGCAAATCTTCCTTCTAAGGTGCAATGATAATTTGTTCCTGAAAAAATAACCCTAGAAATCACATAAGGTGCACATCTTATGTATTATATCCCTGGTATATAATGCTATGGTCACAGCATTCCCATTAAAGGGCAGAGCACTAGTGAAAAATGTTCTTCCACATGCTCCCCTGTGAAGCTAAATGCAACTTGGGAGTCCTAATGGGGGTTTTGTTTCTCAAAAAAGTCTTTTCCAGATAAATCTAGAGTTGCTCTTTCATTTCTCACAAAAAAATGCACATCGCTACGTTTAAAGAATTTTATTATATTCTGAGCAGTTTATTTATATCAGTTTGAAATATTTCTCCAATAGTTGGGGTGTTTGCAATGGTCCTAAAAAGGGTAAAGCTTAACCAGCACAGTTGGTACCCAATGGCTGGGTTTGCACTCTAAACTTAACCAGTAATAATTGATCATTTATTGTACAATGTGCTGAGCTAGTTTAGTTTGAACCTTGGCTTGCTTTTGATACCTTAATGTGTTCTGCAGATGCTGATTTTTTTATTAGAGTGTGATTCAGCAAATTATGTGAATCTAGAACATTGATTAATTCAACAACTAAATTAAGTCTATTTTGTGCTTCAAGCCAGTGTGTACAAATGAGTGGATCTTCATATATAAATGTTCTCTGCCTTTATCTTTCCAGGGTCCAGAGCATCCCAACCCAGGGCTGCCATACACTGCAAGAGGATTCCCACGATATTGTTACCTACCTGATAACGAGAAGGGACAAAAGGTACAGTGATACTAAGATCTGTATCGTTAACTTGTTGCAGTAAAGAATGTGAAGTTAATTCTCCTTTTTTCTGCACAATCAGTAGCTTAATTAAATGAAGACTATTAATGGTTGTTTAGTATTTTTTAAAAGATTTTAAATTTTTCACCATTGAAAATTCAGCTTAAATCCAATTCTTCTGATTGAACAGCTTAATAAGAACAGTTCAACAATAGTGCCAGTTATTGAGCAGGTGGAGAGTTTCAGAAGCAAAAGTTGGTGAAGTCCTAGAGAGTGCACAATATGGTGATCTCAGAGACGTCTTCCAACTTTACACATGGAATGGAAGTAGAATTTAGATCTCAACAAAGTGAAGTGGGTAGATAAAAGGTTGGAGTCTTCTGTGGAATGTGAGAAGCTTCATGTTAGCCTCTTTCTTTTCTCTCTAGGTGCTGGAACTTTTAAAGGTGGCGTGGAGAAGGCGCTTGATCTTCACTGTAGGAACATCTAGCACAACTGGCGAGAACAACACTGTGGTGTGGAATGAGATCCACCACAAGACAGAGATGACCTCTAATGTCTCGGGCCATGGCTACCCAGACCCTAACTACCTTGACAATGTGCTGGCTGAACTGGCAGCTCAAGGGGTCACAGAAGATTGCCTAAGTCCATGAGTTTAACCTCCCATCTTGGACTGGAGTTGCAGCCAAAAGTGGAGTTTGTCTTCTCCATGACTATAGGTGCCTCTTGGTTGAGTGTGGCCGCTACAAATCTCCACCTCTGTTGCCTTATGTTTGCTTGCCCTTTTGCTGAGCAATAACACAGTCTCTGGGATTGCCCAGCATGACTGTGAGGAAGAGGGTTTTTATATATATATTGTGCTAGATGAAATACATAAAAGGATGGTGGCTTAATCCTCATATTGTATTCTTCCATATGTGGTTGCATGGGAGTTGAAGATAACACCAAGTGACTGGAAGTGAAGGAACACAATCTACCTTTTGTTCCTTCTCACTTTCTATCAAGAATCAGATGCTGCTTTGAGGCAGATCTCTTGAAAGGGATGAGATTTCCCTACTTCAGTGCTTGAACAAAATCATGTTGTTTAGCAACAAAAGCAGCATTAAAATCCGAAGATATATAGCAACTTTCCACAATTTGCTGTCAAAGTTTGATAGAATATAGTTATGACTATTCCAAATAGTATCACAGTGGGCGATAGCACATAGCAGCTTGGATTTTAAAAGAAAGCTGAGTAAGGTTGGACCTGATTCTTCTTGTATAAGAGGCTGGGATGAAGTCTCAGGTCTGCAAGCTGGTCTGCGAAGTTTTTTTAAAAAAATCTGAGAAGATCATTTCTGTTCTGCTACCAACGAAACTACTTGGATGTGGCCAGGAAGAATTGGGTTTGACTTAGACTTAATCCCACCCAAAAATATCAGTTTGGAAGACCAATAGGGAGAATTGTCAGTTTTATGTAAGGAATTGCATAAACCAAGTGTTTTGCAGATGGTATCTACGATTCCCCAAATAACATTCAAAAATTAATTCAAAATATATAAACGCAGCCACATGAGCCTTCTACTCATACAAACTATTGGGCATTCTCTCCTGAAATTTTGTGAATTTCATATAGTTTGGTAAACTTTTAAATTTGTGATGATTTTTCTTTTTGTTGTTCTTTAGCACTGATACCATATACAACTATATAGCAGTGACCCGCACTTGAGAACATTGCTAACTTCTGAGGCATTGCCCAGAATTCCAGAATTTTTCAGTATCAGCTACTTTTTTGTTATATCCAGGCCCTGTAAAATAACCTTTCAGTATTCCCATTTTACAGATCTTGTGTGCAGTGTGCAGAGTCATCTAGCAAGATCACAGTTGGGTATATGCTTAAATTTAGGGCTGCTTGCTACATCTTTAAGACTAAAACCCTGAAATAATTCTGCTTTATGTAATTGGAGAACTAATTTTTTTAACTATATCAGTAAAAACTGGATTCTGTAAGTTGCATAAATTCTTCATATTGGATAACTCTATATTTTGCATAATCCATTGCTGCTTATTTAGTTCATCATGGACTGAAGTAAAGATTGAAGCAGAGTCCTGAAATACATTTTATACAGTTTCATTTGGGATTTCAGCTGTGTTGTTTGTTTGTTTGTTTGTTTTTTGTAAGTATTTTGACACAGATGTAACCAGGAGAAACTTTTTCCTAAAAGGAAAAGTTTCTGGAAAATTAAGATTCTCAGAAATCTGAACGTAGAGATTAGTGCCATATTATGTACTAGTATAATTACAGAATTATAGCCCATAGTTATAGGGCAATGGTGGCAAACCTATGACATGGGTGCCAGAGGCGGCACTCAGAGCCCTCTCTGTGGGCAGGTGTGCCATCGCCCCAGTCCTAGGCCTTCAGCTGGGTTTTATAAAACCTTTTTGCTTTAGGCCTCCGCCGCCCTGTACACAAAAGGTTCAATCAATCAGTCAATTTCAACTTCTCACGGGGAAAAAAGATCTTGCAAAGTTGAAATGGATTGATTGAACTTTTTAGTCCCACCCAGTCTGCTGTTATCACTGCAGCCATGCCCACCCAATGGGCCACACCCACCCGGCACCCAACAATGCATAAGTGGGTTTTGGGTTGCAGTTTGGGCACTCGGTCTCTAAAAGGTTCGCCATCACTGTTATAGGGTGATACAAGTGCTCCTTGACTTCAATTATTAAACAATGCAGTCAGTAGGTGAGTTGCATCAAACGTTGCAACTTTTTTGCAACAGTCATTAAATAAATCACACACCCGACTTCCCCTATTGACTGCCCATTGGAGCCCCTCTGGGAAGATCTCAGATGGCAAGACCCTCATGAGGCACAGTAATTACATGCCAGTTACCAAGCACCTGAATTTTGATCAAATAACTACAGGAGTGCTGCAACAGTTGTAAGTGTGACAGTTAATGCTGCGGGGCAGAGGGCATGGCTGCTATGGCACTGCTTGGCGATCTGTGGCGGGCCCTGGAGGCAGTGAGTGGCCCTGCGGGCAGGTGGGGTGAGGGCAGAGTGGGGGTGGAGCAGGGGCGGGGCCAGTTTTTGGGCAGTCTCTAAAAGGTTTCCCATCACTGTCCTATAAGAATAAGCACCTTCCTGATTTTCTTAATTTATATTTAAAAGCAGTGCTTTTTCTGTTATAAAAAAAAAAAAAGTGCCGGAATTCACACATGTCATACAACCTGCTTTGCCTACCCTACAAGGTTCCATCCAAAACAGGTGTCGGAATTCCGTTCCAGGCGTTCTATAACAAAAAAAGCCCTGTTTAAAAGAATAAGTAAATACATTTAAAATATGTCAAAAACAAGGGAGGGGTAAATTGACCTAACTATCCTAGGTAAATTACAAAAATTTGGAATGGTGGAATTTCTAAAATGGGTGTGGTACATACAATTAGGCAGGAGTCTTCAAACTTGGCTCTTTTATGACTTGTGGACTTCAACTCCCAGAATTCTTCAGCAGGTACACTGGTTGAGGAATTCTGGGAGTTGAAGTCCACATGTCATAAAAGGGCCAAGTTTGAAAACCCCTACAATTAGGAATTGAAACAAGAAGGCTGTTTTACCAGAGCTGACCATTAGAGTGAAGTAAAGAGTCATACATGGGAAATCAGTCCTGCAAGACATTTACATTCAAAAATAAAGAATCCTGCTTTCTGCATGGGAGAGAATTCTGGGTGGATTTTCTACTTTCAGCAATTCTCATTCCTGGAAATTGTCTTCCTCTTGGAACATATATCCCAGTGCCAAGTTTGCATTTGGGAATAAGTTTAGAGATGAGCAACTTTTTGGCAAAGTCTCTGGATTTGATTTGGTTTCCACTTTTCTCTCCTGGTGCTTTTGTCAGTTATTCTATCAATGGAAACTCATATTTTGCTAAGGAGGTGGGGAGGGGAGATTAACTTAAATAAAAATAAGAAAATGAGAAAAATTCATTTTAAAGTGGAGAACAAGCAAGCTCACATAAAGTACAATGTACAAACTTAAAATGGCTTATATATATAAAACGAATACTTAGGATATGATATCCTGGTTGAATTAGAATGGTCAAGAAAGATGGAAAAGAAAATCACTTCAATTGTAACACATCAAAAATAAGCAGCATCTGCATGTATCTAAGTCTAAGATATATATCTCAAGAGTCAAGAGGCTTCCTCAAAGTAAGTGGCAATATCTCAATGAAGATTCTCTGTCATCCAGTTAAAAGTTGTCTGAAAGTTGAATGATGGCAACTGGACTTCCTTTATCATAATACTCTAGTAACCACACACTACCATAGCTGCCGCTTCTCGACAACTTAGTTCCATACATCACTTCAAAACCTTGTCTTAAGATTCAGGCCATATGTCTTTTATTTTAGCTAAAATTACTAAAATGTAGGAAGCTTCCTGTTGATAAACGTGGGAAGAGAACAATGGGCTAAGCAAGTCTTTCATTGGCCGCCGCTTCCATCCTTTTCACAATTTGCACATTGGCGCATCCAATCCCATAATTCCCTGTCAATTCTTCACTCCTGGATTAAGATCCATAAACTTATTTGCCTCTACATAGAACTAAATCATCCACTAGTAAATGAGCACCATGAGTGACTTCTACAGGCAAGGAAGCAAATGGAACTTAATCCAGGAGAGGAGAATTGATAAGAGAATGATGGTCCCGGTTTGAAGACTGGATAGGGATTCTGGATACATACATACACACACTTGAGGGTTTCTGGAAATAACAGACTGGTCAGATGTTGGATTAAGCAACTATCCTCAGATTTAGAAAACCTTTATTTTGTTCTCATTAGTCATAATATATAGATAGTCCTTATCTAGCAACCGCCTCATTTAGCAACCGTTCATAGTTACAGTGTTGATGAAAAAGTAACTTTGCAACCAGCCCTCACATTTACAAATTTCACAGATCTGTAACACAAAGGAAAGCTGAAATAAAATTGTGATATTGATAATCTTAAACTTCAGCTTTCCTTTGCTTTATAGACCTGTAACATTCATAAATGCAACAATTGGTCATGACTTTTTCACTGTCATAACTGAACGATCATTAAATGAGGGAGTCACTAAATGAGGATTGCCTGTGCTATGTAAGAATGTTGAGTGTATAATAGGCAGACAAAATGCCTATGTGAAAACGTTGGCCATAAAAATGACTGTTCCCCACCTAAAAAAAAAATGTAAAAAAAAGAGTCGGAAAAGTAAGGGCTACTAAATGTCTATGGAGATTCTCAGTCATCCAGGTCAAGTGGAGTGTCTTTGTTTTTTCTTTGAAGACATTTCGCTTCTCATCCAAGAAGCTTCTTCAGTTCAGAAGTGAAGAAGCTTCAACCAACTGATGGGAGAGTTTACCTCAGAAATAGCTGCCAAAAGGCTTGGAAAAAGCAATTTGAAATGTTCAAAGAGATTCCATCTTAATGAACTCACTTTTAAGAGAGGCTGGAACATTCTCATTATTTCTATAATTTACTTCTAATTCTTGCAATAGCATTCCTTATTCAACTCTGTTTGATTCTTGCTTCATTGATCGACCCGGAGCTGGATAGCTGACATTGCATGTTTCAAATTCCATTGTGCTTTTGATTTCAGGTATGTATTACAAGTTGGCCCTTTATTTTGTCTCCATCCCAGCTAGTTCGTAAGGCTGGTTTCAGTGCTTCAGTCTTCCTTCCTCGTAGGAACTTTTGGAACAAGTGTTATGAGATGGAGCGAGGTGATCAATGGAGTTAAATTTGTGTAGTCACACTTGTCCAAATTGTCCCATGTTTGAATCTAAGCAAATTCAGAAAATCACAAACACACATTATACTGGTAGTTATGTTCACACAACTTGCTTGCCTTGTTACTAAATTTAAGTTAGTAAACCAGTGGTGGCGAACCTATGGCACATGTGCCAGAGGCGGCACTCAGAGCCCTCTCTGTGGGCACGTGTGCCATGCCCCGGAGATGGCAACTGTCCCTCTTCAACCAGCTGACCGCTAACTCGCTGAGGTCCCACATGGCCTGATGCATCCCAGCACCCATGCGCTCGCTGGCCTCTGTGTGCGGGGGCCAATGGCATCAGGCAGCAGTCGCCCCAGCCCCTACCTCATCTTGCCCTGTGACAATGGCACCCCCGCCCTGCCTCACTTTGCCTTGCCTCACCCCGCAGGACAAGCCTCCTGCCCATCGCCCCACCTGCCAGAGACCCCCTGGATCTCCCCCAACCCTGCCCCCACATGCAACATCAAGGTGATCATGCCCACCTTGGCCATACCGACCCGGTCTGCCATGACCACCACAGTCACGCCCACCCAGTGGGCCACACCCACCTGGCACCCAGTGACAAATAAGTAGGTTTTGGGTTGCAGTTTGGGCACTCGGTCTCTAAAAGTTTCATGTGTTTAGTTTGCATGTGCCTGGTCAATCCTTATATCCAAATCAGAGCAAGCAAACACGCCCTTCAGTTCATCTAGAAAAAAAATAGTTTAATTGTTAATGATTAAACCTCAGGAAACATCTAAAATTGTTAGCCAGCTAAAAATGTGGAGAAAGGCAGACAAAAGCAGAGAGGGAGAAAGACATGAACAACCATACATGAAAAAGGATTCAGCAAAATTGGAGCAAGTTGAAGAAAGGCAGTAAGAATTATCAGGAAACTAGAAAGGAAAAGCTACAGTATGCAAATAAATAGAAGTTGACCCCTATAACCATGAAAAAAACATTGCATAGAAAGTCAAGATCTGTTCTTAATCATTTGAAAATGTAGTATATGGAATAATAGGCAGCTCTCCACTTAAAACAGTTCATTTAGTTAGTGATCGTTCAAAGTTACAACAGTACTGAAAATATGACTCATGGCCGTTTTTCACAGTTACAATCTTTGCAGCATTCCCATGATGATGGGATCAAATTCAGAAGCTGGGCAACTGATTCATATTTATGACTGTTGCTGTGTCCCAGGGTCATGTGATCACCATTTGCAACCTTGACAAGCAAAGTCAATGAGGAATCCAGATTCACTTAACAACCGGGTTTCTAACTTATCACCTGCAGTGATTCACAACAATAGTGGCAAGAAAGCTCATAAAATGGGGCAAAATCCACTTAACAAATGTCTCACTTAACAACAGAAACTTTGGGCTCAGTTGTGGTTGTAAGTCGAGGACTACCTGTATTGCACGCAAATATTGGGGAAACACTTTTTAAGAAACAGAAAACTGACAGAGATAGGTCTAGTAGTCCACTGAATCTGCCCTTTGAGTTTATTGTTTTTTTGTTTTGTTTTTAATTTATTTATTCATTATTTTTAATTATTTTATATTTTATTAATTTTTATTTTATGTTCATATTTTTAATTTTTGTTGGATGCTGAACATGTGTTTATCCCAAGCATGTTCAATCAAACTCAGTTAACTCACTTCTTAATCGTAAGAGCAGTTCAGCCGTGAAACAAATTACTTGGAGAAGGTGGTAGGCCACCCTTTTCCAGATGTGCTCAAGCTGCCGTCCATCCACACTGCTTTAATTTGAATTCATGCACAGAGGAAGCAGCTGGACTGAGTGGCCCACATGATCCAATGAATCTCTAGGATTCTGTGCTGGACATTCTGGGAGATATGAATCCATGGGGGGAAATCTGGCTGACCAGATGACTAAAAGAAGAAAGACCATGAGAATAAATAAATAAAGACGTAACTAGCCTTGTCATTTGATTGTGGGGTTTGGTTATGGTTCCTGAGTGGGGTAGGGATTGTTTAGTTTCTAAGTGTGATGTGTTTTCCATATTTAATTGTATCTGTCTTTGGGAATGCATGGGGTGTGGGAAAAGGTGAAGCCCCTCCCCCATGACCTGTTCAACCACAGCATAACTGTCCAAAGTTATAAAACCTGTTCAGCAGCATTACCTGCTTTACTTGACTGTAACCGGTATGGTAGCTAACGTGGCTACAACCTTTCCCGTGCCTGTTTAATGGCATTTTTCAATTTTTTATTCTCACATCTCTCTTTGCTCTTTCTGGTGCTTTCCAAGTTCTGTTGACCAACTGTGGTATTTGATGGTTCCATAAAATTTGTTGAAGCTTCGACCACAGGTTTGATGGACCATGGCATAGAAAACCTCAAACAAAAGTAAACTAAGGTCTAGTTGATGTTATTCTTCTTAGTTAAATTAGATCCACCATTCTTCTGTGACCTCAAGCAGCAAATATTGCATAAAGACTAGCTCAAAATCAGCCAGGGAATTTCAGTGGTTGAGTATAGACTTCAACCTGAGTCTCCCTGGTTCTAGTCTAATGGCAGGGTCACCGCTCTTACTGCCACAAGGTAGGCCTATTAAGGAATGGAGCAGCTTGCCTTCCAGAGTTGTGGGTGCTCCATTGCTGGAGGTTTTGAAGAAAAGATTGGACAACTATTTGTCCAGGATGGTATAAGGAATTCTGCCTTGGGCAGTGGATAGAAGACCTCCAAGATCCCTTCCAGCCCTATGTTTCTATGGTTATATATGACTGCAAATCTAACACCATCAGCTACTTTTTAAAGCAGCCATGTCTTCCTGTGTTTGCTCAGAAACTTAAAAAAATTACAGACGTTTTGCATTTCCACACCCTCCAAAGTATGTTTTCTGAATTCTCTCCAAAAGTACTACAAAATTCTGTAGCTGAAACCAAATATTTCTTTAATCAAATATTTTTGATTAATTTGATTGATTGATTTGAGTAATTGAATGAGTAGTCAAAGATAACTCCTTAATCAAAGAAAGAATTTTCTTTCACACAAAAAATAATGTCAAAAACTATAGCTTACATAATTTAGAGATAATTATTCTCCAACGGAATAGAGGCCTGATTTTGATAACATAGCAATATACAACATGGTCCTGGGATAAATTCATATTAAGGATTATATAAATTTCAGATCGATATTTGGCTCATTCATTGAGGTTTGATTCTAATGATTGCCAAATTAAAAGAATCTAAGCTTTTCAAATGCATCCCATTGGCTATTTAGAATAGAATAGAATAGAATAGAATAGAATAGAATAGAATAGAATAGAATAGAATAGAATAGAATATCTTTATTGTCATTGTGTTTTTCTCACAATGAAATTGAATGCTATTCACAGTGCACACTTGGCACTGATAAAAACCACAAATAAAAACATACATTATACACACATCCTTCACATTCTATTCACCATATTGGGGAAATGAGTGGTAGACTAGATGGGCTTATGGATTCATCCGGCAGGTTCCCATGTACAATAATCCTCCCTTACCAACTGCCTCTTTTAATGACCATTTGACATTTAGATGGTGATGTAAAAACATTGCGACCAATTCTTGCATTGTTGCAGGGTCCTGCAGTCATGTGGTCACTATTTCTGAGCTTTGCAACTGGCTTGCAATAAGCAGAGTTAATAGAGAAGGCAGAAGTAAAATTGTAAATCGCAGTCCCTTGTTTTATTTAATAACCGGGGTAATTTACTTAATCACTTCAGGGGAAATGATTCATAAACCCATTGAGGTCATATGGTTTTCTGTTTAGTGACTGTGGTACCTAGCAACAGACCTGCTGGTCCAAATGCGGTGCTATGTGAGGTCTATCTATACTTATTTTCACATGGTTAAACCAAATGGGTGGCTATGCTCCTCATTCACAATTTTGTGAATGAGTGAAAATTTGAACCCGACTCTCCAAGGTCTTAATCCCGTGGTGTAACTACTGCACCATACTTGACATTACTTATATTGTCTAGCTTAACTACCTTTCTTTTTTTTTCCCCCTTTCAGTCTCATGTCTCCTCATTCTCTACCCCTGTGATGCCCACTTACATTGTCCAGTTAGTGGTTGTTTTCTATTCTCTTGCGAAAGAACAAGACAAACCTGTTTGCTATCAGGGGTCAAGATCCTTACAAGGGAAGGGAAGAATGTGGAAAGTTGGCAAAGGGTGGAACAGGGGCAGTTGCTGAAGACAATGTGATAAGGAATTGGCCAGTAGAGTAGAAAAGGATGTTTTTCCTTACTGACCTTGTCTTCATTTGCACCTTGGACTCTGAGGAACATCCTTTTGTCAGCTTGAGACATCTTCTATCATAGCACGAAGAAAGTTCTTGAGAAGAATAACCAGCTTCCGTAATGATGGCTGCTTCCCTTCTACTTCTGTTCCTAGTTGCTTGCAAGACCACGGCTTTAGGTGATTATTATTTTATAGAATCATAAAATCATACAGTTGGAAGAGGGTTATTTGGAGCAACTCGATGCTTTTTGGTACTCTTTGATGAAAGGAAAGATCTTGCCCTATTTCAGTGGGCTGATGATGCAATCTTTCCCAACCTGGTATTTTCCAAGCGTGTTCAAGTACAACTCATATCGTTACTTGTCTTATTGGAAATCATGTGAGTGTCATGTCACCTATCTGTAGGATGACTTGGGGAAGATTGCTTAAAATGTCTCTTTCCTTCCTTTTCTCTCAATCTTTGGTGTCTTTTCCTAAATTAAGAGCATTACCTACCATTTTGAATTAAATTTTCCAGGATAAAGATCCTGTCTCTTTTGCTCTGGGCATTAGCAGACATTTAGATGTAAATGTTTGTCAGTAATCATCTTTTGTGATGAGATAGTAAAAAAAAAATTGAATAATCTTCCAATAATCTGGGCTAAGTAACTAAGTACAAGCAAAAACCGAGTAGCTATATTCACATAATGTGCTAAATCTGCTTCCTGAATTAACCTATTTTCTGTGGTCACAAATACATCCATCCATAAATGAAACAAACAGACTGGGCTTGGACCATACTAACCTACTGTAGCTTAGGCTTTTACTTGCACAGTTAAGTGGATTGTGTTTAAATACAAATGTCAATATTATAAAATGAATTTGGAGAAATGTGTGGAAGATATGCTTTGCTTTCATTTCCAGTGACATTCCACTTACATGTCAGCACACAGCTTTGGGTAGGTGAGGTGGCTGGCTTAATCCTCTTAGATGCTGGAAGAAGGGAAGGATGGTGGGTATTCAAATGGAGACTCAAATAATGTAGTCAGTCAGTCCAGGGGATGCTATAAGGTTAAACAGTAATGCTTGGAATTGATACAAGGAGAGAATCCAGAGAAATTCCTGATAGAACAATTAATCAGTGGAACAGCTTGCTTCAGAAGTTGTGGCTGCTCCAACACTGGAGTTTTGTAAGAAGAGATTGGACAGCCATTTGTCTGAAATGGTATAGGGTTTCCCACTTGAGCAGGAGATTGGACTAGAAGATCTCCAAGGTCCCTTCCAAATCTGTTATTTATCTATTATCTGTTACATAGATGGATAATGGCCATCTGGAATGAATGTGATTCCAGATATGGAAGATTTTCTATCCAGGTTAGGTTTTTAGGTATTTAAGAGGAAAATTTGGTTGTGTGGTTTTTGTTTTTAATATTTTGCTCCCAAGGAAATAGGGCTTTGGGGCAGTAGGGGAGAGGGGAATTAAAGAGAGAAGCATATTTTCCTTAAATCTAAAAAAAACCTATGTTTACGATACATATGTAATATGGCAATCTTCTCCTCTAATATGGAGCTCTCTGATACCCTTTCTGATTGACAGGCTATGGGGAGCACTACCATCAAAAGAAAGGGGAGTGTCCTCTCCTTCCCATCCCAGGGTAACCCTGAAGAATGGCTTATCTACTGAATGGGCGCAAAGAGGATGTAAGGCAGACATGTCAAACACAAGGCCCAGGGACCAGATGCAGCCCATGAAGTGGTTTCATGTGGCCTGCGAAGCCATCCTGGAAACACTGAGGGAATGGCCCCCTCTGCCTTGGCCCTGGCCCAGGCCAGCCAGGAGCCAATGTACAATTTTGTGGTGGCCATCTATGCTGAAACACATTCAATCTTAGCTCCATAAGCCACCCCCCGCACGGCCTGAGAGGAACAGTGAGGCTCCTCCAGTGGACCATGCCTTGGCATTTGCCCTGGTCCCATCCCCTTCTGCCAGAGACCCTCAGATCTATCCCACTCCTGCCCAGGCCCCCACAGGCACCCTTGATGCGAATGATGTAGAGCTGGCCACACCCACCCAGTAGGCCACACCCACCCCATCCATACCTACCCAGTAGGCCATACCCACCCTGGCCACACCCACCCAGCCCCCTGAGAGCAACTGCAATGCTGATGCAGCCCTCAATGAAATTGAGTTTGACACTCCTGATGTAAGGGGATGATCCATGGTTGCTCTTTGTGCCAAAAATGTTGACCAGAGTTTTTTTATTATTATTATTAGGGGGCACATTTACACACCCATACTCTTTTGATCCATTTTTATAACAGCAGAAGAATATGAAAACAAGAGAGAACCTTTCTTTGACATTCATAAGAAGAACTTATGGAAGCCTAGCAAGCAGGCAGTCAAGTCTTAGTGCAATGCCATGAGACACAGTCTCCCCAGAACTTCAGGTCACCAAGCTAACTCAGGAAGCCCAAAGCAGGCTATGAGATAGAACATCTGATCCCTCACCATCTCCACTTGCCTTCTCACTTCTGTTCTAGGAGAGTTATTACCACACTTTCTGTAATGGTAGAGTGGGCACCAAACAAAAACGCAGACATCTTCTGTCATTGTGTAGCATGGGGAAAGAAATAGCATGACCCTCCCTCTCTGAAAACAATATTTGGGGAAAACTGCAAAATTACTTTTTTTCAAGAATGAGCAACCTTTATGGGCCATGTAGGGCATATATTATTTGTTTATTAAAGTTTCCAAGGAACATAGAGGTAACATGCTTACATCATCAAGAGAGGTTCTGAAAATGCCCTGCCTTTGTCTTTTTTTTTCAGCTGCAGAAGCTCTTCAGATTGCAGGTCAAGAAGTACGAGCTATAGTGTACACTCTTGGTCTAGACCCCTGCTTGCATTTGATTAGATGCATCATCAGTTCTTGCATTTCTGCATCACCAACTGATGCTGATGACTTCTCAATGTATTTTCAGAGATGGTCCCCTACACTCCTAGGATCTCAAATGAGAACATGGAAGGAAAAATTACTGGTAGCACTTTTGCTTTAGAATGGCCAAAGTGTGTCTTTGACTCATTTGTCAATGCCTCCGACAACATCTGGTTGGTAATCGCCTTTGCTAATGGTGAGTGAACAACCAAAACCATAAGACATTTTATGAAGAAAATAAACGTATTTTATTCATTGGATTTCTACCTGTTAGCTCTAGAAGATAGACCCGATCAAGAAACTGACTCCCCAGGAAAACTGGAACTAAACTTTATTATAATAGCAGAATCTTGCAAATCTGAGTGAGCTTCTTTTCTCTTTGTCATAAATCCCACTGAATCAAGAGGAAGCAGCCTGTTTCTCCCTAATGTTGTCTCCTACCCCAGGCTTTAAAGCAGTGTTTCTCAACCTTGACCATTTTAAGGCATGTGGACTTCAACTCCCAGAATTCCACAGCCAGCATTGCTGGCTGTGGAATTCTGGGAGTTGAAGTCCACATGCCTTAAAATGGTCAAGGTTGAGAAACACTGCTTTAAAGCATACTTCTGCCTTCATTTCTGTAACAGCTTCTGAATACTCCCTTCTGGGCCATTTCCATTCTTTTTTCATTATCACCTTTGAGGGGGTCTTTGGTGCTCTCTGAGTTGAACAACCTGAGCTTGGTGGTTTTCTTGCAGACATTTCATTAGTAACAGTTTGGATAATGAAACATCTGCAAAAAAAACCCCACCAAGGTCAGAGAGCACCAAGGACCCCTCATTTCAACCTTGAGCTATAGTCATTCCCCTTTATTTCCAACTTTTCATCTGGAACTCAAGGCGTAGGGAGGAGGTTCCCTCTATTTTATTCTCAGAATGCCACGCCTGGAGGGCGAACATCCATAGAAGCTTTCTGCTTTGAGTAAAATTATGAAAGCAACATTGTTCTACAAGCCCTGCCCCTTTAGGTCTGCACACAATGTCCCAATGTGTATAGAAGACAGATGGGGATTATGGTGCAATGCTGCCTGTGTCATTCAGCCCCACCTGCCTTTGTGCAATCGTTTGAGCTCAGAAAGAGGGATGAGCCCAAAGCTGCCTATTGCACTTCCATGGCCGATGGCACATAGAACCTGAGTGTTCCCAATCTTAATCCAAAACCTTAACTACCGGCATTCCTCAACCTACGACCACAATTGAGCCCCAAATTTCTGCTGCTAAGTGAGACATTTGTTAAGTATGTTTTGCCCCATTTTACAACTTGTTCTTGCCACAGTTGTTAAGTGAATCACTAAAGCTGTCAAGTTAGTAACCTGGTTGTTGAGTGAATCAGGCTTCCCCATTGACTTTGCTCGTCAGAAGGTCGCGAAAGGGGATCACATGACTTTGGGACACTGCAATCATCAGTAATATGAGTCAGTTGCCAAGCGTCTGAATTTTGATCACGTGACCGTGGGGATGCTTCCACTGTTGAAAACCATATGCTGGGTAAATGGGAGGTTTCCCAAACCATGGGCCGAACAGGATTTATATGAGATGGATATTAAATCACTGGTTTTTGATAAGATGAACTCATCTCTGGGTCACATTCCCTGCCTTATTTTTTCATGTGTTCTTCCAACAGCCACAGTTAATTTCAAAAATCCCACATCCACACAGCAAATTCCACCGTATGAAAATTTATATACCTCTTATGCCTACATGACAATGAAGTCCACCCTCTCCCAATACCCATGTACTAAAGGCAAAACGATGGCTGTGCTCCGGGTTGGCAACGAATCATCTTGCAAAAATGATGACAGCAGGACCCACTGCAATGGCCCTCTGCCCTCTTCTGGACCTTACAGGTAAAGGGAGGATGGCAAATAGCCCTCAGTTTGACCCTCTAAAATCCTTGGAGGGAACCCCGGCCGGCAGAAAGAATATCCACAAGGGAAGGCATGCCAGAAAAGTCAAGATGGCAGTCATAATGCAAGTAAAAAGGGGGCGGGGTTTTGATTGTGTGTTTGTGGCCACCATCTTGAGGTTTTTGGTTTTTTTACCAGTGATCACCTCTAAAGGCAGGATATAAAATGAATATTCTATTCTCAAGATTGGGATCTGAAAGTCCTTAAGAGCAACAAATAGACATAATAGTTGTAGTAGTTGCAATATAAATAACAATAACAACAATAATAAGACTCTGGCCAAAGAAAGCAAAAGTAGGAACAATAGGCACCTTGGATGCAATCCCAAAACATCACTTGAACTCCATCAGAGCTGAGATACTCACCATCAGTCAATTGCAAAATACAGCTTTACTATAAGGTGACCAACTTTTTTACAATGAAAAGGAGGACACAAGTAAATTGAAGAAAAAAATATCATAAATAAAAAAAACATTTTATTCATTGCAACAATAATACAGACAACTTGCATGTGCAAAGTTTGCCAGCCGGGTGTTTTGGCGCACTCAGCAGCAATTCCTATTGGCTTTCGAAAGCCAATAGTGAGAGTAGCACAGCTCATGCAAAAGTTGAAAACAAAACACATCAAAACAAAGGTGCCGGAACGCCATTCTGAGCATTCTATGAGGGAAAAAAAGCCCTGCAGATTAGTCTTCAAATATCAAAAAGGAGGACATGAAGGAGGACACTTTTCGAGGGAGGACAGAACTTAAAAAAGGAGGACTGTCCTCCCTAAAGGAGGACGGTTGGTCACCTTATTTACTAGGAACAGCTTGTATCCTGTGGTGATACTTTTAACACCAACAATAACATCTACCTTTCTCAGGTCTTTGGGAAAGAGTCAGTAGTGGATAATGATGAGAAATGCAATCTAAAAGTATCTGGTCAACCATAATAATAAAAATAATAATACAAAGTCTGCCTATTCCAAGTCCTTCGGAAAACTTGATAGGTGGACAAAAATGCCAAATCCATTCTAAATATCTGGCTGACTATGTGACCAGCCATAATAATAATATCCTAAAATAAATCAAGACAAAAAATGGATAAACATCCTCTCCTTTCCACTTGGTTATCTAAGCCAACAGACCTATTGCATCCAGTCACAGATCTATTGGCTGCTCTTTGCATGGCACGTTAAGCATAATTTAATCCTGACTAGGTTTGTTTTTATGGATGCACATCGCTTACCACATTGGCAAAGCTGGCTTCATTTACAAGCATGGATAAGTGTGCAATGCAAATACATTCTCAAATTCTCTTGGAAGCTATTGGACCTGACTGGGCATGATTTGGGGGGGGGGGGAGAAACAAAAAACATTGGAGAATTTGGGGAACCTCACTGCAGTAACATTTATTTAGGAAAGGAAAGGGAGACATATATCGTTATTACAGTAGGAGAGTGAGAATGATCAGTTTTGAAGGCTTTTGTTTGCTAGATATGAAATAAAAAGCAGGGAAGCTTCCTTGATTGCTGGACTGATAGGCAAGATGCAAATCAAAGAATGATATCCATAATTTTAGCAAGGGGTTTTCTCTTTTCTCCCCCCTTTTTCCTTCAGTTTGAAGGCTACAAGGGTCAGAGCAGCAGTGCATCTTTGGCTCTTTCTTTTTGGAATTTTGCAAGCTTGGGAGAATTAAGACAAAATTGCATACATTTTGCAGCAGGGATGGCAGGGAGAGAGGCTTGAAGAGGATATCCAAATGGCTTCCTGTAAAAGGATAGATTATTTATTTGTATCCCACCGTTATTACCTATACTAATAACTCTAGGCAGCAAACATATACAACACACCTTCCTCTTCCTATTTTCCCCACAACACCTGTGGGGTGGGTTTTGCTGAGAGACCGTGACCGGCTAAGGCAGGGGTAGGCAACCTTGGCTCTTTTATGACTCGTGGACTTCAACTCCCAGAATTCCTGAGCCAGCCTGGCTCAGGAATTCTGGGAGTTGAAGTCCACGAGTCATAAAAGAGCCAAGGTTGTCTATCCTTGGGCTAAGGTTTTCATGGCTAAGACGAACTAGAATTCATAGTGTCCTGCATTCTAGCTTGGTGCTTTAACTACTAGACCATGCTGGCTCTTAATGTAATTAAGATACTTATTCTTAAGTCATATATGCCTACAGATATACAAACAAACTTTCTACAGCATTCTATGATTGAGAGACTTTGATAACGATCTTTTTTTAAATCTCCCTGCTCCACATAGCCAATTTTCATTGATCTTTTTCTGTAAATTTCTAATTGAAGAGAAATAAATATTTGGGGTGAGCAGCCACTTCTTCAAAAATGTCTTTAAAAGGAAAAGGATTTTTAAAAAATCAAGTTGATGGCCATAAATCTGTGATTGTTACCCAGTCAAAAAATCAAGATGGCACCCATAATTATGCAGTTGAAGCCCCTTTTTATATGCATCTTTGATGGCGTGTTTGTAGCTGCCATTTTGACTTTTTTGATTCCCTGAAACATCCAGGCCTATATCTCGGCTAGAAATTAAGGAAGAATGAAGCCAAATGTCACCATTCTGAAAAAAAGAAAAGAAAAAAAAACTCCTATTGATTCTGAAGCCGGAGATATAACCAGTTTTTGGCACTTGGGGCCCATCCCTTGAGAATATAGCCATGGGAATGCAGACCCATTCAACCAGACTTTCCACCGCGTAAGGGAATGGAATGAAGTCAGAGCCAGGAAGATTTCACAGGGTTCAATAATACAAAACAAGTTACAGCTATAATCAGATAATGATGGGTTTGTAGCTACAGAGTTTCAGAGGGTGGGATGGGGTTTTTCTTGTTCTGGTCCTTCCAGGAATCTCAAGGGATTGCATGACCACAGTAAATGGAATGAAGTCTTCTGATATTTCAAAAGTTGTTATTGTACTATTCGTATTTTGTTTCTGAAATTGTGTAAGTTTGGTAACTTTCATTTTTTCAAATATTCATCAATCTTTTCCAGGGAGACTTTACAATTTTTTTCATATAAATTCAAATAAAATCACGGAAGGATTTTTAAATACTGACATTATGTATTAATATAGTCTCACCTTTAATCAGTCAATCAGAATAGAGCTGGAAAGGACCTTGGAGGGCTTCTAGTCCAACCCCCTGCTCAAGCAGGAGACTCTATACCATTTCAGACAAGTGGCAGCCCAGTCTTTTCTTAAAAACCTCCAGCGATGAAGCACCCAGCACTTTTGAAGGCAAGCTGCTCCATTGGTTTATTGTTCTCACTGTCAAGAAATTTCTCCTTGAATAGTTTCCATCCATTGTTCCTTGTCTTCTGGTGTTTTGGAAAATAAGTTGACTCCCTCTTCTTTGCAGCAGCCCCTCAAATATTGGAATACTGCTATCATGTCACCCTAGTTCTTTTTTCTTTTTTTTCTTCCTAAATTTCTAATACCATTTTCTTATTTTCTTCCTTCCTCAGTTTATAAACCAACCATTTCCCTGATTTGTTTGCAAATTTTATTTTTTTCTGCTTCACATAATTGAATTTAGTCTCTATTTTTCTCATGCTTAACATAGATATTTACTGATACACAATAAAACAGGGAAAGCACCAGATCCTGATGAGTTATCAAGTTCATATTACAAGTAATTTGAAGACCAACTTCTATAGTCACTTAAAAGTGTGCAAAACTCTATTTTGCAAGGATCTGCTATGACAGAATCTTGGAAAGATTAATATTACTTTACTTCTAAAAGGACAAGATTTGTCTTCAGCCAAAAATTATAGAACAATTTCATTGTTGAATAATGATTATAAAATATTTACTGAATATTGGCTGATAGCTTAAAAGAAGATTTTGCAGATTTTTATTCATGATGATATAGTGTTAAATCAGCCAAAATAGATGGGATCTTTGTTTTCTTCCTGGATCTGCCTTCCTGTTTTGTGCATTCACCATTGTAAGACACTAAGAAAAAGACACAGGCATGTCTTGAGCAGAGGTTTGAAGCTGCAGGACACAGCTTGACAAACTCTGAGTTTATTGCTTCTTATATACTTGTTACATACATAGGCTTTACCATTAAATGCTGACATTTTACATTCATAAGTTTAACCATTAGATGCTGACAGTTTCTTCATTGGAAAATGTCTTCATGTAAGCAACTATTTTCTAGTAACACATTACATGGTCAAAGACCAGGTAAGAACAAATACAGGGAGATGAAAGCAGAAGGAACTAACAAAGACAGGAAGAGATAGGAGAAGGAACTAAGCATATTATCTGTTTAGGTAGGTGAGGCATTAAGTCAAAAGTGGATGACCTTCTGGCTGCTTCATTGGGACAAAGGGTATCAAAAGGTTATGAGGTTTGTGGGGGGGGAAGCACGGCAATTTGCTGTGCATGCATTTTCCCCCACACACAATTATGTACAACATCTTGACAGTTTTGACTAAACTTTATGGACATACCTAGTCATTACTTGAGCAGAATGCACTTGGAATGTCATTGATATTTCCTTCCATTCCTTCCTTCTGTATTTTAATTTCACTATACTTTTCAGAGTAAAATTCCTTGCCATGAACTCTTCGGGTCCGAAAGCAGAAACAGGATGGTCTTCTCCAATCAGGCTAACTAAAGGTATGCAAGTAGAAGAACTTGCTGCCCATTAAAAAGCTAAGATATGTATGGTACTGTAAAATTTTGTGGACCTGGGAAATAATGGGAGTTGCATCCGATTGGAAAAGATTATTTTAGAAGACAAAACTAATCTCAGTCATCCAAAAATGGTGGAACCTCCCATCACTCTTTTATTTTCAAATGATGCCAAGAGCAGTAATAATATAATCCTTCTAGTTCTTTATTTTTTTCCCCTCTTTCCCCAGCTTCTTAGGCACATTGAAAAAACACTGCACAAAAAGTAAGTGCAGTGTGATTTCTACACAGGCAAAAAAAAATCTTGTTCAAAACTAGAAGCAAACTTGGTTTTCTAAGTTGTATACACCTTAAACAACGGGTCCTTGGTGTGTTTGCTTGTTTTCTTGCAGACATTTCATTACCCCAACTAGGTAACATCATCAGTGCTGTTGATCTTACCTAGTTTGGGTAATGAAACTTCTGCAAGAAAACAAGCAAACTCAGAGAGCACCAAGGACCCCTCATTTCAACTGTGAACTACAACTATTCTCTTTTATTGGTACATCTTAAACCCGTGGTGGCGAACCTATGGCACAGGTGCCAGAGGCAGCACTCAGCCCTCTCTGTGGGCACACGCGCCGTTGCTCCAGTCCTAGGCCTTTAGCTGGGTTTATAAAATCTTTTCGCTTTAGGCCTCCGCCGCCGTGTGCAAAAAAAAAAAGGTTCAATCAATCAATCAATTTCAACTTCTTGCAGAAAAAAAAGATCTTGCAAAGTTGGAATTGATTGATTGAACTTTTTAGTCCCACCCAGTCTGCCGTTACCACCGCAGCCATGCCCACCCAATGGGCCACACCCACCCAATTGGCCAAACCCACCCAATGGGCCATGCCCACCTGGCACCCAACGATACATAAGTGGGTTTTGGGTTGTAGTTTGGGCACTCGGTCTCTAAAAGGTTTGCCATCACTGTCTTAAACACTGCTGTAAAAGAAACACATGCAAAGGGGAAAGAGAGATATTTGCAGGATTGGAGGTCTCTATGCAGTTTTCAGAAGCATAGCAGAGCTTCCAAAATAATGGTTAGAGCAACTTTTCCCAAGCTAGTGCCTTCTGGATGGGTAAATTACTGCAGCAATTTCTTCAATTCTAGCTAAGATAGTTAGGAGAGCTGTAGTCTAACACATCAGGAGAGCAAGTTATGCAATTCCCGATTATCTGTGAAGGAGGGAACTCAGATGAGAAAAATAAAATAACTGGAAAATGTTATGACTTATTAGGTAGCTAGGACTCTCCATAATATCTCTTCCAATAACTGGGCCATTCTTTTTGACATATATGTTTTCATTCAGTAATCTTTAACCCACCCACTCTCAAAACTACAATTAATATATATAATAAGAGACCTAGTGTGATGTGGTGTTTAATGTGTTGCACAAGAGCTGGGGAGATCCAGGTTCAAATCTACTGTTGTACAAGTTCAGTGTCTTCCTTGTAGGGTTATTTTTATGAGAATAAAATGAAAAGAGATCCCTATGCATCCCTATATATTTGAGAGCAAAGGAAGAAATGATAAGATGTATGTCCTACAATCATGATACAAACTTATGATTTACATATTTGTGTCCAGTCTCAGGCACAAGTATGAAAGGACAGGGTTTGCACTGTGAAGTCACCACATGCACCCTGTCCATTTTTTGTCATCGTGGCCAGCTGTTCTGTTTTACGTACGTAAGCCCCTTGATCCCCGGAACAAAAGGAAAATCACAATCTAACAAACAAGCTAATACAGCCAACTGGGAAGACGATAAAACCAATAGTTTTAATAGAGATACATTGGTTACATAGAAGCCAGGATTACATCAATGCATCAGCCTTCACATACACAAATGATGTAATTTGTGGCCGGGCACAGAAGATGCATATTGCATAATCTGGATCATTTACACGATTATGTCCAGACACATGATGTCACTCCCCCCCCCCGTCCCAGGTATCAGAGAGTGATTGTTGAATAGTCTTACATATTATCATTCTTTTGTCTTGTTTTTTTCAGCTGAAATCTGGAAAACAATAGACACTTGGCCTGGACGACGTAGTGGAGACATGATTGTCATCACTGTCATTCTCTCCGCTCTCTGTGGAGTCATCACCATTGGCTTCCTGAGCACCATCGGTTACGAATGGTTAGTACCCATACCTAGAACTTGGTGCGGCAAAGGACAGGTGCTCTTAGTTTATCCTATCTACACCCAGAGAAAAATGAGGTGTTGGAGTCCTAAAACAGTAGAGAAGACTGAAGGGTGAAAAGAATGCTGAAGTCAGTGGCAGAAATATAGTGGAAGCAGGGGAGGCCCACCACCCCTTGGAAGTCCAGAGAGCTCTTAACTTCTGGCCCATTCCTTGCTCCACACCTTTCATGTGGGATAGATAACATATCTGAGTTGCAGAGATCCAGCTGACCACCAGATGGTGGCAAAGACTTATATGTATACAGAAAACTTCTAATTTTCCAGAAAGCTCAAAGGTCAACCCTTTAAGGTAGATCAGGTTTGAACACCAAATAAATCAATATTATACTTTATTATAAGGTTACAATACAGAATCTTGCCAATCTGAAAAACACCTCCCTTTCCTTCCTTCATCCTAAAGAGAACTATGGAGGGTCAAGCCTGAGACATTTGCTCCATCTGAATTCCTACTGTGTGGGCTGAGGTTTCTCTTATCTGACTGTTCCTTAACAGAATAATAGAATTGGAAGGGACCTGGGAGGTCTTCTAGTCCAACCCTCTCCTCAAGCAGGAGACCTGATACCATTTCAGACCAATGGCTGTCCAATATTTTTTTTTAAAAAAAAAAATATTCTTTCCTATATTCTTTCTTTAAAATCTCCATGTTGGAGCACCCACAACCTCTGGAGGCAGTGGTCAATTGTTCTCACTGTCAGGAAATTTCTCCTTAGTTCTAAGTTGCTTCTTTCTTTGATTAATTTCCATCCATTGTTTCTCGTCCTGCTTTCAGATGCTTTGGAGAATAGGTTGACACCCCCCCCACACACCCTCTTCTTTATGGCAGCCCTTCAAATAATAGAATACTGCTATCATGTCATCCCTAGTCCTTCTTTTTATCAGATTGCCTTGATTGCAGCTCTTCCTTCTCTTCCTTATTCTCACACCCCATTACACCAAGTGAATAGGTTTTCTGAATGGGGTGCAGGAGTGGTATTTGAGGTTCCCTCTTAACTCTAATAGTCAAAATAGAGGAGACCATTGCAAGGTTCAAGACCGTTTCTGCACTGCTGGCAGCAGAAAGAAGCACTGATGACACCAGGTATCTCTCTGCAAGGGAAATCAACAGAGCCAAATGGTGGCTAGGACTGTATAATCTGGGGCGTTGATTATTTGATCACTCCTGTACAGTGAGGGTCAAAAGAGGGGAACCATGGCTATGCAACTGAACACATTAAAAAAGATAAGGATTTGACCATCTTGACTTTTTGACACACACACCCCTTCTGCACACATCACTGAATCCAAGAGAGAATTAAATCATATTCCCTCTGCCACTGTCAATGATTGGCAAGATAATATGATGCAGTGGTCACAGGACTGGAGAAACCGAGGTCAAGTTCATGTTAGACCACTGGATGACTTTAGGCAAGTTTTAGCATATCTTAGCTCCCTGAGTCCTTGTTATGTGGGGGAAAATAAAAGGACCTTCATCCATGGAAAACTCATGATAGTCCATCAAATAAATGAAGTAACACGTAGCTGCTTCCCTACTCAAGTCAGTTTCTTTTTTCGACAGCTTCAAGCTTTGGCGCCACAGTCCCTCTGAGAACCAAGAGGAGCAGCACCAGGAGCCATTCCGAGGCAGCCGCTATGACACCCACCACATTCCCCCTGCCCCACCTGTGCCCTCTCCTCCACCACCTGCTGCAGATACGCCTGGCCCTCATCTCATCCCTTCATCTTCATAAAGCCCACAGCTGCACCAACAGCCCTCCTAACTGGATCTCTATGTCTTTCCACGGCAGTGATACCCCACTCATATCCACAACCTTGCTACATACAATAAATGCTCCATGCATTGTCATGTCTTTGGCTTTTTGTAGGAAAATTCTGGCCAAGAATATGCAATACAATCAAAGTTGGCTTTGCCCAGTCAGGAAATGCATTTACAGGTAGTCCTTGACTTACAATCATTTCTTCAACAACCATTCAAAGTTACAATGGCACTGGAAAAAAAAGTGACTTACGGCAGGTCTTCAGACTTACGACTACTGCAGCATCCCCATGGTTATGTGATCCAAATTCAGCAACTGGCAGGTCTTTATGATGGCTGCACATGTGTCCCGAGTTGCTGCGATCACCATTTGCAACCTTCCCAGCCAGCTTCTATCAAGCAAAATCAATGGGGGAAGGGAGATTTGCTTAATGACTGTGTGATTCAGCGAACAATTGCAATGGCTCACTTAATCTGTGGTCATAAAATTGGGCATGACTTACTTAACAATCGTCTTGTTTAGCAATGGAAATTCTGGCCCCAGTTGTGTTCATAAGGATTACCTGTACCTTAATATGAGGTTGGCTCTAAGAGCAGCTGGGTTGGAGCCACGCCTTGGCTTGGACAACCATGAGATTCTGGCTTTGCTTGGTTGGTTCATACATATTTCTCCACTACCTGCCCTCCTCCAGGGGGTTTCTCTCTATTTTCCAGAATGCCTGCGTGGGTCTGCCAACTGACTCTCAAGGGCAGTGTTTCTTAAACTCAGCAACTTTTCATTGTGTAGACTTCAACTCCCAGAATTCCCTATCTGGTAATGCTGGCTGAGGAATTCTGGGAGTTGGTCCATATATCTTAAAGATGTCAAGATTCAAAAATGCCAGTCTAGTCTAATGTCTTCTAGGTCTTTGTTAATCATGAAAGTCATCTGGATGACGTTGCTCAGTCCAACATACTTCACAGGGCTGCTCTTATAGGGGGGGAAAAAGGTGGAAACATTATGCATGCCATTTATACAGAAATAAAGCAAGATATAAATAAATCAAATATGTATTCTCCTAATTTAATATGTTACCGGGTGCATCATAAAAAACTTAAGACATATAATAATAATAATAATATCAAATAATATCAAACAAGGAAAAATAATGAAAACTGAAGGAATCAAGATGCCCCACGAAAATAACATTAAGAGTCTGGATGAGGAAGAGTACTACAAATACTTGGGTATCCTTCAAGCTGACAACATCAAGCACACTGAAGTCAAGAAAAAGATTAGAGGTGAATACATCAAGAGAGTGAAGAAAATCTTAAAATCCAAACTCAATGGAGGAAATACCATAAAGGCAATCAACACCTGGGCAATCCCAGTCATTAGGTACACAGCTGGAATAGTGGACTGGACTCAAGCAGAACTAAAAGCAATGGATAGGCAGACCAGAAAAATAATGACAATGAATCATGCCCTTCATCCACGCAGTGACATTGATAGACTTTATCTACCAAGGCAAATAGGTGGGCGTGGAATGCTACAAGTACATCAGATGGTTGAAGAAGAAAAAATGGCTTTGGAAGAATATCTGAAGAACAATGATGAAGATGCACTGAAATTAGTATATCAGGAAGGCTTACTAACTACTGGAGAGACCAAACTGGCCTACAAGAAAGACCAAATGAAGAACAGAATAGAGGCATGGGAAGACAAAGCACTACATGGCCAATACATGAAAAAAATAGCTGGGAAAGCAGATAATAATAAAACCTGGCAATGGCTAAGAGCAGGAAAATTGAAGAAAGAGACCGAGGGACTAATTCTGGCTGCACAAGACCAAGCCTTAAGGACAAATGCATACAAAGTCAAAATTGAGAAGACAGCAACAGACAGTAAGTGCCGCCTATGCAAAGAAGCTGAAGAAACAGTGGACCACTTGGTAAGCTGTTGCAAGAAGATTGCACAGACTGATTACAAGCAGCGGCATGACAAAGTAGCAACAATGGTGCATTGGAAGATCTGCAAAAAATATCATTTGCCTGTAAGCAAAAACTGGTGGGATCATAAAATAGAGAAAGTCATAGAAAATGATAAAATTAAACTGCTCTGGGACTTCAGAATTCAAATAGACAAGCACCTGCAACATAACACCCCAGACTTAACAATTGTCGATAAGAAAGACAAAAAAGTCTGGATAGTGGACGTGGCAGTGCCTGGAGACAGCAGAATAGATGAGAAAGAACTGGAGAAGATAACCAAATACAAAGACCTACAAATAGAAATAGAAAGACTGTGGCAAAAGCAAGCAAGGGTAATACCAATAGTAATAGGCCCCTTGGGTGCAATCCCAAAACAACTGGAGCACCACTTGAACACCATTGGCATTGACAAATTTGCTATTAGTCAATTGCAAAAGGCGGCCTTACTAGGAACTGCTTCCATCCTGCGACGATATCTGTAATACCATCAAACATCCACATCTGCCTATCCCAGGTCCTGGGTAAGGACTTGATAGGTAGACAAAATGACAAATCCAGTCTGAACATCTGGCTGACTGTGCAATGATCAATAATAATAATAATAATAAAGTTGGAAGGGACCTTGGAGGTCATCAAGTCCAACCCTCTGCTCAGGCAGGTAACCTTGTCCAATATGTTTTCAAATCAACGAATTATTGATTTAATGGCAAATCTTTACAAGCCCAAGCAAAAAAAAAATCTCTAAAAACCATTTTCTGTGGTAAATACATAATATCAGAGATTTTGCTTTCTGGAGCCTTTCCCCACAATTGAGTGAAAGCCCATCTTTCAGGAGAATGACAAACATAGAGACTCATAGATGGCGCCATATTCTTTTTATAGCAAAAACAACATTTTATTTATTTATACATGTATCATATTTGGAGATCGCCCATCTCGCTCACAAAGTGACTCTGGGTGATGTACAATTAAAAGACAAGACCTAAAAACCATAAATCATATAAATATCATATTCATGCAGACATGGGTCTTTAAAAGTGATAGCCAATAATTGAACCCGGAAGCAAACCGCCACCCAGAGCAGCTCAAGCAGCAGAAGTGTAACATGCATATCATTTGTGGGGCATCAAATTTTTGCTACCTTCAAGACGCCTTCAGTTTAATTTTCTATGTAAACCTTTAGGTCTCTCCAGCTTTCCGTTTACAAGAGATCCATTTCTACTTTTTTACAATTTCTACTTCGGGTTTACTTTTTAATTACACACACACACACACACACACACACACACACACACACACACACGTTAAAATAGGGAATATGATGTATTTCAGTCCCTTATTAGATATACTTGGCCTGAATGAAGTTTTGATGTATTTTGGAGTAATAATCTCCTCTGCTGGTTTAAAAGAGAATGTGATTCTTTTGATTAGAAAACCAATACATACCAGGTATTTTCCAAATATGCTGAATTTAGTAATTAACTTGGTTGACGTCAATCTTGTGTGTGGGTAATTGGCTTAATAAGTTTTGTAAAGCCACTGTTTTGATTAATTTATAAATTCAACAAATCCATTCAGTGTGTTACAGTATATGGACATAGCAAACAACTGTTTGGGCTATTTGCCTATAGGCGAGACACATGTGATATTTGTTGTGCAATCTGGTGCTGAATATCGATTAGTTTTAACAAAATAAAATAATATAGGGAAAGAGAACCAAATAGCTTCTGCACCGGAGACAAATTCCTTGTGCGTCTAATCACATTTGGCCAATTAAAGTATTCAGTTCAAATCAATTTTCTATACTTCTTTGTTCTATGCTGATTTTGGGGCTAATGAAGTTTAAATGTCAAGTTTTTCAATCCTCCATGGACATTTTTGAGGGGCAGGGGCAGGATTTTAATTGAAGCATCCTCTGGAACAAATCTTTATATGGACTGCAGCTTATAGTGAGGTTATTTGTCTCCACTGAAACCTGAAATAATTCTTACAGTTGTGCTTGAATTGATGAGTAATGATTGTCCTGAATGAAAAACATTGATTCATTTGAATTGTGAAACACAGTTGACGTACATACCTACTTTCAAAGCAATTGCCACTCCTCACTTGTCTTCTGCTATATGACAAATAGAAGTGGAAATGACTTCTGAAACCACCGGACCCAAGGGTAAACAATGGGCAGGTGTGTTCCTTTCTATTCCTTTTCTATAGCAACTCACTCTCTCTCTCCCTCTCTCCCTCTCTCCCTCTCTCTCTCTCTCTCTCTCTCTCCCTCCCTCCCTCCCCCTCCCCCTCCCCCTGCCTCCCCCCCTCATATAAAGTTGGAATTCACTGCTCGCTGCAGGAATCCAAATCAAATCCAAAGCAAGAACAGTCTAGCCCCTGCTTGAATACACATATCAAACAAAGAAGAGACATAATCTCTTTGGGTCACTAGTTTTGCTGTCAAAGAGTTCCTGTACTTGTTGACAATTTTTTTCTTTAACTTTTAATCAGAATCCTTTTTTCTATAACTTAACTTCCTTAATATTTTTATTTTATTTATTTATATCCCGCCTTAATCTTTTTTTACAAATAACTCCAAAAGTTTTGAGCAAAATATAAAATATGGGCTGACATTTTAGGTGAGCTCCTATCAGGCATTTGAAAGAGAACTACGAAAATTCTTTTTAGCTCATCACCCAGCCTCACCTTCTCTCTCTTTCTTTACCCAGAGAAGGGAGAGCTTGCACTTGGCAATAATCTGTCACTTTCAGGGGACTTTTGAAATTATCCAGTAGCTGAGTTGCCTCTGTTTATCCAAGGCAACTTATGTTTTATGCCTTATGTCTTTCCTAAGTTCCCACATGTCATTGCATTCGGCTGTCACAAAAAGAATAGTTAAAGAAAAAATTTCTTTTCTAAACAAATTTTTAATATAATAAACCCATCATAATTTGGATATGTCTTAGCCAACGTCAGAAGGAATTCCCCTTTAAGACAACCTTATCCTTGAAGCAATATTCTCTACAACCCCAAATTGAAATTAATCATTTTGATGTTATTGCCATATGGGGTGAATGCTCAAAAAAGATCCACAAAAAGTCCATTTGGTATTTCCTTGCTTCAAAACTGTATGC